ATTTGGAGGAATTGTCTTGGCTTTGCGGGATGATCCCAACTGGGTTTAGCTGTTTCTCGGAGAAGAACTAGTGCGAAACATATGATAATATGATAAACCTTGAGGATGAGGTGGGGGTGTCAAGATATAGGGACTGATTGAGCTCCAGGCTTGTCCATGGGAATGGGATTCTCATGGAAAACGTCCCATGGGATGGGACAGCACACATTTGTATTTCCCGGTTTCCGTACATTTGAACCCACGACAATTTTACCTGCTTACTATTGCACCTATGGAAATTTTTTTGTTTTGCGGATATTTGAACCCTTACTAACCCTAACCCATGGGTTTTAGCACCCACATATAGACTGAACCCGCAGATATACACATGGGTTCAGATGTACGGTCACCGTATTTCCCATGAGATACGTGGGACACAAAAATCGTATAATTTTCGGGGGAAATGATGGTTAAACATTAGTATAAGTAGTTAGTCTCGCAGAAACCAAATCTTTAGCACAAAAAAACATTCCATTATGGATTTCGTATCCATATATTTGAGCATAGCTCTCTTGTTGATTATAAAGAGCAAAATATACTCAGCATTAACAATATACTTCGTGAAGGGGCTGATGGACACATGTGTATATAATAGTATGAATATAAAGTTAACAAAGTCCGTAAATTTTGTTGCTTTGCACGTCTCTTCGTATATGCCAAACTTAAATTTAGCAAATTTTTATTTAATTTTATGCCAATGGGAATCCCATGGGATAGGACAGGCCTAGTTGTTATGAGATGGGAATGGGACAGAAAAATATGTCCTATGGCTATGGACAAGCCTGTTAATCTCTGTTGCTCGGAAACTTACTGTTGTAGCTGCGCCCGTTACTAGTGCATTCGTGGACTTCCGCAACCCTTCCACTCACGGGCGCTTGGTCGGGAACCATTGCACTAGGTGACTAGACCAGGGGTGTCCAGCCAGTCGATCGCTATCGAATAGTCAATCTGGGCGATCTAGTCTGATGTCGGGTAAATTTAATAACATACCCAAAATAATTACCTTGAATCAGTTTCATGCAGCGCCTGTTGTGTGTTTCGAAACAGGAAGAAAATAGTACTATACATGCGCAAAATACGTCATACACATACAAGGTACAGTATTTGATATATATAGCCTGACAATTCTTCAGTATGCTGAAGTTATTGTCTCGCTCCGAGAGTAGAGTGATAAATTTTTCCCCAGTGGTAGAAGGGTTAGAGGTTAGGGATCGACCCCCAAACCTTCCCCCCTTCCTTCTTGATGAAATTTTGGAAGAATGAAAAAGTCGCTAATAAAGGGTGCGTTTCCATTTTGTTAAAATTGTCGACTGCTTTGGTCAGAGTCAATTCAATTGAATCAGTAAACACTTTACGTCGGTGTTTATTCACCATAAATCACAAATTGTTTTACAATAAATATATGTCTTGTGCCACGAAACGATGCATGGTAATGTAATTATTTTTTTCTAGCATGAAACTGTAAAACCAATGAGAAAGACGAGTTATTATTTAAAAATCGTCCACCAGATGGACACATTCTTAATGGAATTCGGATTTAATGGCTTTCGAATCCTTACAGTCACTGTAAATTGAAACAGTTAATTGTGTGCGACGTGTACCTTTTAATCAATTGTAAAATTACCGACGGACCTGACGCGACTCGATATATAAGTGTAAAGTGAATTCAATCGATTTTTATTTTACTAAAATAAATTTTGCCCCGCAGTATTTTATCTCGGATATGTCAAGTTCACAGAATCGCAAAACACGAGATAATCCGGCACTTTACCACACATTTTTATGTCCACATATTGCAGTAGTTTTCCAGAGTAATAATGCTTTTATTTTGTCAAAACAACAGCGGGTTAACTTGGCACAACTAAATTAATAAGGAAATCAGTTGAAATAAGTCCGTATGTATTATTTACCTTGCGCAAAAAAAGATCATTATTCTGAATTACCCTCTTCTGAAAATCCAGGCTGCGGCCCAGCTTGCGACAAAAAATTAGTCAGGCCTGAGATTTGAATTGCACGATTTGGATGAATCTTAAATATATGTTGAAACCTTTACTTCGGGTACAATCACATAATAAAATTAACAAATTAAATTGAATATAAAAAATACAAATTTCGACTTCTTTAGGAATGCGCGCAAACAACTGAACTTATTTTTTATTTGCGTGTATGCAGTTATCTGCATCTTCAGAAGCTATTTTGAAGATTTCAGTCGATCGTGGTTGAAATTAGGTTGTCCACCTACACTGGACCATTGGTTCTCCAACTTTTTGTATCGACGCCCTCCTACAGCACTTCCTATATCATCATCGCATTCGTCTAAAATCCTACTGACTTTTATCGGTGACTTGCCCTCTGTAATTGTGGATAAACGATCCACAGAAAAAGTTGTAAATCCCTTCCATTTCTAACAAATCTTTAAGCATATTCTGTCACGTCGTCAAACTTGAATTCCGGTAATCGATCAGTCGGTCCGCGACTGATATAAAACGCGTAACACAAACAGTATACCTTCGCGAAGTCGACCTCTGCCGCCATGCTCCTCTTCCAGCAGAAGTGCCAGGGAGATGAATGTTATGTTTGCATATGAACAAACAAAACAAGTTTTGCAATAATTCTGACTTTCCGAAAATTCACAATTGCCCTTTACCGCCCCTGATTTATCTCTTCTGACAATTAGGGAGGGGGGATTTTATCAATTCCGCGAGAACGTCCTTACTATATTCCCATTGCTTTGAACTTAATTTTAATTTAATGTACTCCGTATATAGGTGTATCGCAAAAAAAAATTTTGCGAGCGTTAAGTCTTACGCTATTTTCAATAAATTGGCATTTAATTTTGCATTGTTTCGAGGTGTTATCCTCTTTCGCCGCACATTACGGTGAAACGCTTCTTCATACTTTCTATACATATTATAGTGAGATGGCCCGTTTCGCTTTCGGTAGTTTCGTTGAGTGTGGTTCATTACATCTGGTGAAGATTACTTGAACTGGAATATTTTGTGGAAATTTCATGTCATTGCAACTTTCAACGTTACAGAGAATGAGATGACTCTGTACACATATGATATTCCTATAAGTAAGGTTATGAGTATGAGCGCGCAATGACCATCTTTTAAATTTATTTCTAACAGGGACGAATCGGAGACTCCGCACATCGTCATTACAGATTTAGTAAATCAGAGTATTCTATTGTTACAATCGGTTTGATACCCTTGCTGCTTCTCACAGTCGACCTCACAAAATAAATTTGTTTTCTAAGACGAACGCCAACTATGAATGGCGAGGATGTTACCAAATTTACAGCACTTGAGCGAATAGTCGACCCTGTCACGTTAATACCATTTGGATGTGGCGAACCAACTCCATCAGACTATTTCTTAGCTTAGATATGACCCAATCATTGATGGTACGTCTGAAGTAGGGGTCACCTCACGGCCCGTGGCCAGATCCAGCCCGTGGCGTTCTTTCATCTGGCCCGCAATAACACGAAAAAATGGCGAATTTTTTTCCAGGGGATGATTCCTCGAGCATCGACTTCCTTGTTCATTTCGTAACATTGGCCAATCAGCAAGATGCAAAAAGTGACGTAACAATAGATCCTTTGGCATCCGCTCAGACACTTTTGTCATCGGACAGATTTTTATTCCGGGTTCCAAATACAATACCTCTTTTTCGCGATTTTGAATGCTATTCGTTAGTTTTTGGTCGTGATTCCGAAATTGAATTAAATAAGTCAATCATCATTTTGTCTTCTTGGGAGTTGTAGTTTAATTGTATTATTCAAAAATTGTCGGAAAATAGCTGTAGTTCTCTACATGTACGCAACGTTTCCTGCGAAGAATACACTCGTGGGGCGTGCTTTCGGCGAGACTGTTGCTATGTAAGTTTCTCGTGCTAGAATCAACGTCGAACGTGCATTTTGCGCTAATAGTACAAGTCACGTTAACTTTTGTACTGCTCACATGCGGATATTCATGACAAAAATTGCTTTGCTAACAGCTAACCTCAGGATAGTTGTCAGACATATTGTATATTTGCTATATGATGTTCTTGATCTATATTCTTCGAAATAGAATTTAATATTCAAGACTTCAGAAATGTAGAATTTATATTGTTGAATAAATTGAATGGATTTCCCAACACTGCTCACATGCGGATATTCATGACAAAAATTGCTTTGCTAACAGCTAACCTCAGGATAGTTGTCAGACATATTGTATATTTGCTATATGATGTTCTTGATCTATATTCTTCGAAATAGAATTTAATATTCAAGACTTCAGACATGTAGAATTTATATTGTTGAATAACTTGAATGGATTTCCCAACATTTGGGAATTTATTGTATTGCATTGACAAAAATATTTGCCCGGCCCGTGATTCTACATTTCTGAAGTCTTGAAATTAAATTCTATTTCGAAGAATATAGATCAAATTTCACAGTTTGAGTTATACCTGGCCCGCGGTCAAAAAACTTTGGTGATCCCTGGTCTAGAGCAATTGTTGGGTGGGATCGCGTCAAAATTTTATGTTGTATAATTTTATCTGCTTCTTTTTTGTTGCTTGGGATATCAAAGCTGCAGGGGGTTGTATTATGTCAATAGTGATTGATAGATTGGTCCGAATGGCGGCTAAAACAGACTTATTTCTCTTTCAGAACGCTCAGTGTCAGAAAAGGCAAAGGTCACGCATAGCCAACGTCTCGTTTTCCTATTAAATCTCTTTCCAGTATTTAGCAGCACTCAATGAGATACCACTTACATTCGCTGAATTGCAAATAGGATAACCTATAGTTAATTTTGCATTACTTTTTTAACATCCTGTAGTAATGCCCTCATTCATGGTTTTTAGCGCAATGACCAAAGGTAAATCACTCCGATTCTTTTGTCCCTACATTTTAACCGAACTGCGTTGTTCTACAATTTTCCCGTTTCAAACATTTCTATCAATGGCATTCATTTGTATAGTTATACCGCGTTGAAAACACCTGTGAATTTACTATTAATATCTATTAAAACTAGAAAACTGTTAATAAAAAGTGTCAATATGTTAATAAACCTTTTTATTAAAATAGTTTTGATTCACAGTACATTAGTATGCTACTTAAACTCGTTTCAACATACAATTAGTATTAGGTCGAATTTGAAAAAAATTCTTCCGATATGGTATAACCTCGCAGATGACAAAAAAACAAACCATGTGATTGAAATTTGGTATGGGCAGAGGTAGGTAAACACATCTATGTTGCTAATGAGCCTACTGCGAGAAAAGTATGAAAAAATAAATATTTCATTTAATCTTCTCAATATGCGGTTGCCGGTTATAGAAAATATCTCCATAATGGTCAATAATTAAAAGAATTCCTCTATGTATCGTCCGAAATAAGTTTGATCGAAGACGCAACCGACCTCTCGCTGCAATGAAAAATTTTCATAAGTTAGAATTGCAAGCAATGCTCGTATCTTCAATAATATGTGATAAATTGTTGAGTCATGTTTGATCTTCTAATTTTTCTCATCTTGATATGATTATCTTTCCATCTTTGAATGTCTCGTTGTTCATTCAAAATCTGCAAAGAAAAATTGTTTCCTAGAAATGTACAAATTGAGCGAAAAAAAGCAACAGGCAAATTCATTTAATGGAGTAAGCCCCGAGGCAAATCTGACTGCAGGGTGATGTTAATCAATAAATAAAATTGTTTAATTAGTATTAGAACATCCGCTCCAGTGGCGCAATCGGTTAGCGCGCCGTACTTATATGACAGTATCGGAGTGATGCGGAGGTTGTGAGTTCGAGCCTCACCTGGAGCAATTTTAGTGACAGTGACGCAGAAAATCACACCATAAAAGAATATTCAAATTCTTCTATATTAATAATAGCGAAGCAAAATTAGCGAAGTACTTCTGAACAAAATTTGAAGTATGCTTATACCAAGATGGCGGATACCGGAATGTATTATTTGTACCTGGTCAGGGTTAAGCCATTATTTTATTCCGATTTCCTTATTTTAGTTCTATCACGAGTTCGAGGATTAGCCAAGTCACTCCCGCAGTACCTGTACCTAAAATTATGGCCTCTATGATTACCTACGCAATTCGAAAACGCGAACTCAGGCGATGTGATGAGCGTCGTAAGCCGCAAGCCGCTGTTTGACTTACCTTGTCATATGCTGGATTATTCATTTTATAACAAAACTTCCAAAGTAATCCTTTTTGACGAATAACTGTACTTGTTCTTGATACAACCGATGCTGGACCAGAAACTTGGGGATCAAAAAGTAAACCCGTTCGACGATCTTCCGGGACTCTGAAATAAATTTTGTTTTAGTTTTAGATTTAAAAGGCGATCATACTAACGGAACGCAACTCTACTCGTTGATGGTACAAAATATAAAGGGAATCGCCAAAGTTCGGAGCACTGAAACTTACGGGTCTGTTGTCAATGGCCTGTGTTTAATACGCCCCTGAGACTGTAGTCGCCGCAGTGTCATAGGTGCAATTATTCTTCCTCTGTTGTCGATTGGTGGGACACGCGCGGTCGTCATTACTTTCAATCGTTTCATTTCATTTAATTCTCGTTCAGTCGTTTCTATTTTCTTCGCTTTGGCTTCCTTACTTTTCATAATATCCCCATATTGAATAAAACGTCCATACGAAAAATTTCCCATCCTTGATGGAGGGGGAATAGGAACTGGATACATAGAAGCAACTAATGCGGATGTTGCTCTTCCTTTTGCATTGCAACTAAATCCATGATCTTTACTAAAGTTTCTCCAAATGTTGGAATTGTATTCTGGATCCGGTTTTGTAACCGGGATTGGTTCTAAATCACTTGCGTCGACCCAAGTTTGGTAAGTTGGTAAAGGGTAGATTATCGTTGTGTCTTCCACGGGCGTTCGTACCTTGTGTCGTAATTGGATTTTCGAATCAGTCATCGGAGGAGGCTTCTGAACGGCAAGGCTGCTTTCTGGACGAGGAGAGAATGCGGTGAAATGTACTCGGGGATCGTCAAAAAGTCTTTCTCTCTCTTTTAGAGAAACGGGACGAGAAAACTCCGGACTCGAGAAAGCTGCAAGCATGTTCAAAATAATTAATTTTACATCAAATGTAGATTTAAATAATTTTTGCTGATAAAGATGGTTAAATTAGGGGCTTAACTGTCAATTAATACAACCGTGGCTGAAATGTTGATAAAAAAAGATTAATTATATGAATATTATACCCACTCAATGACAATAAAATTTAATCTAGATGTAAAAAGAGTTGCCATATGAATACGATATGAAGGCGGCAAAAAGCAACAAAATTTGTGGTAAAAAACGGGTCCCACAGGACTCATAACAAGTATGGAAATGAATTTAAGTAATAGCCTTCTTTCGACTTCTTCAAATTCAGTCTCGAAGAACTGAGAGTTCGAAATCAATTGTTCATTAGCTGAGGTACATTCGTTTTCAATTCCTCTACCAATCATATATATATATATATATAAATATACGCACTTTACGGAGTCCATTGCACGTCTTAAAATCTATCTTACCAATTGTTCGCTACAAATGTTAACACTCAACAATTCTAACACAAAGAGTTACTTGTTTGAGAAGACCCTTAACTCCTGATATAAGTGATCTAAAGTAAACATAAGTCGCCAATCGAGTCTGGTGGCTTTGTTGTCGCCTCATACTCGAGATTATGTTTCGTCTTATAGCCAGAGCGGTAGAATATACGATAAAACAACCAATATAGCAAATACCTTAAATTTTACGTATGTTTAACATTACACAAAGTTTATACTGCAACAACTACCTGTTCAAGCGCTACGAGACCTATATCACATATTAACATTTCAATCCTAGTACGAAGCTTCACGAAGACTATTTGCTTCAACACTGAAATACTCCTTATAAAAAGAGTTGTTTTCCACCTACAAACTGGACAATGCTTCATGTGTACCAATACATATTTTCCCATGCCATATTAGTATATACTTCGTGTAATTTATCACATAAGAATAAACCATAAACAAATCCTGAATACCAAACTTCTTGTCTTACACAGCGTCATATTTCTAAAAATCTCATGTCACTTATGACCGCCTCACTGCCTTTCCATGAGTAGTCTGTGTAATGTCGGTAAATACAATCACATTTAAGGCTGTGATACATCAAACTGTTGAGACTGATGCCGCGAAGACTACCATACTCAGGCTAATACCAAAGTGACTATACCATTTTGGCTAATTGTATACAGAATGTAATACAGGGAATAAAATATTATCTCCTTAAAACTGTGCCTTGCTTGATACCATATTGTCGGTATTCGATATTTAACCTGCAATTCCACACTGTTATGTATGAACTACCCTGAAGAACGCTTACTCTGGCTAAGCATGGCCCGTAATATCTAAGCGTCAGAATTTCACTTTATTAACTAGCTTCATGCGGCCATGGGTAATAAATATACGAACGCACTACAATTGAACGATGCGGTAACATATTCTTCTCGATAGATAAAAAGAAAGTGAACATTGGCGTCACTTGTTGCTAATAGCAACATTCGGCGAACAAAGAAAACTTTGTCAATAGCTGTGTTCGGCTCGTCGAGAGCGAGTCTGTCTCGATCCATAATCGATGAAACCGAGTTTGAAACCGCAGCCATTTTTCGTGACGTTGGTACAAGCGATACACGTCGTGTTACTGTGGATCAAACCTCAACTATCTTTAAGATTTCTTATGTTAACAAGTATCTAAGCTTTAACATCCATATGGCGAATGGTTTTGAAGACATTTGAATAAATTAAAAACAATAATTTGGAGCCAAATATCATGTAACATTCTTGACAACAATCGTTTTTGACAACTTATTGGCTGATGGGCAAGTCAATAAATAAGTCAACTTTGAGTTGGTTGAGCGCTATTATATTATTGCTTCACAATTTGGCAGTAATTCAATACTGGTTTATACAGTGCTTGGTTTATCGCATGTGGAACAAATGCGTTCTATTGTTTCTGCGCGATGGTGTGCAAAATTTGGTAAAAAATTTAATTATGAAGTTTGAATCTGCGAGCTGGCATAACCGTAATTGTGGATATTTTATTTAATCACAGGATCTCTGTTATAGCCACGCGGGGAGCGGATATTGATATCCTCTCAAATCCTCTATCAATATATATTATATTGCGATTCAGTGGGAAAAAAATTATCCGGTACAACCATCATGAGACATTATTTTATTAGATAATAACAAATAACTTGAAGAAAAAAAAGTCAAGTAAAGCCAGAAAATCCTATTTTTACCTTCTCAAGTAAAATCCCCTGCGCGAGTCATTTATTGGGTGTTTTACGTTTATAATTTCACAGTTTTTAATTTTAATGCGTCCTTTCATATATGTGAATCTGATAATGAGTAATGGATCTAATGCACCCACATAGTGATTACATCCGCGAAGATTGACGATTGCCGCTTCGTCCGAGCCAAAATTTTTCCATTTATCGTTCGCCACCTCGTAATGCTAAGACAAAAGCGCCCCCTTGTTTGCATGTCAACATTAACTACAAAAGCACAGAAGATACTATGAACGCGGGATTGCTAATATACTGCGCTATAAGCGACAAATTGTATATGTTTGAATATTGGTTGTGATTAGGGTAATCTGTTTATCTTTTGGTAACCAAATCAAAACCGAGATGAGTTTGGAATTGTCCACACTTAGTTTGGAATTTTTGGGAATGAAGAAAGCACAGTGGAAGAAAGCACATAGATTAACAAAGCAATCGGAATTTTTCTTCAGGTAGTAATATAGTTTTAATATTAGTTTACAAAGATTGGCATAAAATTACTAACAGCAGTAACAGAAGCATACTGCCAAAGCAGGCACATTCGGGAAATTAGGTACACATACTCTTACGCACTGAACAAATAGACAAAAAGTGAATGTACACTCCAAAAGTTATATTCAAAAGCAGAAAACAGCGTTTTCGCGTCAGCAATACAGACTAATCTATGTATACATTAAGACAGACGTTTACATGGTAATGATAGTAATGACTTTAATTAAGTTATGGATTACGGCGCAAAATTGACAATATATCGCATCTGTAGATATTCTATTTCCTAAGATGATTGCAGTATTTTGAAGATCATCAGTTATTTTTTATCTTTCTTGAAGGGCAGAACAATGGATGATTATTATTTTGAAACGGAATTGGACGACAGATTATGTAGATCAGCTTCTGAAACATTAGATAACTATATTCGTAATCATGAGATGAGGCGAACACGAGAAATGGCAAAATCGTTGACCTATGAACGTAGCAAACCATGGCTTAACATGAGTAGGCATGCAGAGTCACTCACGAAAGGTAAGAAGTCTGGTTGAAATAATCTTGCTCTATTTACTGATGTGCAGTTTAATTTATTAGCCATAGCAAAATTTCTCAATGGCACGCCACTTGGATGCCAGTCAGTTGCGATAATATTTGCTACTGCATCCCCTGTGATCTACCCAAGGTGATTATACATCACAACTTGTATTATAGTCGTAGAATCGGAGGAATAGTCACGAGGTAATTCTTATTGAATGTATCAGTTTCTTTCTTTTCATGGTGATGAAATCTTTAACCGACAATATCAGCGTGACAGAGTAAGGGCAATAATAGCTTAGCCCTCGCGCACTTAGTGATAGAAGATTTTGAAAAAATCTTTTTTTTTAAGATTTATCGGCTCTTGACGAAGAAATCGCTTTAGCAAAAAAGTTGTTCGGAGACGAATCTGTAAATCTCAGCATTGATGACGTAAGTCTAACAACAGAAGAATTATTGATGGAACATTCTTTTAATCGAAGCTTCCGGACATCTTCACCTAAGGTAAATGATTCGACTGTGCCCTATCGTTATGTAAGATTGGCAAATGCAAGGCGACTTCCGAAGAATACTATGCGAACAAAAAAAATAATGCTCTAAGTCTAAGAACTAGACAGGGATTTTTGCAAGTGTCATCCGAAATCGGTGACTATATAAAGACCTAAAATTACTATGAGTCACCTATACTGGGAAAAACTTATACTGGTTGCTGTTATATCGGGATTACCATCGGAACGCCTCTAGTGGAGTCCAACCCTAGTTTGAAGCACTTACCTGTTTAGGTAATATTCAATTAAAATTAATTCTGAACGATTTTATTTTTGTAGAAAGCTGATCAATCAGGACATCTAAGATATTCTGATTTGCATAATGAATACAAAGAACCTCGCGAAAATTCTTTTCGTCAAGCCAACAGGAGGTAAATTTAAATTGAAACTCTCAAAAAATATCTAAGCTTATATCAATCATGTTAATACTGATGCATTCGCGTCATCGTTGTTTGTTGCATATAGTTCAATAATGTTTTAAATATTTTATGATTTGTTTCGTTTCCGGCCTGGGTCTTCTCCGGCAGCAAGCGATGTTTCTAAACAAAACCTGAAATGCCTGCAAAAATTTCTAAAGCGCGAAGATAAGTCAGAAAACCAACACTGGTCTAAAAATAATGTTCACAATACAAAATATTCAAGGTAAAATATCAACAGCACTAGAGATGACAAATTTCAGGTTTAAAAGTCATGAAGTACATTATGAAACAATACAATTAATGAACATTAATTAGTACTTATATATACAAAGCTATAAAATTGCATAAATTGAACAATTCACTAGTATAAGCCAGTAAGACAAATGTACGCACCTATTTGCTGCAAAGCACCTAAAGACAGATATTTCACATATTTTAACAGGTCTCGAATATCTTCAGACGACATTCAGGGAGAACTAACAGTTTCAATGAATTATCTTCCGAAAAAAAAATTAAGCATGATAAATTCTGGTAATAATTGTGAGCAACTTTGCATTGAATATCCACTTAAGTGGGCCTAGTGGTATTACTATTAACTGCGATGGTGTCGCACGTTAAAAATTTCAGTTTAGACCATGACCGTGTTCTCACATGGGACTGTAATGAATTGCAGGACAAATGTCTAACTAAAAGGATTCCGGTATTTCCAAAAATAAAGAAGTTTGCGAATCAGTGGCTTCTTGTTATTTTGGAGTGAATGTGTAAGGACTTCTCATAAAGAAGTAATCCCATCCAAAGTTTCGAATATAAATGTGCCTATTCAAAACTTGGGTCCCCTGGGTGTTCGAGTCGAATTCGGACGAAAATCGAATCCTGCAATAAAAAATGAACAACGTTGAATTGTTTCATGTCAAACAATTCAACCAATATTATAAATATTTACCTTCGTGCTTGATTTAAGGTATATATATGTTTGAAATTGATTTTTGGTCTGTAATACTCTAGTTATATTTTTGGTATTTTAAAAAAACGATTGTTCTTAATGTTCAAGGCGAGCATCACCCAAAATTTCATGCCGAGGAAGAAATTTGTCAATATGAACGTGATGGGTAAGGGGATTTATCTTTTTAAATTTGTTCGATTGAAATCAGCAATAACCTAATTCATTAATCCGTAGCTTATGTTGAGAATACCATAGACAAATAGTTGATAAATTGGCAAAGATGCCACTACAACGATTGAAATATTTTCAATGCTTATCAATATTTCCAATAGTTGCTTCACAATGGTGTTTAGTGATTACACCCATGGATTATAATAATCATGAAAGTTTTCGCATTTTATATATTTTTCAGGGAAGAAAACGATGAAGGCCATATTACAGTATCTTTACAGCTAGAAGGAAAACCAGCAAGTGTTCGAGAATTCATGGGGGAGTGTTTTCCTGGGGTAACCGATTTATTATTCGATTGTTTTGGGCTACGAAAAGCATACATAATGAATATTTCGGGGTGTCGACTCTTGAACAACTGACGTATAGCCCTAACCGACAATTTTAAGATTATGTTTAGGAGAATCTGTAAATTTTCTATCAGCAGTCAGTAAAGGTTCAATAAATGATTAAGAATTTTTTGTTTTCAGAACCCTCCTCAGAGCGAGGACTCGAACGCAGGACAGAGAACTGTAGAGTCACTTAAGAATATGCTGTTCTCTTTGCAGGAAGCTAAAAACGAATTAGGTAAAACAATATTTTCCTGTATCTTACTAAAGAAGTACGTCATTCATTAAACTAACAACGAAAACGTAACATAAAGATGTGTATCAAGAGGCATACATAAAAATTTCCAGGCATGAATGGCAATTACATCATAAATGCAGACAGTTATATTTTGATTTCTCACCGTGTATGGTTAAAAATTTACATTTTATATATTCAGAAAACAAAGCAAAAAGTTCAGAGGAAGACAAGGATGCTCCTGGATACGAATCGCTAGAGAAGTAAGTAATAGAATGCGTATTTTTGAAGATTAAAATATTTTCAATTTGGGACACGAAGCAAACCGTGCAATATCTCTAGAAATATACAACCAGTCAATTATGTAAATTTCCTCAGAGGGAGATAAGCGCATACCATACTTTCGGTGAAGGTCGAGATGCTACGTTTACCTCAAGCTAATAACCCTTCTAAATGAATGATATTTCTTTTTAATTGTCTTACTCAATATCACTTGTGTTGTTCAATTTTGTGTTTAAGGGCGATGAAACATCTCGTAATTCTGAAGAATTTGGTAAAAGAAGTTGGAAAGAAAGATGGACATAAAAATCAAAATAAACGTTGAACCGTCCTACGAATATAAAATATATTTGAACGTTGTTTAGGTGAGACTAGAAGCGATTGGAAGGACTTCAAATAGAGTTTTGTACTATAGAATATTTGTATCGCAAAAAAGGAATATTTCAAAAGTTCAACTTAATCACTTAAAAAGTTTAGGAATACATTTTCTTGTTTTATAATACGAATTAAGTGATAACTATTTTTAAAAGTCACCGTGTTACATGTGATCTTGATATATATATCATTGCTTTCGCAGGACTTGACAATATATTTGAAATACAAAGTTTATATATATATATATATATATATTATACATATATATATATATATATACATATATAAGTCCAAAACCTGATGCGTTGTCCAGATACATCTCGCGTGCACATTTTGTGCAGCTTGCGAATAGTTGCCAACTGTTTTATTTTGCCAACTTTGGCACAATATCGAGCGAGAGGCTTGGTCGTACTCGTTGCTGGACTTTGTGATTGCGCCATTATAAATCGAAACAAGAGAGCTATGCTCATATATATGGACACGAAATTTTTATGGAAATGTTTTACCATCAATTCCCCGAAAACCATACGGCTTCCTGAATGAACCTGAACAGCCACAGTAACTTACAAGTACCTATATCAGCAAGGTACCAGTAACGGTACGCGGATTGTCTCCGCTTTCCCATGTCCTGTGAAGCTGATCCATGCTACATGATTCAGTTTATAAAACCGTGTTACCATCAGTAAAAAATATTACAGCGAAATTTAAGATGAAATATCTGATCTTATAGGATTTATGGAAAATTTAGGAATAAATAAAAAGTTGTAGAACTGTAGCTAAATCTTTAATCACTGAATATAGGATAGGCTGGGGGAATGGGCGCAGGGTGGTGTCAAGGATAGTGAGGCATAGAACAATGGGTCGAGGATAGTAGGAGCGAAGAGGCACTGGGCATGGGCGGGGGTGGTGAAGCTGTCGGGTGAGGATAGAATAGCTTAGGGAGGTCAGGCAGTTGGTCGAGGATAGGATGGCTGATTGGATGGGGCAGTCGGTCGAGAATAGGCGGGAGATATAGCAAGTCGACGATAGAGAGCCTGGGGGGATGAAGCATTCGGGCTGGGGTAAGAGGACATAATAGTATATATATATATATATATGTTGTGTTTTTTAACTTAACATTCCGTACGAAAACTTATGGGACCCGCCCCAATGCTCTACCCCCCTCAGCCTTTCTGCTTCGACTTGCTGCTCTATCTCCCCCTGTTCTAGACCGACTGCCCTTCCCAATTATCCTTCCTATCCTTCCTATCTGACTACGTCAGATTGCTATGAATTCCGCGATAGCAAACAGTTTGATTTTGATAAAAATTCAACACATGGAAATTATCTAGAAACTTTTGAATATTGGAGAATTTAAACCAAACGGCAGGCTTGCTTTAGATGTGGATTACCTTTTCGATGAAATCGAAATAATTAATGAAAAGTATAGCATGATCCAAAGTTCTAAACCGCTTCCAGAATGCAGAAGTGACACACAATCCAAAAAAGTTGCAAGCTTATGAGCGAAGATAGTTCCAGAGATCTGTAGAACCCGTCTGAAGATCTATGATTACATAGACGCATATAAGTATTTGTAAGCAAAGCCAAAAATCTTCACTGTAACAGGAAACAAACAACCACACGCAGTACATCCGTTAATATTATCTAGCAAGTTAAAAGTAGCACATTTTCAAACTACCATTAATGGTTTTGATCACCGTTTAAGAATTAGACATATGGCGGAGGTCAAGACAGTGAGACATGGGGCAGTGGGTCTAGATTAGGAGGGGCGAAGGGGAAAAGGGCATTCGACTTCCCTATCCATCTCCTGCCTATTCTCAACCGACTGCCCTATCTCCTAAGCCGTCCTATCCTCGACCTCCGCGGGCTCTCCTATCGCCCCAGCGCGATCTTTCTAATCCGCTGCTCTTTCCCCCTTGTCTCTTCTATCCTCGATAGGGCTGGGCATTTTTGAATACCTTGTGATTTCAGAATCGAATCGAATAATTTTTTCGAATCGAATCGAATCTCGAATACTTGAAAATATATAATTGTAAGCGACTTTATTATAGTAATTGGTCCTCTCAACAAATGAATTACTGAAGACATAGAATGATTCACTCAGATAGATTACTGAGCGTTCACACAGAATAACAAACACGTTTTATCAATAACTCACTACAGAAAATAGTCATATGTTAGAATTCCGTTGAAAAAATGTGACTCCAATGAAAAAAAAAATGGGGAATTCACCTCGACCATTAGCGGAAAGATAAAAACAAGATGGCGGCGATTCGAAATTTAGCTCTGAACCGATTCGAATAATTTACTATTCGATTCGATTCGAATATTCGATTCGAAATGCCCAGCCCTAATCCTCGACCGCCTGCCTTATCCCAATCCTGATCCACATTCCTCCAATCCATCCTACACCCACTGCCCAATCTCCCTAAGACTTCCTATATATACCCTTCAGCCTTTCTAACCATTCCTTTGACTCCGACTTCGCTACAAACCTACCTGCGTCTCACCCTTAAATTCTCTAATATTCACAAAGTCCTGGATAATTTCCGTATGTTGAATTTTTATCAAAATCAAACTTTATTATTCCTGAATTCAAAACAATCTGACGTCGTCAGTTTTGCGTGTTATAACGCAATCAACATTTGCGAAAATTTGGTGTACATTATATCCAAAGATCGTGTGTTAGGAACGGTATTTCAACTTCTTTCAAATATTTGTTAGAAAACTTATAAGACTTAGTACTGTCGTCGTCAGTCCATCCTACCCCCGTCCCATCGGCTGAGGGTATAGGGCAGCCGGTCGAGGCTAAGCGGGAGAAGGAGCGGCAAGTCGAAGATAGGGAGGCTGAGAGGGAGAAAACATTGGGACGGGGGGTAAGATGGACCTATTAAAAATTGCTAGAGTTGTTGATAAAGTTGGTTTAGTTAAATTTGTTGGTATTAGCAATGGATTATGCTGTTTTTTGTTACAGGCCACAGGGTGGTAACTTTCACCTAATTATCTTAAAAGTGAAAGTGTCTATTTTTGCAGAAAGAATACTATGTTATTCCCCAGCATGAAAACATTAGAGGGCCACAGAATTTTTGAAAATGGGCCACGAAAGAAAAAAGGTTGAGAACCACTGCTCTAGCCTCTCTCTCCTTGACCATCGCCCTATTCACAATATTTATCAACTCACAAATGTTTGTTTCTTACAACTTCAACAACAATAAATATTTCGAAACACGTTCGTACTTAGTAAAATATCGTTTTTACCTATAATAGCCCCAGCCATATTACAGTGACTGACCAGATTCAAACATTTTATCGCATGCTTATAAAAACGGCGATTCATAGTCACAACTCACAACAACCACCAAAAACATTCGACCAGGCTGGACCAGACCAAGCATAGCTCACTGCTATCAGAGAGACAAACAAGAGAGCTATGCTCAAATATATGGACACGTAGCGCCACCCAATGGCAATAATTTTGATGACGTCATAGCGAAAAAAAAAGTAATAGCCTTCTGGAGAAAAATTTTATCTTCAACCACTGAAAATTTCAAAGCAATTGGTCCAGTATTCGAAGAGAAAAGCGACTTTTTAAAAACGTGTCAAAGAACAAGAACAACAACAAGGACAACAAGAACAAGAACAACAACAACATAATATTGAAACGATCGTTATGTCCACTACGTGTCCAAAAAGCCCGTGTCAAGACGCTGGGAAGAGTCGAGCTAGAACAGACTTGGGGTGGTGCTGTCCACATAATCTTGACTTCGCTGAAAATCGAATCATAGTACGCCGCTTCATATTGATATAAACATACAAGAGAGCTATGCTCAAATATATTTTATCATCAATTCGCCGAAAATCATAAGCGGTAACTTACCAGCAGCCGCAATCGGAAGCCGAACAACTCGCCTACAATTGTTTTCCTAAATTTGGCAAATCAGAGTAAATTCAAGTCAATTATATCTGAAATGCGTACCTATGACAATATGAAATGTAACATTTCTGCTAATCAATCACATATGTGTCCCATACAGCTCACAGAAATATTTGAAATAAATACAAGTAATAGCCTTCTAGAGAAAAATTTCATCTTTAACATCTGGAAATTTCAAATCAATTAGTCCAGTAATCAAAGATAAAAGCGACTTTTTCATAACGATAATTTTTTTTTTGTAAAAGAACAACAACAACATTACAAAACGATCCATAGGTCCATCACGTGTCCAATAAAAAACTTGTATATAAAATATAAATATTCTTTCAGTAAAACAAGTATCAAGATTGCAATTCAATGAAAATAGTTAACCTGTTGCCGTAATTCTATTAGATGCATGAACTTTTGATCTGTAAATGCTATAGATTATAATGTTCACGTGATAGCAATATTGATTTCGCATACTAAGAAGCCCAAAATACTTATTTGTATTTGTTCATACTCACGTGATGTTACTAGTGACTCGTTAGCGAAGGTTTAAAAATAGCTCGGTGCTGTACCGAACGTTGCATCACCCGGAATATTTCTATACGGGTTCATTCAAGCTTGACGCAATTCAATCACATGATTACGCCTCGTCCAATAGCAGAAGGCCACATCTCGCAGAGTTGGCCACGTCGACATAATCAGGCAAACATTGTCAGCTGACAGCAAAGGGTTTGTTATGGAAGGTTGCTAAAAATCCGCACATAATGCGCGAAAGTGAGGTGGTATTGAGACGTCCAGACTAGCAAAAACCTACTATCTGTATAAATCGACACCAGAAGAATAAGTAGGACGTAATAAAACTTTAAATTTCGAATATCGGGACAACTTTATCCATCTCACAAAATGGCACCTGTTATTGTCACAACCCAGCCACGTACAATCGTTATTACACCTAATATGTTTGTCGGAGATGAAAATAGGAAAATTATAGACAATGGCGAACTGCCGAAATATGCGGTTGGCCTTTTTGAATCGAATGGACCTGGACCTAGAAAACGAAAGCGACTCACACATCTTACCCCAGAAGAAAAAGTCATGAGAAGGTATGGTTTTAATTAATATAATATGGGCTTTTAATTAATCTTGACAACACTACTGAAATCTTATCATTAAATATAAATCATGGGCATCTCATTTGTATACAATAGTGTCATGAAGACAACATGGCAACTACAGAGTATACTTGTAGTTGTAATATAATACCACCAATTGATTTAATGTAAATTCTAAATTAATATGTAAAATTGTTATTTGTAATTGGACACACCTAGGCTAATTCCAGAATTCATAGACGATTGGCACAGACCTTGGGCCGGCCTATTGCTTCGTTGGTCAGCAATTAATATTTTTTTCTAGCTTTGTTTGTCTGTTTGTGGCATGTTCAAAATTATTTTCACCAGTCTTGTCAGTTGAACTTAATTGTCATTGTAATTTTACAGAAAATTGAAAAACAGAGTTGCTGCTCAAACAGCTAGAGACAGAAAGAAGGCCAGATTAGAAACTCTGGAAGAAACTGTTGCCAAAATACATGAACAGGTAATATTATAGAATTTGATGACTGAATTTGACTGAAAAAAATTTTCTAGCAAGTTAATAGGATGATTTGGATTGCACCGAATTTGAAATTATTGATGTTGCATAATCCCCATTTTCATAAAGTTAGTCATTTGTGATGAAACATTTGTCGCAGGTCTAGAATATATTAACAAGTTGAAACTTCATAATCATGTGTAAAATCTTCCCATTAGACCACATTAAGCAAAAAGATAAATTTTGTTTAAACTCTTTTCAGACCAAAAAATTATTAGATGTCAATTCTCAATTGCTGGAAAGAACCGAAGCCCTTGAAAGAGAAAACGAAGTTCTTCGAGAAAGGCTTGGACTTGACGTCGGCAATTCGTTCACTCAAGAGAAAAGACGAGAACTGAATTCAATCAAACAAGAATTCAATGAAATTGTGTCTGCTCAAAATATTTCCAGTCAAAATACACTACAAGATTGTTCAGGTTGGTTGAAATTATAGTGTTATGCATACTTAAAAATAAAATAAATTGGAGGAGTAATTATGGCTGCATTGGGCTGCATGTTGAGTTTTATACTACAGTATATTAAGTGATTGTTTGTCACCATCTTTAAAACCAGTTATATTTTTCTACAAAAAATCGCAATTTTTACATTGAAATCTATTTATTTACAGATGATGAAAGCTATTGCATTCTGACACCTTATGAGGGCAATGATAACTCTGTTGGTAATCGAAGTCTCATCGATGTTTCTCCATGTGAAGCGAGCAAGTGCAGATCCCCCGAACCCGCAGCGTCCGGGGAACGCATCAAGGAAGGACCTTTTCCTCAGCAGCAGGAAGCTGTCAACCCAGCGAAGCTGATCCGCTTGCAAGCCAAACAGGAGAATGCATCGACGAGATATCCGTTACCGACTCCGGTATCACAGAATCTTCTCAAGGTGATTCAGATCTCGCCAATTTGCTTAAAGAACTTGAAGCCATCCAACCTGAACAATGTAGCGTTTTCAACAACTCTGCAGAAGGTGAGTTGATCATTTATTTTCTCTAAAAAAATATCAAATCTCTATTTGTCTACAACTTGAACCAATTTGTTGTGTGTTATGCCCTATTTTTAATGCTGTTGTTTCAATTTCAGAAGGAAATGCCATTGGATCTACGGAAGCAATAGTATCACATCTTCTCAATGCAAACAACAAAATCACAGTTCCTTTAAATGTATTTCGTGACCACGGTTACTCAAAATCAAATTGCAATATTGTTTGGTCTCAAGGTGTAACCTCAGATGTTGTCGTTCCCGTCGCTGAATCTTCAATCATAAACAACAACGTTCAAGAACAGTCATCTATCGATTCAAATAAGTCAATCGCCCTTGTTGAGGAGCCACAAAACTGCATGCAGCAGCAGTCAGAATTAAAAGTTCCTTGTGAACATCTGAACTCTATAATAGAGTCCCCATGCACCAATAATGCCAAAGAAGGAAATGAACCACAAACAATGGATTTAAGTAATATTGATTCAGTTTTTGATAACTGGTTTACAAACTTATCAGAGTCCGCTGAAAATTCTGAATCGGAGTCCGTAGACAGTGGAGTGTCTTCATGTGAATCGCCTATGTCTGCATCGTTTTTAGACACGCCATCTCCACTCTCAGTCTCCGGTGTTGACCCATTCGATGCAGCTATGGATTGTAATTTCTGGGATGATCAGTTAGCGACTGATCTTTTCCCGCAGTTGGTTTTGTAGATCAAATTTTCTTACCTTGTTGGCTTGACTTGGGTGCAATATTTATTGGGGAGACTATAATTCACTTGAAACCTTAAACTTTCTGCTGTAGTTTATCATCATTGTATATAGTGCGTGCATTTTTTGGGCTTCTCAATAAAGAGATCTATTGTTAAGTTTGTTTCGAGTTGTATGTAGAGTGCGTCACTGAGGGGGCGGACACTTGCTATATTTTTTTTGGGGGGGTTGTGCTACATTTTTTTTTGGGGGGGGGGGTGTATCGTTATGTAACAACATTTCGATGTCATTATCTTAAGTAGAACGCCCCCAGGTGTCCGCCCCTTTGCGTCTGATTATTCAGTCACCATTGGGCCGTTCCGGACAGGGGTCGCACGTGGCACATTTGCTAGTATAGGAATGAAGTATGTTGGAAGCTTGTGAGCAATCGACATTTTCAAGGGTTGCAGGATTTTACTTTGAGAATGTAATCAATGTTTATTTTTGTGTTGGGAAATATCGTACGAGTAAGAGGCCAAACTTTGGATGCCTCAACGATTAACATATATGTTAATATATAGAGCTTGGTCAATGATAGTTGAATGTTAACAATACAAAAATAATACTGTGGCTCCATATGCCGGCAACCTTGGACCACCCTGGACTGAATGCTGCTCCTCGCATTGCACTCAGTTGGGGGTCGCCAACCCTTAGCTAGTCGTGGGCCAAGAGTTTAATCTACTACTCTTTAGCGGGTTGCAATTATTTTCACCTAAAAACTCATCTGTTTTATGTTGATAGAACGCTGCAACTTGTCATGTATTAATTCTACTTTAACATGATAATAAGGGATGGACAAAAATGAATATCTCAATCAAATATTTTTATCCAATACCATATAGTTCTAATCTACAATCGAGTCGAGACTCGAGTCTACAAGCGAAACTCCATTTGGAAATCCCTATAACACCATTTTGAGACTGGTTTTGCTATAATCGCTGGATGTTTTTGTCGGCGATCGATACCATAACGTTGGTAAACTGTCTTTCTGTTAACTCTTTTACTTTCTAGTATTAATTCTTTTGTCACGGCAGACATCGGAGTTTTTTTTCATTTCTTGAGAAACCGTGCGTTCAGTGAGGCAAACGCAGCGGGTGAATTCGCAACCCAAATTAGTCTATTCGAATGCCTGTCTTTAGTGTTGGCTTTGATCTTCCTTTTGTCCTTATCGCTATTAGTAAATCAACCTTCCTATTCATTGGCAATACATTCTTCGCCGTGACATATAAAGACTTAACTATGATCGATTTAATAGAATTGATTTTTGCTTCCTGTGGGTATGAACAATGTCCATCTTACCCCGAAATACTTGCTCTTGTATCATGGATTCCCAGACTGGGGTAAGCGGACCCCAAAGGGGCCCGGAAAATAGTTTTGAAGGGTCCGCAAAATCAGGGGAAATGTTAGGAATGGGATGGATGGAAAAATCTACATTGAAGGATAACTGATATTTTTACTTGTCGCTTGCTTTCATCCATTCTATGCCCTCCAATTTGGGATCTGGCATAAATATTCAATTCCCCATTCATTTCTCCCAATGTTTGTGCATTTTGTAGTGCTTTTTCAAAACAATGTCAAGAGGTCCACAACAGACAAAATATTTTGCGGGTCCGTGGTAAAAAAAATTTGAGGCAGAGTTTCCCAACCTTCTTTGGTCGCGGACTATTTCCTCACCGGCGAAAACCTTTGCGGGCTCAACATGGATTTATCACAACCGTACTCTGTGGGAAGAAGCAATAAAACCAAATACAACGAAATTTGAACGAATTACAAAATCGGAATTTGCGCAATTACGCGTCCGTTAAAAGAGCCGACTTTTTTAGTTATTAATGACCTATTCTGTCTCACTATATATATATATATTCAATCCATGACGAGGGCGAGAATTTAAGAAGTCTTTCTATTTTAATTGTGTTCATGGTAAATTGCGGTTGCGTCGACTTACGGCAAGATGATAGCATTACTTCTTTAAAATGCCACAGCAATCTGCTAACATATTGCCCGATTATATTTAGTTTTGATACATATTTTCAGAGATCTTGTAAATTTGTTATCACCGTTAGAAAAATCCTACTATCTGCTATAATTTTCCAAAAATTACAACTTGATTTAGTACTTTTTTAAAATATATTTGAAGTATATTAATAAATCAAAAATACATATTCACCGCCATGCTTTATTATTAATTTAATGGTGATCACTTCAATCTGCGATTGTGTTGACGAAATAAAAGCAATACTAATCAGAAAATATTATGATAATCCGTGGACACAAAAATGTGTGTAAAGTGCCCGATTATATTTTGTGATGATTCGTATTTTTGTGGATTCAACAAATCTGAACTGTTCGTACAACACTTACGGCGCTCCAGTACTGTACGCACCAATGTGAAGGCCTAAGAAAAAATGCCCTGGTACATATACTACAGTATCACCCAAAATTTTGCGATTTGCAATGTCTGAAGAAGCGTTTTTAATCGGCCGCGTACAATCATAAAACAAAATTTATGGTGTTCTCCGTTTTATTTTTAGTATTTTGTATTGCCGCTTTTCAATTTAGAAAATTTGGGTTGCCACCAATGACACCTCCTAGAAAAAAAATTGTCCTCCTCGTTGTTCGAACTCGCGAGAAACACCACGCGTGTGCTCGTGTTTTCGACGGAAATTCGCAAGTTGTGAAATCCAATTGTTTTGACCTGTCGCGTCACCTGTTACCAAATTTTCGAATAGTGAATTGCTATTCTAATAGTTGAATATTTGAATATATGCCATACTCAGTGACTAGTAATAGATTAAGATTAATAGTAATAGTATAATTAATAGATTAATAGAGAATACTAGATTAATGTTAAGTGAATAAACTTGCTTTTTATGTTTTATGTGAATTATAACGTAAATTGTAATTTGGCTGATAGTTAACTTTCGCAAAACGTTTGCGGCCCGCAGTGACTTTCTGGCTCGTTGCGGACTCATTCAAACGCTTCGCCGACTCATTTGAGACCTCGGACTCGGGTTGTGAAACACTGCCCTGTCTACACCAGGAGTGGGCAAGACTTTTGAACCAGGGGCCAAAACTTTTGCTCATCTAGACTGGCGGGCCATGTAAGTGTGACGTAAAAAGTTACATTTTATGAACAATATTTACAGTGTTATAAAAGCAACAGTGGAAAACAATAAGCCTCGTGCAAAAACTGAAAATAAATTTACCCGCAATCTCAACAAATTCCTTGAGATATTTTTAAGTAAAACATCAAGATTTAGTTTCAGTTTGGTTGTGGCAGCATCAGGCGAGCCAGATTGAATTACCCAACGAGCCGTACTTTGTCCATGTTCGGTCTACACTCTACAACAGGGGTCGGCAACCTACGGCCCGCGGGCCGGATCCGACCCGCGAAACAATATAATCCGGCCCGCGACGCTTCGCTGAATTATAGTAAGAAAACAGCTGTTTTGACGATTATATTCTTTACGTAACAGAATTTATTGTGAGACACGTGTAGACTAAATTATATTATAATCTAACAAGTATATAATTCACGATTACTCGTTTAATGAGCCTATAGTTTTATTATAATTAGACAAATGGCAACAAAACGCAGAAAAGTTCAAGTAAATGGTTCAATGGAGCAGAAAATATTCAAATGGTCAGTCTTTGCGCTCTGCTTAAAATTTAACTTCTGACCTGTGTGAAAAAATGTGATTCATCGGCCATCCGTTCGTTTTTTAACTTTCTAAAATTATGTGCGGCCCGACGATGACTTGCAACCGTTAAATTTGGCCCGCGAGCGATAAAAGGTTGCCGACCCCTGCTCTACAATTCCATAGTCTGCACATGTTTACAAAGCTCCAAGCTGTACGTTTTAATGGGACGCGGTTGCTATTATTCCACCATATTTGCTATTATTTATTGGAATTCATTGGCTTACTCACTGTCCACTATCACTAAAAGATATCGATAAAATTGGACATTCAATTGTTATTTATAGACAAGTGGAATATTGTATGACATTAATTATTATGCTTCTTGTCATAAAGATTGAAAATATTTTTATATACCTTAAATATGCTGGGCGATGTACCCTATGTTTGCTCCCATGTTTGCTCTATAAATCTCTGGTAGGCGAGGATTAATATATATTAGCCATCTCTCAAATGACATACGAATGTTGACATATATCAGTAGACTGAAAGTACATTTAAAGTATTTTTAAAATTTTATCATGCTTGTTCGAGCTTGATGATTGTGTGTACCATGTTCATTTTGTTATTGGTATAGTGCAGCGAAATTGGTTTTGTACAGGAGAAATAATCAAATGAAAACCAAACATGAATGGAAGATCCTTATGAAAAAGTGAAACACGGCCAAGACTAGAACGTTGCTGTTATAAATGAATGAAAACGTACTATATATATAACTTGTTGTTGATGATCGCTCTAATATTCCAAAATAAGATTAATTTTGCCAATTCGTTTGCACAGTAATATATCTGAGTCATAACCACAATAAACTTAATATTATTTTATCATATTTGTGCGATGTTTACGCTCGACCACATCGTGTACATAATCACAATCCATTAAATATAGATTTACAAATAGTTCTTTTCTTCATAGCGTAACCAGGTAGCGGAAAATCTTTCGTCAGTCGCAGTCACATGATATGTGAACTGTTCAGGAAGAGATAGTAACCTCACTAACCTGGTAGTACAAGTATACAGTTCAAACAGTTTTTTGATAAGGCTATCTATATTTCACTTTTATTTTCAGAGGCTCGTCTCATTAGGTAAATTACAGCTTGATAAACATGAAGAAAAAGGTGGCTACAGATAAGGTCAAAGTTTGTGTTCGAGTACGACCGATGATATCCTTTTTAAAAACAAATGTTTTTGTTGTATTTTTCAACTTAATTATTTCATATACAGTTAGCTTTGATAGTTCCTAGTTTAATAACGTTAATTTTTGTGTACTATTATACGATATAGGATCCAGCTAATCAATAGCATGCCCGACAAGCGACCCAATATTTTGTGACGAGGAGTGAGAATGATTATTAGTCAAATGCGTCGTAAAGTTTTTGATTTTGTCCTCAATTGGTATTCGCCCATTGTCCATGAGAGCGCCATGCTGAGATTTGACGTCATGGTCGATGATTCCCATGTAATTAAGTGATTTCTACCGAGCAAGAAAAAGAAAGCAAGACTTCCCATGAAAGAATAGTAAGCCTACTTTTGGGGGATGGTTTCATTATTATTGCTACTCGCTATATGTACCTCGTCGGGTCGAAAGATATTACAGAAAAGCTTTGAGTATGCTTTGCGACAGTTTGCAGTTACCTTCAATACGAGAAGAAAACGAAAACATGAGAGGTCGTTCAGTTACACCTCGTCGACAAGACATGATGCCGTCTCCATCCCGTGAAATATTTCGACAGACTCGTCCATTAACCAAAACACCGAAATCGTTGAAAACTACAAAAATTGCTTCGAAGGGTGAGGATTATTCCAATGTCTATTTTGTGCTTGTATAGCGCTCAAAAAGTCTTCATTAAAATATTTATAAAATTTTGCTGTTTGTTTGTTTCATTTTACTTCTGAAGCGAAATTTGATATTTTTCATAATCTGAGGTTTGCTGAAATTGAAGTGCAAAGGCATCATCATCGTCGACTTCCAGTTTATTTCTTTGTTTCAAAATTGATGGTTTTGATTATGATCTACGGATATGCATAAATGGTAAACGTAAAATCTCTCGCCGAAGTAAAATTCTTTCAGGTTGAGAACAACTGACATAAAATATTGAAAAATTTCCAAACTCTTGGATATTTCTTTATTTTGGGAGATTCTTTCCTAATAGCGCTGTGTTGACAAGTTACCAAGGTTTTGTGTGGTATTGACTTGATTTATTGCCTGTGGACGTTTAAAACTATTGTGTTGGTGCTACTGCGAGTCTCAATAACCGTCTGTCTACTGAATACTGACCTCTTTGTACCTAGGATAAATATGCATATAAAGCCCCTTGCGCACCAGTGGTTACTTGCAATTCTTCGGGCCTTGCTTTGAGTAAATAAACTAGTATAAAAATTCTTTTTTAGATTACGGACACATGATTTGTGGCGCATTATATTGCATTGTGTTACCATATCCATATTCGTTCATCCGTATTCATGCAGATTGCGCGTTGTCCTTTAGTAAAGTGGTTAATTTATGCTGGCAGATAATTATCACAGAACTATTCTTGGTTACTGTAGAATTGTTATTATTGACAGAAAAGTGAAAAATGGCCAAGTTCTCTAATCAATGTCAAAAACCTCTATTTTCCATTTTTCCAAATGGAGGCGACGTTGCGTAACCGGAGTTTATTCACGCACGTCACGTCGCTTAGCTGCGGGGGAAGCCACATTTGCGAGACGTTCACGGGTTTATACGTGTTTATGGTGCACACCTGCGTACGCTTAGCAGGCGAGTCGGGTGTACGTGTCGTTTTGTGAAATAAGGTTATTAATATCACCAATTTATAGAAAAACGAAGACTGAAGAAGATGGGAGATAACGTTAAAGTTGCGGTTCGTGTAAGACCATTCATATCCTTTTATAAAATAATGTGAAATGATGAATTTGTCTGTCAGTGCTGCAGTGTGACTCCACACTTTGCCTGTTTTTAGTGTTGGCTTTGATCTTTCTTTTGTGCTTCCTAGTGCTCTAGTATCATTCTCAGACTGATGAAAGTACAAACTGACCTTGTTATTTGCGATGCGTTACTGTTTTACAGTTTTATCGCCTTTCTGTAGTTCTGGTATACAGATAGCCTATAGACTACCGGTACAATATCTGATTCTGAATGAAGTCCATTCTAGCCTATTTATCGATGACTTATGGACTTTCAGTTCTAAGCTTATTGATTTCCTTGCTATACTTGACCTAAGGCTGTACGGGATGCTTTCAAGGTAGTACTGCTGTACTGTGGTATAGCTACTGTTAGTACAGAAATAATGGATCGAAGTTGTTTGTAAACAATTAGTCTATTTTATTAAAGTGTGACTGAAAAATTGTGGGTTGTCTACTGGTCTATGTGAGATAAAAGAGCGATCTGCTGATCCAACAAATCCATCACAAACATAACTTAGAAAATTGAGCAGTTTTTGGTTTATTGTTACACTAAAATTATATTTGATTTATAAAGACTCTATCTCTATTCTAATCATTTTTTAGAAAAATATTTAGTCATTACACTCAACTTTAGTGTGCACTCATATATATTCAACTACACTTCAGTGTACCAGCCTTTCTCAAAAATTTTTTATGTGAAATGTATACTACTTTTTCTAAAGTAGTATAAATAATCATGTATGTATTCACTACCACTGTCTGTAGCATTATAGTCATTCACAGAAAAGTGACATCTCTTGGCTGGTGCTTGTGATGTTGATATTTGAAATTGATACATTTAGGAGCTTAATTTTTACAAAAGGAAATTATTCATAAAATATTAAAAATTTATATTTCTGAAAATCATTTGAAAATTTTATTGGAATCTATTTGGTTTTATTTCTTCAAACGTTTGGTATTCAGTTGATTTGTCTTGTGAAGTCATTTCATTTTTTATCAATTTTGACCTTAACTTTGTCACACAATGATCGAGAGAAGCAAAGAAAAGCAAAACTCATCATTGAGATGGAAGGAAGTACAACTATAATCAAAGATCCTGCTAACATGGATGCAGAAGGAAGAAAATATACTTTTGATTATTCGTATTGGTCACACGATGGCTACAAAGAGAGAGATGATGGATATTTGGAACCGGTCGATGGAAGATATGCAGATCAGGTGATTTGGTTTGAATGTTAGATCAGAGGTTTAAACATAACCTTTTTCATGTAACTATAAATTGTCTTTGTTTACCAACAATGTTTCTGACTTCATAAGGTTTAAGCTTTTCCTTGGCCAATCTGGCATCTGGAAAAGAGGACTTTGTTGTGCCATATTATGACCAACTTTTTTAATGGTTATCCTCAGAATAAATTTATTTAGACTTAGAGTATCCGGGTCTCGTGTAGTTTCGTACCTAACGTACTTCTAGTAGGCGCAGCATAACAATCTTTTGACATGTCAATCCTAACCCTCACCTGACTACGCCATCCAAAAATTACGTCACTACGACGTCACAATCACGTCATAGAGGTTGCCAAATACTCGTACAATCGCCCAAAATGGCATCGGCGCCGACGATAAAGAACTGACTAACGTCAGCGGCTCAGCGCTCTCTCTCCTATTGGGATCGTTGCGACTAGAAAACGAGAGAAATGGCTGTTCGATTTCGGGTTCTCGTCTGCGCGTCTTGGATGACAGTATTTTTCTATCACAATATGTATTTTGGCAATTAAACGAGTGCTGTATGCTAAATATTGAATTAAAATAAAGATAAGATTTCAAGTCATACAAGACCAAAATTATGAACCCTAAAACGTCTTTATTGTATCTAAGTGATACAATCTCTGATTGTTCAGCTCTTTTATTATCTATTCATTTAGTCAACTTTATATTTACTTATCTAATATCCAAGCAGCACTCACGCCCCGTGCAAATACTATCCCAATGACATCTTCCCCTTAAACAAATTTACAAAGTCAAAAATATCAAGAAGAGTAAACTTCACATCACTGTGAGATCATGATCATAAAATTGTCAAATAACAAAGAGCAAATATATTTAATATTCCATTTGGAATTCAACCACATTTCTAATAAAAGTTTATATACAATACAGTGTTAACTCTAAGCAAATTATGAGTGCGAAAGTGCTTCGCAGTCGAAAAAAAAAGTGCGAAAGTGCTTTTGCCGATTTTAACAAGTTAGGTGCCCTAGCCTTTCCTATAACCCATTTAAAACGGCATAGATACTCAAAAAAGCGCTCCTCCGGTTAATATTATGAATTAAAGAGAAGCCTTTTCGTTAACCCAGTTCTCTTTAAGCGAATTCATGTTTAATTAAAACGAGCGAATTCATCGGCAACGAAATGACATCTGCTAACACCTGCCGGGACAAAACTTTCATGCAATGTATCAAGGTGTCAGTTGCTTACTCGCGTAAACAGCAAAGACTTTCACATTTGTTACTCCTTCCATCTAACAGACACGAGGCAGGCTGGAAACCATATTAATTACAGGGTGGATCGTTTGTACAAATCCCGTGCAAAATAATCTCCCCCCCCAAATATAAATAGCAATCAACTAATTATGGTTAGGTGCGCTGGAAATTCAACTTTTCGATTTATCCCTAAACCTAATCTGATAATTATTAATTTGTGATTTTGAACCACTTTGAAAGTCGCCACCGGCTGTTTTAAAAGATAAGTTAACCTATGTTCCCTCCGAAATATTATGCAGGATACTCCCCTGTTTTAGGAGATAGGTTGACCTACTTTTCTTTCAAACCTTTTTCTCCGAAATATTACACAAGATCACTTTGAAAATCCTCCCGTTTCGTGAGCTAGCGTGACCTAATTTATCTTTTACATTTATAATATACTATTTCAGAGCTTACCCAAAGACAAAGTGATTTTTAAATGTCGACATGCCTTGGTTTGTGTGCGAGTTAGTTTAAATCGGGCAGAAAACTTCATATATTGGCAAAATGTTTAGTAATGTCATGTACTTTCAGCATTCATAAATAGCACTCTTTGTAATGCTGCAAAAAAAGATTTGGTCGCGAGAGTTACGTGAGATGACTGCCGTTGTTTTTTAAGCAGAATGTAAACAAAATTTATAATTAATAAACGGGAGTTACGACGCCCTTCACACATCGTGTGTATTAAACTTCCCTGGTAAGTACTATTATTATTGTACTTATACACCTGTTGGAGTATTTCGGACAATTTCGAATTTAAAATAAATGAAAACCCGACATATAATAAAGACGCAAAAGTAAAATGAACATTTATTGAAAAAGTTATTATTTCAGAAAGACAACATGATGTACAATTCCGCCAAAACCTCTATGTTCGCAAGTGAAATTATAAATAAATACTTCCCTGTATTCGATCAATTAACTTTAGCGTATCGTTGTTCTGCCAACAAACAGCCGGGTGCAAAATATTTCCGTCCTGTGATATGCTCACAAATATTCTCGATATTAATATCATACCCTCGCGTATGTACTTTCTATTAGCTCTTTAGTGATCCCTTCCATCCTTGGCCAAGTCATGTTTCGAATATGTGAACATTTTATTCGACCATACGTGGCCGGCGGGATGTTAAAATTGTAAACAAGAGAGAGGTAAAATCAATCGCGAATTTCGTTATAACGGCTCGTTTACGAATTGTTGCGCCTGTTATCGTCGAAAATGATTACATTTGTTGTATTTTGAGGCATTTAAGCAGTAATAATTAGGGCATGACATCATCAAAATCGTCAAGTGAGATCTTGAAATTGCAAATTCCGTAAATAAAATTGTGAATTATTCGGTAACGAATTCAGCTTCAATGACCGTCGGGGTATTGTTTTGTTGCAAATTATTATTAATGTGAGAGCGCCAAAAACATACAGTCCATACCGATGCGACTGCAATTTATATGGTCGCAATTGGTCTGGCGCGTTTATTAATAGTGTAAAATAAATTAAACGAATATCAGTTATAACCAAGCCTGTCAGCGTGTTTATTTTCTGTTGGCAGGAATCGTAAAATACCATCTTGAGACAAATTCATTTCTATTATAAAATCTTAATTTTCAGTTATTATCGTTATACAAATAACGTGTGGCAACTTTTTAATTTATCGTCGACCAAAAAACCGCCCCACACTGGTCCAAACGTGTGTCGAGCTTGAACGACAGGAACAGATTCATCGACGACCGTAATTAGGGAAAATATGTATTTTATTGGGAATGCAAAATAAATGTAACAAAACGCATTTTTTTGTGATATAACTTTGTATTTTTGGAAACGGGTTGCCGTGAAAGGTAAAATTTGATCTAAATTAATCGCAAAAATGTTTTATTTTAAATGTAACAAAACACATTTTGCGATATAACCTTGTATTTTCGAAAACGGGTGTCCTGAAAAGTAAAATATGATCAAATTAATCGCAAAAATGTTTTATTTTAAATGTAACAAAACACATTTTCGCGATATAACCTTGTATTTTCGGAAACGGGTGTCCTGAAAAGTAAAATATGATCTAAATTATACGCAAAAATGTTTTATTTTAAATGTAACAAAACACATTTTTCGAGATACAACTGTATTTTCGGATACCGGGTGTCATGAAGAGTAAAATATGATCTGAATTAACCGTAAATAATGTTTCATTCCAAATTTATCATAACGCATTTTTTGCGATATAACTTTGTATTTTCGAAAACGGGGCGTCATTATTAATCTAATGTTTTATCTATCGTCTAACTAACGTCTGGAACACATCATTTTCGGGGAGAACTCTAGCCCGCGAAACGTCATTTAATTTAAAATAGAGAATGTTTCACGCATTTCAAAACGGAAAATCACCAGTAAGTGGACAGGGATTCAACCCTCCGGATTCAGTATTCTATATCCCCCCTGTCAGAACTTTCTGAAGAATGGAACAAAGAACCCATCAAACCGCCGCGGAAGAAGGGGAGTATTTTTGCACTAGTAATTAGGCCGTGACAATATCAAAATCGTCAAGAAACTGGGGAATTTGCAAATTCCATAAATAAAATTGTGAATTGCTCGGTAACATTTTAGCTATAATTATCGCCGGGTATTGTTTTGTTGAAAACACGTTGAAACTTGAGGGAATTAGTTACAATTAGCGCCTGACCTCTATTAGGCACTCGAGCACTCGAGCCCAATCTTTTTAGCATTAAGTCGCATACGAAAAATATCCTGTAAAAGAAGTGCTGTTCATTAACGTCATCTCGTCTTATGACCAGCAAAAATGCCTTCATTGCCGAATTATTCAATCACTATTTTAAATCAACATTCAGGATTGGCACAATTTCAGATTTGCGAAGTTTATCACCATAGAAATACATGAGAAAGTTAATTATCGTCTTAATAAATATCTGCATCACGGTATGGACAATAATATTACCATTCGCATAAAATTGGGACGGTAAATTTACAAATCTTGATAGGTAATATTAAAGCCAACGTAAATGTTAATTTGAGTCCTCAATGTCTTCAACAGCTGTTGCCGATGTGAACGAACGGGTAAACCCGAAATATAAAACTTCGATGTCCGCCGACCCACAAGAATTCATATTTGTAAAAAAGAGAGGGCGGGAATATAGATTACCCAAAACCTGGATATCGCCGCCAAAACGATCGGTGACTAGAACAATTAGCGATTACAACGGAATTAACCAGTAAAAAGGCTTTGTTGCCGATTTTTTAATGTATTCACCACGTTTATTCGGTACTCCTTCAAAAAAATATTGAATTTTGCCCACCCGTCCGCAAAATTACGGAAAATGCCACTCCTTTCAACATTGTGATTACAATAAAATGGCACTTAATGGTATTTTGTGAATTTGGTGATTTTGCAAATCTGTGACATGCTGCTAAAAGTTTCGTCTGATTTGAAAATCGTGCAGTTTGGTCACAATTCATCCAAAGTGACTATAACACGTAACACTTTTATAGTCATTTTGAATTCATCGATATCATTGATAGTCACATGACCACTCTCTTCAAAGAAACGCACAGGGTATATTTCCAACATCTGGTTTCAATCACCTGAGAGCGTTTTTTGCGGGAGAAGCGGAATCGGTGTGCTTGTATAATAATCATATTATAAACAAGAATTTTGCCGTTAATGCAAAAGCTTTATCTCCTATGTCTGCATCTCATAGGTTAGAATTCCGGTAAATATCGTTATGATATGCAGAATTGAGTTACAAAAGTACTAGTATGTTGCTTATTTGTCGACTTAATACTCGAAAATATTTGTTAACTTTGAATTTTTATTCCATTCAAAATCGGAAAAAAGTGCTATTTTTCTTCAAAATCGGAAAAAAGTGCTATTTCGCAGTCCCTAAAATAAGTTGCGAAAGTGCTTCGCAATTTTCGCAAAAAAGTGCGCTAATAGTGAACACTGAATTACAATATAGTTCTTACATTTTATTAGTGGCGGAAATTATTACCATCACCATATAAATTAAATATATAGTAGAATAATAGCCTGTTTAAGTTGTTAATGTAAAGTATCATATCCCAACTAAGTATATTTTTACCCATACAGTGGATACCAAAAATGTATGTTCCTAATTGAATGTTAAATTTCACAGAGAATATGAATTATTATTATAGAAAACTATAATCTGTACGAAGTACAATTTGACATATGTCACAGTTTGTGGACCCAATATAAATTTATATATACCAAAGATTTTTGCCTCATAAAAATTAAGAATACATAATTATTCAAATACAAACATCCCTATGTCTAATAACTAAATTTTTACTTATCGATTTTAATCGGTGAGTATATTGATAGGTATTTGTCTGTCTGTTAGATGCACGCGATATCTCATGAAAGCGAGATTGAATCTGCTCCAGATTTAGCATGTGCATTCATCATATGTCATACCAGAAGCCTATTGATTTTGGATGAATTATGTCGTATAATTAGCGAGTTATTAATTAATCAGTGATGGGACACAAGGTGTCACTATGGAGTAAGATCGCTGTTTTGGGGGATCTCCTAACTTTCGATCGATAAGTCTTCGGTCTCTGACCGATATTCTCGTTGGGGATGTTATTAATGATATTTAAAATGAATATTCAATTACCACCTGACACTTTTCTTCTTTCTTCGTGTAATAACACTCATTTAATTCTTTTTTATAGGCACATGTCTTCAAGGATTTGGGAAGGGGTGTATTATCGAATGCATGGCAAGGGTTCAATTGTTCCTTGTTTGCTTACGGACAAACTGGATCAGGAAAATCATATTCGATGGTTGGGTATGGCGAAAATAAAGGTGCTTTTAACGATTTGATCTCAAAGGCTATTATTAAATACTATTTTTTTTTGTGCCCCAAAGATGGCCCAAATATAAAATTTGCAAACTTGAATTTATTTTGATAACTACACTCGAATCTGTAATATTTCATATTCTATGTATTTCATTTTAATTTCAACATGTTTGTTAAAAGTATTTGATGGAGAAGTACCTTCACAGAGCAGTATAATGAAAGTTTCAGTTAGCCTCAAAATATTTCATAAATTTAGAAAAGTTATTTGTTCGACCTGAAATAACAGAATTTTTATTCATAGGAATCGTACCTGTGACATGTGAAGAATTATTTAAAGGAATAGAAGAAAAGAAATTAACGGATGATCAAGAAAAAGAAGCTGAATATCAGGTATTTTAGGTGCTTCCTATTACTGCTATGGACAAGCCTTCAGATAAGAAAGTCATTTTGTCATATGAGCTTCTAGGTTTGGGGGGACTTATATATTTTTGAACATACTCCATGTTTTTTGGTATGTTTCATTTTTTACTATGGTAAATTTCCGTAGCACTGAAATTATGAGGTCACTCGCTTAACTTTTTTGATACTTTGATACATAAGCTATTTGTCATTACTCTGCAACTAATCCTTGCAATTTTGAATGATGCAACTGTGCGATGGTTTTTGTTAAATATATTGCCGATACACTATACACATTCAGTGGTATCCATTCTGCTATTTGTCATGCAAAAACTTGCACTAGTGTCTTGAGAAATTGCAATTCAGTATATTATATCTATGCATTATATTACCATGTATTTTTTAATAATGATTCAAATGATATTACCCAGTCAATTTAAATTTACGATCAATCATTTGTATTTGGTATGATCAAATGATAAATAGGATTTCCAATTCTAAATCCCAAGTGGACATTTCGTTTAAATTTGGTAGTTACTCAATATATTTGTATACAAATTATATAGTCAGAAAACTTTGGCTTTGTTAGTGATCCTTACTCAAGTGATCTTTTAGTCAGTATGAAAAGACAGGTGTATGTGAGACAAGACAATGCTGTCTTTTGTCATTGCGGCCTTATATTATCTGCTTTACATTATTTGTATTTAACCACAAAACAATACAATATGGTTTGGGTTTCCATAGCAACATGGCAAATATTGTGAACCACTACGTCAGGATCATATAGCTTGAAAGCAATTTATATAAATTATAAATACAACGCATTGTCTTTTGTTTACTGAAACTGGAGATTTTCTCTTTAGAGGTTGTGAAACTAACACAATTTTGCTTTGTTCACTTCTGCTGGGATATGCCTGATGATTATATTCTAATGATTCAAATTTAACTACATTTAAAAATAAAATACTTCTACTCTGCTAGCAATTTGGGAGATTCTTGTGTGAATATTGCTTGATATTTAGCATTTTAGCCACAAATCTTTGGCTGTCGATGAATGCAATTCTTGTTCAAAAGGTGACCCATCATACATTTTTGAATCAATTTATGCATATCGTCATAAGGAAAAATTAGGCATCACTATATACAAAACAATAGCTAAATACAAATGATAGCTAACAGTCAAAATCTTTTGTATCCGTTATTATTCATTATTAAAAATCATATAATCATTTAAGCGATTTGGTCCACTCTAATAAGCTACATTCCTCCACATTTTGATTTTAGGTCTCAGTATCAATGTTGGAAATCTACAATGAAACGGTCAAGGATCTTCTCAATCCGTCATCTTTTAAAAAAGGTGGTCTCAAAGTACGTGAACATCCACAAAAAGGATTTTATGGTAAGAAAAAAGAATCCTTTTTTGTTTTACTTGAAAAGAAGGTCTCAATTTTTAATTATGTATAGTTAAGTAGGAAGTGTCGGTGTACATTCGTCAACTGCTCCATTTATTATTCATAATTAATATACAATGACTATGATTCAGTAATGGGAACTTTTATTTGAGTTTTAATCGCATAGCAGAATGGTGTTTGTTATCAGCGTATATTGCTTTTTTTAGAAATGTGTTTAGTTGATTTAGTGCAAGGCTTTTTATAGGTAGCAGTGGAGTGACAAATAAGCATATTTGTATAGAAATGTTGTGGTTATTCACAACAATTTTTTTATATAAATTGCTTGGAGAACAATATAATTATATGGAAAGAGTTTAGACCGTGAATCAAACCAATGATGCTTCCTATTAAGTATTAATAGAATATAGCTTTCAAAATCCAATTACGGAGTGGAATTATTATGCTTGAATGTAACAAAAAAGAAACCGATTCTTATACCGGGATGTTCAAAATCAATGGAGTATTCAAATGGAATTGAAAATAACTTTAAGTAGAAAAGATTGAGTATTTTGAGATTAAAAAACACTGAACAAATCAACTTAATATTCATTTTGATATTCAAATACAAACATATGGTATATATACCGGTAGATTCCCTTCTACATATTCTATGCTTCATTAATTATGTGAACCACTTTATAATATTTCCAATATTCCAAAATATTATTGTAGAATGTATTCGGAATAATAGATTATTCAACTTTGGCCTTATCTAAGTTTTCTGGTCATATGGGACTTTTTATAAAAATTTTCACGCTTCGTTTGCAAACAAGGCTCTGTAAACCCGTAAGTAACATTTCATACATTCAAAAACATCTGTGAATTTTTTTTTGATAGTTGAACAATTGAGAATCAGTCCTGTGCGTAACTACAGTGACATTGAAGCCAGAATTTCAGAAGGCAATTTCAATAGAACTGTTGCCGCCACCAACATGAATGCAACCAGCTCCAGGGCTCATACTATCGTCGCAATTAATTTTGCACAAAAAGCAAAAAATGACGCCGGAAAAAGTATGACGAAAACATCAATTATCAATCTCGTTGATTTGGCAGGAAGGTTTGTAATTATTTATGTGAATGTTGTATAGCTTTATAAGTATGTGAATTTTTTCTGGTGAACATAAACCATTTCGAATATATTATATTTGACGTTTCATATCAGAAAATATTATTTCGGTTATGACCATTTAAATGATGTGATTGACTGTTATTTCACAAAATATAATATTCTTGTTTGGAGACATTTTTTTAATAAGGATGTCATTTCAGACTGAACCATGTTTGAGGCTGAGATCGGCGCTTTATCAAAAATTTATGCCATTTTATTTTGAAATAAAAATGATTTTTTTATTTGCATAATGACTGTGTACATATAAAAATATTTTTTGCACTCCAAGAATTTAAAAACTGTTAATTTTGCACAGCTTTATAATTTGAGTGTATAATCCTTAGATTCATTGAAACTTGCTAGGAGTTACAGGATATAAAATTTTCTCTGTGAAAATATATCTAAGGGAATTGAAAATAAATGGCTTGGTGTTTGTAAATAATTCTAAAATACCATGGTTTATTGTTGTGGGTAACCAATATGTTTACCAAGCAACTCCTTTGTATTAGTTAGGTGACCTATCAAGAAAGGTGTGGTTGGTTTGATTATGTCATCATAGTTTACTAATGGTATTAAAGACAAATAAATTGACGTCAAGTATGTCGTTGTGGTTATGGTTACAAAAATATTAAAAACTATTTTAGGAGTTATATGTGATAGCGTAACAAAGAGTATTTCCACCATATAAAAATTATGTTTTCAAATTGCATACTTGATCAGCTATTGATAATACTTCCTTCTTCAATATCTTTTCAAAAATGAATCGATATTTTCTTACAAATTTTTTTTTATTTTATATTGGACTTTTTTATTGTTCAGGCCTATGTTATGTTATGTATTCATCACTTTATGCAAAGTGGAATTTTGGCCAATTTCTGAACTACACTATAGGCTAGTAATATTGTCTGAATTGTTTTTTAAAAAGTGTCTTGTGGTGTCTGCCTAGACCAGTGCTTTTCGGGTCTTGGAGTGGAGCAGAACCCCACTCCCCCTCTGCAATAGTTTAGGTGTCTTTCATTGTCTGATTTGTATAAACTATAATTATATATTACAGTATTTGAATAATATACATATAATAATATAGACCTTCATATTTGAGTGGGAACTTGAAGACTGTAGGGGCCGAAACCCCAAGGTTCTGCGGAACCCTGGTCGTAAACCACTGGCATAGACTATCAAAAATTTAAAGAAAATTTATACTTATGTGTGATAACATTGCAGGTGCTCATGATCCTTCATTTCATAAAGCAGGGCTATTCAACTGGCAGACTGCGGTCCGAATCTGAACCTTTCAACCATTAATTAAATTTGGACTGCATGTGCTTGTTTATTTTGGCAGCATAAGCATCGTTTTATAGTTTTAGGTGATTTTGATACAATTCAAATAAACAGCTATACAGTTTGTCATACTGGTACCGATGTGCGACATTTGTGTCTATATTTGTGAGCCTTTCATTGCTCTTGTAGTGAATTTAATATTGCATTTGAAGTTTCGAATATTCAATAAACAAAAAAATTCTGTAATGTGCCGACCCCCAGTAACTTTGAAGTTTTCCAAACGGATCTTTGGTGAAAATAGTTGAGTAGCCCTTTAGGATAGGTGTCCTAAATATAACTTGAGCTGGCGTACGGGATCTTTCGTAGCTCTTTATAGCCCTGCCATAAAGTCCATGCATCTTCCCATACCCAACTTGGACTAGTATCTGGATAAGAGACCATCTGTTTATGGTTTTCCTCTCCCTGAGTGTAATATGAAAACCTTATTCCAGTTCTATATGAACATACCGCTTTACAAAAATTTTGATTTAAAGATACATCTGTTTTCAAGTTATAAAGTCAACAATTCAATTTAAGCCTGTTTTGTTTGACAGCGAAAGAGCAGACAGCACAGGAGCCACAGGTGATCGTCTTAAGGAAGGTTCAATGATAAATAAAAGTTTACTTTGTCTTGGAAATTGCATCAAAGCTCTTGCTGATAAACAACTTGGGAAAACAACTGCTGTTCCATACCGTGACTCCACTTTAACTCGACTTCTTAAAAATGCTTTGGGAGGAAATAGCAAGACTATTATGGTGAGTTGAATGGGTTGCTGATTATGTCCCAGTTTATCAGATGTTTTTGTTGGAAACTTATAGCTTGCTATTGCATCTACAACTTTTTGTGTATCGTTTCATTCTTGCATGTATGACAATTTGAGTCCATATCCAGTCAAACGGAAGATCCTATGCGTGGAATGAATTGTGCAAGTCTGAAACATTTATAGTATTGTACTTCTTAATAATTGAATCCTACATTTTTTCTTCGATATTTCATTTATAGATTTGATAAATATATTCTACAATTTTGAATGAAACAATCTGTTTTGTATAAACTGAAGTTAATTACAATACATTCCTGCTTTTCGTATCTTGACCTTTTTCATTTTCCCAGATTGCTGCACTCAGTCCAGCTGACATAAACTATGACGAGACTTTGTCAACATTAAGATTTGCTGATCGAGCCAAATCTATCAAGACCAAAGCTATTGTTAATGAAAGTCCGACTGATAAATTGATTCGGGAAATGAAAGAAGAAATTAAACGTTTGCAAGGTTTGTTTATGTTACTGATTTTTTAGTTTGTGATAAGTTTACTTATTTGTCCCCGGGGTGAGGAACGGGTGCCGACCAGCGGTCGTGTGAATCATCCTATGGTTGTAAGGAGTCCAGCAATCCTCTCGCACATATTTAACCATACATGGAATTCGAACCTGTGAATCTACGCAGGGTAATCAGAGATGCAGTGCCTTGCGTATTCCTTCCGCTCAGCACGATACGCCACACTGCCGAGCAAAGCAAAAGCATGAACAGAAAAAGCATTAAAGGAAAGCATGAACAATTCAAAGGCATGAGCATGTGAATGAATACTTGAATTACCCGATGAAAGATGATCATTTAAAAGTGCAGAATAAATTTGAGTGAATAATGATGTGTTAAATATAGTTTATCAAATATATGTTAAAGCCTATATTATATATTGTTATAATGCAGTTCAAGTCAATGTAATAGACTTCTGTCTAAAGATTATTTGTTGTCAGGAAATTCCTTTTTCAACTAAGAATATTGAAGATTTTTGCAGATATTGGTTGCGTATTTAATTTCAAATAACATTTCAATATTTCACAAAATGAACCTAAACACCACATAATGCCGATAAAAAAGGCAACATCAAGAATATTTTATGTAATTGCTCAAGTAATAGGTTGAATATACTAGTTAACTAGCCCCAGGCATATTACTGATATGATTACTCAGTAAACAAAGGTATTTTTATCCTGAAGCAATTTTTCTTGTGAATTCAATTTCCACATGATAATATGCTGTACTTCATTCATTATTTTGCCAAAAAAAACAATATTTTAAGGTACTAATGGCAGATAATGGAGCCGAGTTGTTGTGTCTAATATTGCTCCAAAGTTATTTCAAATATTTTATATATAACATGCTGTTCACTTTTAACAAGGCTTTGTGCAAGCAGCTATTTGTATGTCGACACATTCAAGAAGTTTTTGAATCTGTCTTTTCGATATTACCTACCCTATTTATAACACTCTGAGTTAGGGAATGGACATGTGATTTTTTACTTGCGATGTCTGCGTGAACTCGAAATTTACCCCATCAGAATCAGAATTTCAAACATGTTGAGTTTTGTCAATCTTGAGTTAGATTTGAATTTTAGGTGCTCCAGAAATATGTGTATCAATATGGAGGTAACTGATTTTGTTCGCCTACTTTACATCAAGTTGTGTAAAGGGACTGAAACTTATGAGGGGCAGGGGATATATTCACTTGGCTATCACAAAACATACCCGAACTCGTAATAGAACTAAAATAAGGAAAATCGGAATAAAATTATGGCCTAACCATAACCCGGTACACTTACTACGGTAGTACCAAATTATCTTACCTCAGGGAAAACCATATTACTGAAGTGAAACCATATAAATTTATATGATATAAATTTCCACGATTTCACTATTATGACTTGTTCCGCATTGAGAAATAAATTATTCAAACTATAATGTTTTTTTTTTCAGATCAGTTGAAAGGTGGTGGAACAGGTGGGGTTGTTATCCAAGGTATACCTCAAGATGAAGTTGAGGAAATGAGAAGACAAATGGAAGAAGAGGTACAATACAATTGAAATTTGCTATCATTTTAAATTCTACATTTATGGCCATGTTTGAAACTATTACCGGTAATTAAAAGTATTTTTCTTAAATAAAATTATTGACAATTTTCTGTAATTATTGATGTGTAGTTGAAAAAGAATCAACAAGAAATGGAAGACATGAAATTGACCTGGCAACAAAGGTTAAAAGAACAGGAAGAAGGAAGTTTGAAGATGTTGCTGGAAGAAAGGAATAAGCAGGTGACATGTTTGATTATTGAAAGCGAGCGATTGTTTATGCCCCTATCAGGCTTTTTTCTGCTTGTAAATATATTAAACTATGCCGATGTAATGTGGAACTTCTGAGCAACATAGATGGTTATTGATCAATGCTAGCAATGCATAACTCTCTGGTATCTTGGGTAATCTGGGCTTCTTTGTCTCTCTCTTATTCATAATTTGTATTGCTGCAGAGATGGGATTTTCATATACCAGAGGGACAAAAAAAACAATCAGATGATTTATTCTTCGGCGAATCACAGTCTCCCATCCTATTACCAATCCATGTTGAGTATAGAACTGAATTCTTTCAACATTGTCCTAATGGTATAGGAAATTGTAACCAACTAGCGGTACAGAACCACCCTTTAGCTGGAGGTGTCCAGCAGGGCTGGGGAGCTGGAGCTGGAGTCGGAGCCTGGAGCCATGGAGCCGTTACATTTTGATGGAGCCGGAGTCGGAGTTGGAGCCAAGCTTTTCATAACAGATGGAGCTGGAGCCGGAGCTGGAGCTACCAAAAATTTAGTGGCTCCAGGCTCCAGCTCCTAAATATCTCATTTTTTGTTTTTCAAATTTATAATTTTTTTCTGATTACGTTACAAATGATAAAATCTTTTCTTTTCAGCTTATAATTCATTTTAAAAATTTTAGTTCCTAGTATTTTTTAAAAAGTTTCCAGTTATTCTGTATGTTTGAAAGTTTAGTATCAAAATTTGGAGCGGTTCACTTTTATCAAAATTTTGATTCTCATTTCCACTAAGCTGCAATTTTTTATGATTGTGGTCAAGCTCAAAAACCCTAATGGCCAGGGATTTTTGAATAAGTGATTTTGGAATTTCCATGTAACATATTATGATTTTTTCGTGGCGTTGAATATCCAATCCATTTCAAATGTCGTCAATTCTGTTCAACGTATCTCGAGATTGAGTCGTTTTACGACAAAAGAAAGGTTTAACAGTCACCTATCATAAAAATGTATGGCAAAGTGCCCCATTACGGTATATCTTGTTTTGATCCATAACATAGCATGTTCTGGAGAAAAGTCTCATCAATTTCCGTTGTTATTTTTTGAATATATAAAAAGTATATCGCGAGTAAGATTGTTTGCGTTTAGATTTATTTTAGTGACTGTATAATTTTCAAAGTCAACCGATAAATAATATGTCGTAGGCAAAAAAAATAATGAGATTAACAAGGCATTTTTTTTAGCTGTTGGGAGTCTACTAGAACAAAGTTTATAGTGTTTTCCGTTTCATTTTAGTATCTTATAATATTCTCCAATGTGGAAATTCGGCTTGCGAGTTGACTTCTCTATTTATCTTTAACATCCCATCGCTGATAATTATCAAAACGCCTCGATCCTAGAACCAACTTTTGGCCTGATTTGGGAGAGGGGGACGGCATGTAATTGGGTGACGATGGTAATTTCCATTATTTTGGGTCTGCTTATTCAATTTGTACCATAAAATACTGCCTCCCCGTCAGGCCAGTTTAAATTATCATGAGTTGAAGGGCTATTGCCGTTACTATCACATGTGCGTTGCATTTCGTGAAAAGCGTCAATTGTTTTCGTCTCCATAAACATTAGGCCATAACATCTCTTATTTCAGTGTTTATTTTTCCCTTACTCACAATTTCTCAAGACATATGTTTTGTGTCAAGCACCATATTTGTGAGAAAACGAGTTATTACATAATCATCGGTGATGAAATTCTAAGATAAATAAAGAAGTCAATACGCAAACCAAATTTTCCTGATTAAAAAGCGACATTATAAAATACAAAAAATAAAACAGAAAACACCATAAGTTTTGCTTTAGAATGGCCCACGACAGATTTTATTTGGCCGCATGATTGCCAGTTATGTTGAACACATTTAAATTAAAATAAAAAGACAGTTATTGTGGGTTAAATATTATGTGGTAGAAAAAGTCATTATGAGCTATTTTACCGAATGCGCAAACGCTGCGACCATTCCAGAAGCCGATTTTCCTTCCCGTCTTATTGTGGGGTTATATGTAAAACCCTTATATGCTGGGTATACCGATTCGCATATAAAAATACAGCATATAATAACTCTCAGTGGATTCACAAGTTACATGCAGGAACAAAAAGGAATTATCATGACATCGACTTGAAGGGTGTTTACAGCCTAAATAACATGCCGCACTTAGGAAACAATTAGCAAAATGCGTTATTGGGCTGCACTTCTGATAATGGCTATGGAGCCGGAGCTGGAGCCAGCTCCGGCATAAAAAAATGAAGCTCCGGAGCCGGAGTTGGAGCTAACGATTGATTACACTGCGACTCCGGAGCTGGAGCCGGAGCCATCATGATTTCGAACCAGCTCCCCAGCCCTGGTGTCCAGCAATCTTGACAGAAATTGACTATAACGAACTATGCATTTTTTCTTCGATACATGGTTGCATGTTTGAATGTTTTTATATTTAATAGGAAGCAAGAAAAACTACTCCTCATTTCTGGAATTTGAATGAAGATCCGATGCTGACAGGAATGATTGTACATTTTGTACCAGCCGGAAAACACATCCTTGGAAATTCTGATCCTGCTGATATTATATTAAAAGGACTGAGGTATTTGCAGTCTCAAATCTTCTTTGTTTATTAGCTTGAATATAAAATTTTCATTTTTACAATTATTGATTCCAATATTCTTATGAGTACGGTATTTGAAAATTCATCAGAAATTAATCTTAAGGCACCTTTAGGCAGTTTTTCAAAAAAATTGATTTTTTTATTAGAAAATTATTGCTCATCCATGGTTTTGGTTAGCTATAATCATTGAACATCACTAATCTTTTATTGCCTTGTTTATGACAAATAGCATTAGCACGAACCATGACTCAAGGGCTTGGAATTGTACTCAACTCGAGTACAAACCAGAACATCGGCTTGATAAATGGATAATTTTGCTTTACTCAAATGATTTTGACTGAATTTTTATTCATCTTTGACTCGAGCATTTATGATGTAGTCCAAATACTGCTTTGTAGTATTTTACAATATTTTCTAATTTAATTATTCACTTTAAGTGTGCAGAGAGAACATGCAAACATCGTGAACAAATCGAATAGTGTAATAAAGATACAACCCAAAGGTACTGTGCTGGTGAATGGGAAAACAATAACTGAAGAAACAGAACTGAGACATAATGATAGGTTTGTTCATTTCAAACTGCTCTGAACGTTCTTGAAGAATCATGCTTGTAGATTTGTTATGAGTGTGAATGCGAAGGTTTTTATTTTTGGACACAAAGTAGATCGTTTTTTTATTATGTTGTTGTTGTAAACTTCAACTACTGGTCCAATTACTTTGAAATTTTCAGTGGGTAATGATATTATTTTCATTTATTTCAAAAATATTTGTGGGCTCTGGGATACTTATTTCACTTTTTGGTTTTGTGTGATGATGTCATCAAAATTGAAAATTGCATGCCGTGGTTTCGCAATCACATTCCAGTGATCTGGTAGTCAGACTACCGGTACTGAAAGAGATATGATACTACTACGTTTTGGCCTTCGTGTTCATATATTTGAGCATTGCTCTCTTGTTTATATCAATATTCCGATTTCTCATACCTGCTTTTATTATTGTGAAATTTATTTGGTGATAGGTTTGTCATTCCTTTATTTTTGTTCACTTTTTTATAAAATTTTAATTTCGCAGTCATGTCTTATAACTAAAAAAATTATGGTTTGAGAAAATAAAACTTAAATTTTTGGCGAACCACTATTGCTATATATTGCCTTGTACCTGTGTGCAACTAAAAATTATGAATTGGAGTTTTTTTTGATTATCATGAAAGGTAGAGGTTTACCAATTGCTCTGCTAAGGTTTCCAATATTTTTCAACCTATTCATATGAATAAACAAGCACAGAAATTATTACCTTTGGCCAGATGCAATCAGGACTTTAAAATAAAATATACAAATTGCTTTAACAGGGTTATGTTTGGTTCGACACATTTGTACGTCTTCCATCATCCACAAGATGCTGCGAAACAAGAGAAAGAAGGAACGAATATCGAGAAAGTATCGTTTGATTCCGCTCAACAAGAAATTGCTGAAAATAAAGGATTTGATATGGGAACGAAAGGAAAGTCTACAGGTATCAATAGTGGAGTTATTATAGCATTCTTGTGTTATATCAGCATAAATGTATAACCATTAAAATGTATAACCATAAAACTGTAGCCAATGTTACTCCAAGAACTCTACACCCCACTGCAGAGAGCCATCTGTAATTGATGACATCATAGGTCATGCTTAGTCATCTGAGAAAATATTAGCCAGAAATACAATAAAGATACAGTCAACATCTTGAATTTACAAATCCGTTCATAATTTTTGCACAACATCACAGCATGTGTTGTTGAAGAGAGGATAGCAATTTTTATACTTATCCCATGGAAGAGGAAAGACAATAGGCTGGCCCAATTATAGGGTGAACCATGACTTCTTGTCCATTCACTACTTGATGTCGAGTATGAAATAGTCAACCAGTTGTGTGTTTCTGATACATGGGCTTGTCTTGATTGGGGAGGATGATGTATCCGCAGTGACAATCTGTTTTAAATCATAAAGTTTAAAAATAATATCACAATGTCTTACAGCCTTTTAGATTGTGCTTGATTAATATTCTATCTACTGCTCCCTTCTCTCTGCATTTGTGTTAGTGAATTCTGTCTGTTTCTAGTACAATGAGACAATCAGTTGAGAATCAACTCTATTTCATTCTACTTACTTTGTTTTATTCAGAGGATCTTCTGCTACAAGAAGATTTACTTCGGATTATGCCTATGGTTAATGAAGCAAATGCAATGTCTGAGGAATTGGATAAAAAAATGAAATTTGAATTGGCGTTGCTCAGTCCACAGGCTCGTGGATTGAAAGACGGAAAAACAGAGGTATATATATGGATATTCCTATAAATTCTATTCCACTTAGTTTGTTTGTTATCAGATTTTTTCAGAATTCAACTGACTCGTATGTTTACATGTATTGATATTTTTGTGATTTCTTGTTCAATTGAGTGGTACAGAGACCCCTTTTTACGAGAATTTGATCAAAACAAGGTCACACACATTTGATAGGTAATAAAGACCATTTACAGACAATAACTAAAATTTCACTCTTTCAATGTTCTCTTGAATGTGGCCATATCATACAGCTCTTATCAGTTGATCAGATTATCTTTTCGAATATATAACTGATGACAATACTATCTGTTTTCATTTAGGTTTTGATCAAAGCAAAGAATTTGGAAAACGGGAATGAATTTCTATGGGATCAAAATAAATTCATCAACAGAAAGTATATCATGCAGGAAATGTATCAGAATTATTCTGAGGGAGACGATGACTGGGATTATGAAAAGGTTTGTATTTACTTTTGGGGATAATTATGTGTGAGAGGATTGCTGGACTCCTTGCTGCCATAGTTCACATAACTGCTGGTCGGTTACAGCTGCCTCCATCATCAAGTCTCTGCACCTGAAACAAAATAATGGCTAACTAGTCCCATACCTGACATGGCCTGGCAAACAGTCAACAGGCTGTGGTACGCCTCCTCATTGGCCTCTTCCGCCACAATAAATAGGAAAATCCTATTCTTATGATGCCTTTTATTTATAACTCCTGCCATACTGTTTGTACTTTCTCATTTCTAATTAGGCTATTCGGATCTAGTAATAGTTCAGTTCAGTGGTTCCCAGTCTTTTTCTTTAAATTCTTTTTCTTTATCTACTTTGAAATTCTTTATTTCTTTCTTTTGAGGCATAAAACTATTTTATTTTTCAATCTCTAATGAATCCAAAATAGCGATATGCACAAATAGCATTACAGCTTTTGTACAGTTTAAGTTTGTCTAATTAAATAGAGTCATCTATTCTAACAATTATTATCCTAGGAAAAAGATCCATTCTGGGAACCTGTTGATTCAAAGGTGATGATTGGAACTGCTTTCTTGTATCTGCAGAGTGTTGCTTATTGCGTAAGTTTAATCAATGTTCTCAAATTTATAAAGTAACGTTATAAATATATTGTAAATTTACAGTCAATTTTTATTGGTATGTTACAGTCAGGAATATTTATTGTAAATATTTAATTCAATATTATGTCAGTAGTTCCATGGCAAGTTAAGTGATTTGATAATGAATTAGGAAGATTGATATCTCTTTCAGATTTATCTTCTATTGACAAAGCTGTCTTGTTAGACTCTGATCACTCTGTCTTCTATGTTTTATATTGCTTTGAGTTTTATTCATTCACTAATTTCATTTGTTTGACAATGCAGGTTGAATTTGATGAAATGATTCCAGTAACAGATATGGCAGCTCAAGAGAAATGTAAATTAAAGGTAACTGTAATGAATTTCCTAATTTTTATATCATGAAGTTTTCAAAAGTAATGAAAAAATAGAATAACTTCTCAGTTTTCTATTCTATTGATATTTAATCAAAATTATAGAATATCAAACTCTTTGTATTTTGACATCCATAGTAATGACTATTACAAGTTTGCAAACTTTCATTGCAAACATGTTTACTGATTCTATGCAATCTTAAACAAAAAACAGGCTAATCCCATACCGGTCATAACCGGTCTTCTCCCCTGGGATAAATATGTAAATCTTAACTTGAGATCTTTAAAGCGTGACTCAAATGTAGGAACGTCCCCTGCCGCAATATCCTCTCCTACTAAGAGGTTTGCACTCCATGGCATTACTGACTACCATCATTTCTACCTCTCTTTTTCTTTAATGATTCGCAAGTTATGCATCTTTATTTTGACAATATGTTACTTATCTAACACAGGTGAAAGCAATTCCATGTGATCAGAAAGGCATTCCATTAAATGATGACACATTTGTTGAAGATCCGAAAGAATTATTGAACACAGCATTTCGATTTAAAATATCAATTGATCAATGTCTTGGATTACCAAGAAAATATGCAAAAGTTGGTCTTCTGATTTCTTTGATTTTATTAACCTATTTATTGGTGATATATGTGAATAGATAAGTAAATATACAGAATTTTTAAATTCATCAGGATAAAGCTAAGTCTTTTTTACACTCAAGCTTATTGCCTGCTCACTTTTCTATCTTTCGAAATAACGAAGACCTCAATTTTTTTATAAAAGGACTATTTAGCAATAGAGGTTCTACTTTCAAAAATATAATTTGGATTTTGTGAATTCTTTGTGAAAAACTGATGATGTAAGACTATCTTCAAATTTCCTGAACCAATATTTGTTTAAGAATAACATAATCTAATTCCACAAAATAGCAAGTATATTAGTAAGCTGTTGTTAGATCATAGTCTAACTTCTTCATACAAAACAAGATATAACTTACCGGTAATCAAACAGTTCAGACTTGCAGTCCAGTACGTAATACCGTGTTTCCTCCACTATATGTTTATTTGAAATTTAAATTCCATTATGTGAATCAGGGGTCGGCAACATTTGCTGAATTATAGTAACAAAGCAGCTGTTTTGACGAATATATTCTTTACGTAATAACGTAACAGAATTTATTGTGAGACACATTCAGAGACACTAAATTTGGTCAATCTTCGCGCACTACTTAAAGTTTAATTTCTGACCTGTGTGCTTCATCAGCCACCCGTTCGGTTTTTTATTTTCTAAAAATATGTGCAGCCCGCCAATGACTTGCAACCTTAAAATTTGGCCCGCGAGTGACGAAAGGTTGCCGACCCCTGATGTAAATGGTCAAGCGTTTTTAACGATTAAACACTCTGATATCAGCTCAGTAATTGTTTTGATTCAGGTTTGGTGCAGATATAAATTTTACTTTTCTGATGAATGGAATACGAGTGAGATGGCTGACAGCGACACTCTCAATCCGAATATTAGTTATGAGAAGATGTTTACAGCTGATCCTGTCACTCAAGTGGTGAGATACATTAACATTGAGTAAGAGTACTTTGTACCTCTCCCTAAAATACTAATTGTACATTCGTTTATATATTGATTTATCTTGGTTTAACAATATATGAATGAATTTTCTATTGCGACTGATGTTGATCTAGATCAGTTGTCTGCAAACTTTATGTACTACTCGGCCAAATATACATATTTCTGGTAGAGTGCGAGCCGCCGTCGCTACATTAAGCTTCAAATTATGACGCTCTTGCGATTTCTATTTTTGTGTGGATTGAAAATGATCGTAGGCACGTTCGGATAATTACTACAAAACTAACGCCATACAACATCCATTGTGAAGTTATAACATATTATGAGCAAAATGAGTTTCAATTTTTTTAATTGAAAAATTCTAATATTTGAGATATGTTAATGTTGAGACAACAAATCAATATTCATGTTTTTTTCAGTTCATCGATGATTTGCAAGAAACTCCTCTTCTTATTCAAGTTTGGGGTAGACAGAAACCTGGCGTGAGTTACTTTTTTATACAACGCTCATTTGTGTCCTTCATTCTGTACAAGCAGCCAGTCATATCTCATGATATTGTTATTTGGAAGGAGCAGAATCTTTTATTACACTCTGGGTTAGTGGGGCTCGAATCCGAGATTTTCAAACTGCGATGCCAAAACAGTTCTCTAATCTCTAAATCTAACGATTTACAGTCGCTAGGCCGAAGCGCCCCGCCCCACACATTTATTTTATATTTCTAAAATTCTAACCTTATTTCCACCCAGAAATATCTTCTGCTAGGTAACTTGGTTTGTAGCATTCTCTTATCTAGTCCTAGCTGGGTGATTTTTTACAATCAATTGTTTATTCCAAGATATATTACTTTGTCACAGTAACTACTCATTAGGTGTGTCTCTGGTCCTTAATCAGCAGATAATTCTTCACAAATACTTTTAGTGATAAATTAAGTAAATTATTAAGTAAGAAAAAATATAAAACTCTTATAAGTAACATTTAACCAATGATGCGGATTTTGGTTTATCTTTAATATTAATTTGGCCTCCTCCAATTTTAACCGAAATACTGCCATAGAGATAATAACAATTGAATTTGAATTTTTCAGGTCCTTGAACCATCCCTGGCAAAAGCAACAACGAAAGAATTATTTAAAATCGATCCTGAAAAACTAAGATATTTGTCGCAAGACAAACAACAAACTAAAACGAAAGCGGCCACTGCAGCTCAGAAAAAAGCAGACAAAAAAGATAAAAAAGCTGATAAAAATGCAGTAAAGTCTAAAGTAACAAGTAATGATAAAGATAAAGATGTGCAGATTGAACAATTGAAGGCTGAAATTGAGAGATTAAAGATTGCTATGAGTAACGTAAGTGATTTATATCATCCTAGAAAATCAGATAACCCTATACCATTGGTTCTCAAATTGGGGTTCCTGTTTACTTAGGGGTACGCGGAGCAATTTCAGGGGGGGGGGCAATTTCGTGGGGTCGCTTAGCAACTTTGACTGTAACACAGAAGCACTGCTAAGATGGTTTTCAAGAGGAAAAGTGCGGAAAAAAAGTTTTAGTATTTACTTGGAAAAAATGCACGATTTTCTGCAAGAAGTAAAACATGAATTATTCCCTACTCGCTATTAAAAACAAAATTCCGAAATACAATGATAATGACTCAATGAGATATAATAAGAAAGTTGCAGTTGCTCCATCCCAAACTGAACCCAAAATAGATGAACTGCTGGAAGCTAAGCAATACCATTCATTAAACTGTACAATGACAGGCAATGAATGGATGCTTAATATAAAGCGTTGCTATTTGATTTCAATTCTTTGGTGGATTCATCAGAAATATGGTAAGGGGACAGTTGTGCAAAATGTTTGAGAACCGTACAATTTGCCCAAAGCATGGTCTCGATTTGTTGACTAGAAGCAAAAAAGGGATAGAGTACAACAAGCGACCCTTGATACTTGCTTCTTACATAACAGTATCTACTTATCTAGATCCTTATTCAAAGTGAATGTATAAATATTTATAAAATGATGATGGGTTTAATAAATTCTTTCTTCAGAATTCCTCATCAAACAATATTAGAGTTGGAGACCTTGGATTCGCTGATGATTCTTCAGATCGAAAACTGGTAAGTTGAAATTTTAAAAATCTTAGCATGTATGAATGATTTAAACTTTTTTGTCTAGTTTGACTCTCTAGTACAGTGGTTCTCAACCTTTTTTAGTTCGCGAACCGGTAAAATTTCAAATCAAATTTTGCGGACCGGCGAACTTTCAAAATTAACCAAAAATGTCATGAACACAAAACATAATAAAAAAAATGCAATTACGACAAAAGTAGGCGGTGCAAAAATAGACAATCCAATTTAATGAGAAATTTGCTGCTGTCTTTTTGATATTATACATGTTAAACGCGGTTCTAATGAAGTTTCTGCAATGCGAAGTGGAGCGTTGACTTCCACACGATTCTTCTGTTTGGTCTTGATGAGAGCTAATTTTGAAAATTAACAATGTGGTATCAAAGTTCTTTGTTATGATGTTAGCCCCCATTATGATATCATGGACTTAAAGAACATCCAGCCATTCAGGGCTCAAAATGGGCAGAGGACCTCTCACCAAGTTTGGTTGTTAGACGAATACCGGTTCTACGAATCAATAAGAGGTAAAAAATCACAAAATTAATGGACATGCCACAATACTTTGTATTTTGCAATTTGCTTATAATATAATAATATTGGAATAAATTTGGTGGACCGGCATCAAGGTTGTCGCAGACCGGCGTTTGAGAACCACTGCTCTAGTAAAGTATTTATTTCTCCCCATCTATAGAGAAATTTTCTAAATAGATGGAGAGACATGAAGACATAATTCCCCAGTAATTTCCTAAACCATCCAATTATGACAGTCCACTCACCTAATTCCCTACACCTTTATATTTTGGACATATATCATCATATTATACAATTCTTTGTAGTTACGATTTTGCTATTTTTAGAGAATGCTGGGATCACTCGTCAGTGAAGCCAGAAACAAAAACAAGCCCGTAGTTTTGGTAAGAAGATCTTGCATTATATATAGCAATAGAATACGAAAAATGTTATTTTGACATTTTTAGCAAATTTGGCATGATCATAATTTTTAGCAACAGAAGAGCAAAAAAAATTGAAACATGTGTTATATGGAATGATATTCTGCCCTTTTGTTGCTATGAATACTCGAAGTCTTCTTATTCAAGCATCGTTGTAACCCAGATCACATAAGTTACGCCAAGGCTCAACAATCCATATTTTGAATAACCTAAATTATTTCAGCATTGTGTGTCCCAATTGACAACTTCTATTTGGGGGAATATTTTTTTAACTAATATTCAGGGTTACACAACCCTCTCCTTCCTCAATGTATTTACGCTAGTGGATCTGTATGCTTATAATGCAAGAATGCTGTAGAAAGAAAAAAAAATATGATTATAGTAAGCAATTGAAAAGTCTCACATTAACACAAATGTATTTCTGTGATGTTTCGTCTGACCAAATAGGACTTTCTCAGGACAAGCAGTTAGACATCTTTTATTTTCAGGATTGTTTCCCTTCCTCTCAATTTTATTTTTCCTAAACTACAATTTGCCAGTAATTTCTAATCTCAGCTTGCCTAACACTTTGTGAATGTTTTTATACAGACTGACAGAGTTGACAGTGTACTGAGAACAGGACAAGATTTAAGTCCAAATCGTATTCGTGAAGCGGAAGTAAATGCGGCGAGGGGTTCTGGAAATGAAAGCGGAAAATCAAAAGTTTGCACGATATCATAGATTCAAGTATTGTGTTTTAACAATCAACGATTGAATTGACTTTTACTACAATTTACAAGAAAATATAATTTGTATTGGATAGCTTATAACCTCGCCTTTGGTCGGTGATCATCACTAGGCATAATTTCTATCATAATTACAGTTTAAATAACTTGTTTCTTAATAGCCCAGATGATTTTATTTTTCTCAGGATTAATTTGTCTATGCAGCTCATTTACAGTTCGGGTCTGGGAAATTTCACCTGTGGAAATTCTGAACCAAATTTAAAACATATGACACTGTATATACAACTAAATGTCAAATAAAAAAGCATCTTGGCAGTTAGGGTTAGATTTCGTATGGGTGAAATTTTCCACGAGCAATTTTCCTGGGTGAAATTATCCTAGTACAGTACTATAATAAATAGTTTCAAGGTTTTTTACATAAAGTGCATGGAAATTTCTAATTTTTGTTACATATTCTGAGATTGCCATTTTTATAAGAAGATGATTTTCAGTTTTGAATTTAAGCTTATTCTTATAAATTAAAAAATATTATTACCCGTATTAAATTTAATATTCATATAAGCCGAAAGGTTGTCAAATTCATGTACGTATGTACGTGCAGACTAGTTGCCTTTGAAATGTTTTATTTTTATTTCAAACAATTTACTGTGAATATTATATCAGTTATTCGTACTATAGTTTGTTTATTTTATATCTCTGCACTTGTTCCGTGATTCGATTGCATTTCCTAATTAGTCTTGAATTTCTATTTTATTAGTTGGTTGTGTATGAATACTTGAATTCTGTGCTAATTTGTGAATCTTTGTTTGATAGAATTTGATGATTATCAGTGTATTGTCTTCAATTGAAAGACTTATCTAATAGAACACGTCATCGCGGGAAAACCGAATTAGCTGTATCATATATTTTGGGAATGAACTCTTTTCTTCTGTCATGTTAGAATAGTGGTCATCTTCTGGTATGGGTTTCAAAGCTGTACCTGTTTTAGTTCTGATTACAGATAAGTGCTTTATTGTCCATTTTCAGGTTTGGCCATTGGAACCAAATCATCAAAAATTTTGATTATCTCAAAACTTCAAAATTAGACATCAGTTAATTCGTTATGGGTCTACAATGTTTAGGAAGATTACATGCATGATAAAAAAAATCAGTTTTTCAAAATCTGAGGTCCAAAGAAGAATAATAACGTCTGATTTGTCCAGCGGGTAAATGCGTTGGCACTTGTGTTCTAAATACGCTCATCAGTTCATCATTATCTGTTCAAAAGATTGGGGTGGGTTAGGGGATAATTTTTTTCCAATTTTCCTTATTTTAGTCCTATTATCAGTTCAAAGACTAGCCAAGAGCCTCCCGTAGTATTTATACCTAAAATTATGGCCTAACCTACACATATTACATTCCGATGTCCGCCATCTTGGTTCGCATACTTCGGGAGCCCCGATTTTTCATTCTTTATATGATATATATATATATATGCTTTATTTTTTGATTCTTATTCTTGCACTTAGCTCTTATACATTTATAATGCTTAATATATTTTTTATTCTTGTATATTATATTGTTAGCAATAAATTTTGTACAATATTTCAATGAAACAGAATTGCAACTCAAATAACGAGCACAAGTTAGGTAACACTCACTGTTAGAACAAAGACAAACCACTGACCAAACCAGAAGCTAAGCTTGGAGAAATTGAATGAAATCAAAAAGTTAAAATCTTAATAGAGTTCGTTCCAACTAGACTGCTTCAAATTGTGTTATGTCTAAAGTAAGGATTTGAATAGAATAAACAGTAAACATGTTCAATATCTCTGGTCTAACATTTGACATAGATATTGGCAACTGTTTCAATTATAGTAATTAGCAATATTTCAAAACACTGCAGAAAAAAAAAATTATTTTCACTGTACACTTGTAGTAACATAGGCTATTTACATGCAAACGTGAGAAAAATATATTTGCACTGTTACATACATTCAATCCTAAATTATTCATAACAATTACAATGTATATTGCAGCACCCCACTACACTAATATTTTGAAGAATATTATACAATCAAGAAACAAAAAATATCAGTGGGACATCAACATTAGAATAATTCATTTCAAACAGTGTTAAATTCAAATATCACAAGTTTAAAAATTTTTACCCTCTGAAGTTATGAAATTGTAAAAATATTCCATATTTTCAAAGTGCCATGTGGTTAATTTTTTTTATATAAATCATCGAAATGGAACTGGGCATAGAGGTCAGCATTGTTTTATCATACTGTACTAAGTAAAAAGGTTCAACATAAATAAATAAAAATGGATGTCCGTGAAACCGTGTGCAGCTTGTGATATGCAGGATATTTCATTGCTTAATTTCAATTTGTCAAAACTACAATTTTGATTGAAAGTTGATGGCTAACTGATAGGAAGGCTTATAGTTTGCTATAATGACATAATTCATATATATATATATATAATTGTGCAAAGTTTAATTTTACTTTGTGCAAAAGATAATTGTTCTGGTGACTTGAAGAATAACAATAGTTTAAAATACAGCAGCATAGATGAATATTATAAATTGATCACTACAAACTTCTTGATTGAAAATTGTTTAATTTTTTAATATGGTTGATTTTGGAGTTACACATACAATTTCAGAAATTTATGCTTAAGATTTGCTTCAGGATTCATGATTGCTTGTATGAAAAACAAGACTTCAAACGTTAGAAGGACACATATCGGAAATAATTTTAGTGCAAGTACATAAAATATAGCATCATTAGTAAAGCAGCAACAATGAAAATAACAACATAAACACTATGACAGTGTAGCTGAAAGACAGTCGATTGTTTTTCACTAAATATTATTACTTAAAGTAACTTTTGAAGAACATATTTTTGTGCATAAAATATATAACTTTGTTGAAAGAATGATATAGTATTGAAGACACATTATTATTTATATACTATGTATGGAACAAAATACCTCACAATGACAATATTAATGCTAAAAAAATTAAATTTGTATCATCAGACACATCAAAGATTGTTTGTAATGTTAGAAAAAAAGCATCAGTAAAAATAACAGGAATGGTTATTCTGTTGGCGAATGTCTTTTTTTGCATACTTTTCATCATATATTCAGGGAATTCCAAAATGAATCATAATTTCAAAATAACTTAAGTAAAACTTTATCCGGCATTCTTTATTTTAGTATCACTTTAAAATAGTTTCATTTTAAAAATTATCATTTCAATTTGAATTTCTGGGTGTTGTGAAAATGGAGAACCCATCAAATCATTGTTCGTCTCCATTTTTCTGCTGAATATACACAACCGATATATCTTATTCTAAATCATAATTTTAAAATGTTTTCAAAATGGTAAATTAATTGGTTTTGGCCATCCCTGCATATAGTGATAGTATTTACATCTTACTGAAGGGGTACTCATAAAATGGTTGACTATTTTTTGCTCTATTATTTAAGTATGGCTAACATAATATCATTGGCCGCAGTATTACAACACAAAAAAATATAACAACTAAAAAAAGTACTTGGTAACTTTTGATTGTCAATAATTGTATTATTACACAGCCCGGATAAGCAATGAAGATTAAAAGAAATTTAAACCTGCTTATAGCTAACAAAAAAAAATAAGAAAACTGTGCAAAATACCGTAAAATTAACTGCAATTTTTAATACACTGCAACGAGTAATAATTATTTGATCTCTTATGTATGAAAAAACAAGTACATGATGCGAACAAACCAATTTCTAGACATTTTACAAAAACTAAGAAAATAGTTTGTATTATACAGCCCTACTGCAAAAAGCAAAACCACTAAATAAGTACAAATTTGCAATTATATATAGTTTTGTTATCGTAATCTATATTAGAAAAAAATTTTACATACCATACTTTTTGAAAACCGAACTAATAAAAATACCGTTAAAAAATTCATTTATCAATTATTTGAACATAATACCAGTTTAATAACATCAAGGCTAGCTTGAAAAATTTGCGACAATAATTACCGTAATTAATATTTATGATTAATAATATATTATATTTACTACACTACAACTTCTACAACACTGACTTTGTTTGGCACTCCAAAGTATAGTAACTTTATTCCGCAAGTACATTTTTTTATCCCTTTTTTTTAATAATTAGTGGGAGCATGTTTAGTCAAGTGAACCAAAATATTCAAAAATTTACAGTACGTTTCCAATTTAACTATAAAAATCGGCAAAATTATATATTTAGAAAAAACTAAACCAAAAGTTCTTTGTGAAGAAGTTTAACCATTCCAAAGCCAAAGGAACTATATAATAATGGAGTATACAACAATGGAGCTATCAATTCAATACCACATACAACTATAGATCAATTCTCTTACAATAGAAAACTTTACTGCAACAGTTGCATAATAAAGTACTATATTCATAAAACTGAAAAAAAATGAACCAATCACAGCATTCTCGATTCCTTTTTCATGGAAGCTTTCAACCAATCATGTTCATCCGTATCTGATGAATTTGAATCAGACTCCATGTGAAATCTCGATCTTCGTTTTCTGTCTTTACTTCGCTTTTTCTTCGAATTTTTAATACTGTAGTAAGATGATACGTAGTTGCCATTCGTTTCTGGCCGCTTCACTAAAAAACACAATAATATTTTTATTTTATAAGGATAGAGATACCAGTTTAACAAAAGGATGTAAGTATATGCTCTTTGAGTCAAAATTTTCAAGAGCAGAAAATCAGCAATCAAAGTCACTGGGCTGATTTGTTACCAAATAAAAACATTTTTCAGTTCCTACTCATGGTACCCTATACTGTAGTATGTGTACCAGGTTAGGGTTAGCGCATAATTCTATTCCGATTTGCCCTATTTTAATTCTTGTTCACTCTTTTAACAGTACCTTCATGACTATTGGTCAATTAACACATTTCCAAGATCAATAGTATAACTGAGCTGAAATTGTGGGACATTATCAGTAATACACAATCAATTTTTCCTGCCGCATAATTTTATCCCATAGTCAATGGACTACAATGCAACATAAATCTTTGAGCTATAGGATTAAATATGCTAATAAATAATTTGAGAACAATAAAGTCGGAGAATGCTACAACATTATTCAGGAAGAAGTTGAAATCAGCGGTTTGCAGATAGTAACACGAGGAAAAAATCATATCCATTAATAATAGAATGAAATCCAATCATTCCAATGAGAAATCGTTGATAAAAAAATTAAAAGTAAAAGATATTTTCAATAAAAGAAGTATAAAACCTAACGTACATGAAAATTCTTTATTTTCTGCTTTATCAATATCACTCTCTGAATCTGATACAAGATGAGAATATTTTCTTCGCAATTTCCGAGGAAGACAACAACTCTGGTACATAGCAAACACGAGACCCCACGAAGCAACAATAATTCCACTTCCGATCAGCACAGGTGAAAGGTCGCCTCCAAAATAATCATACAAAAATCCAGAAAGAATACTTCCGAAGCTGAAGGATATCCCCTGGAAATACGAATAAGGATATAATTAAAATATACCAAAATTTTATATTCTTTGTGACATAATATATTATACATGTGATTGTTTTAATAAAGTTCCAATATTCAGTAGGTAAATTTTTTCCCCATAATAGGCATACAAAATGTATAGAATAAAACTGGCATTCAAAAGGTAAAGAAAGTCACACAGAAACCAAAACTATAGCGCGAATATCGACCTTGAGGCGAGTTTTATGAAAATGATTTCTTTAGCTCGATTAGACTCAAGCCAATTGATTGAAGCAAAACTTGCATTGACTTGGAAGGTCTTGAATTGGTCCCAACTCAGTTAAGTACATAAAACTAATTCAAAAACTTGCCTGATAAACGCTGACATAAGAAGTATGTAATGATCTTTGTTGAGATGCACGAGCAAACACATGAACGCTACTAATTTTCTTGGAATCTTCATATGCAGATGACATTGTTGTACTGGTGTGATGCGTTACAATTGTCCAAAGGAATGATTGACCTGGAAAAATCAAAACAAGCCCAAGTTTGAAATTAGGTCTCTGTCATTGTAATAACTTATAATTGCTACAGTAATTCCAAATTAGCTATGTTACAATTTTTCAGTCATCATAGACCAGGTGCGAAGTCTTGTTTTCAAAGCTGTATCAGTTTTAGTTTTTATTTCAGGCTTATGTCCATATTTAGGGTTCACTATACAGTTCTGCAAATTGAAAAAAAAACATAAAAAAATTTGCAAAAAAGTGTAAAAACCTACTAAAACCATCAAAAGCCATAAAAAAACTCACACTAATATGTGTTTGGCTATACAGATTTGATTTTACAGAATTGCATTAAAACCTTAAGAATGTTACACAGGCTTATTTATTTTTACTGCGGCAATACCATCGACATTATTATGAAATGATCCTAATTTTTACTTTCACATTGTAGTTAGTCAAATTGTATTTGAAATACTCTTGATGAGTCTATTTCCCAGTGAAATTATTATTATATTTTATTCCACAAAAATTAGATATAGATAGGGCTTTGATGACAAACTGAATGAATTTCCATCAAAAAAACAACATTTCGTTCACCACCAACCAACTGAAAGAACATTTTCTCATTACATTCATATTTTCGAGATTCATATAAACCACAATATTCAAACTTTTTCATGTGAATACTTGTAAAGACAACAGAACGAAGTATAAACTACCAGAAAATGGACTAGTTTTATAAATATAAACCAGACATCACGGAATCAGCAAAACGAAAATATTCTATATTCCACTACTAAAATAACACACCATTTTCTAAAAAACGAATAAGAGATGAAACATACACTAATTGGAATAAATTATTCAAAAGAATTCGAGAAATTAGATTATATATCCATGGCACATCTACGTCATAAAGCTGTTTAGAAGTAATGTAAGTAATGGATATTCAGATAAAACACATGTATTACTTGCATTAGAGCATCACAAAATACTAATACTATTTCAACATTAAAAATTGATGTCCTACAGTTTATTGTATTCTTTATTCATATTATATTCATGATAAGATGATTTGAATACAAAATCTTGTAAGACGAGTTTAGAATATCGATAAATTGCTTACATCAGGGTTTTGTCAATACACCATGCTTGGAACGCAGCGGACGCAACGCAAGCTAAAAACTTCCGCTGCTATAATTAAAAAGGCATCTATAACATTGTCAGATATCGATTCTTAATAAACAGATGTGCTAAATGGGGACAGTTTACCTCCCACATCTATCGCTTAAAAACCAAATGTTCATTTTATAATAAGATATTTGAATATTCCCTCACCTGTGATATTTAGCAGCTGCAATGGTACGATCAGCCAAGGTGAAGGCAGGAATGCATATAATATTAATTGTAATGCAATAGATAATAAAGATATGAACGCAACTGTGCACGGTTTCAATACTTTGATCAACTTCCGTCCACATAAACTGGATATCATTGCACATATGGCATTCACTGAAACAAAAAGAAAAATTAATAAAACAGTAAAACTAAAGATGATGAATTGTTACTCCATTCCTTTTAATTATGACTCTGGAACATTGAAGAATAATCAAAATCAATTAAATAAATAAGCCTGCATTAATAGGCTGGACATTTTAGACCCCAAACAACCGGAAACACTTCGGTCTTTACCTCTTCAGTTATGAGTGACCCCTTGTCTATAGCTTTGATCAGAGCAAGAATATTCAATATGCCATGTAAAAAATCAATCTGATCCATATAGGATGTGAAGTCTGTGTTTGGAAGTGTGGTGTGTTTTTATTGATATTGGAGCCAAAGCTGGAGTCTGGAGTCAGAGCAGATACTTTAGGTCATTATCAAAATCAGAAGTCAGCATTTTTCATCCTACTTACGGTATATAATTATTTATAATTAATCGAAGTAAAAATTTCTGACAAAAATCTAAAAAGCACTCAGGGGGTTGAGCATCCTCGCCATAAATTAAAGAAGTCATGGGCCAAGTTTTTAAGTTCTGATCAAAATACCAGGATTCGAAATATAAATAAGGATCCCTGTAAACCAGGGCTTCACAAACTAGAGTCCGCGAACCCCTGTGGGTACAAGTGATGACTCCACCAAGGTTCAGGCCCAAAGTTTGGCCCCAAAAGTTTGGAAAACTCTGCAGTAAACAACACTGTTTAGAATTTAGACTAAAAGATCTTCCTCTACCTGATACATAGCTTCCATAGACAAGCTCAGATGCTCCTTCCATATCTTGAATCTTCCAAAGAATAAAATTCTGTATCGGAGCTTGTGTTATGCCAACGACAAATATTGTGATCAATAGAAGAAATAGTCTGCAAAATATTAGTAAAAAATTACAAAATAAGAAAAGAAATTTCAAGTACAAAATAGTTCAACAGGAGATATCATATCTAACTTCAAAAATTCCCTGTTCAACTTCTTCAAGTTTTTTATTAATATTTTAAAATGATATTTTGAGTAGCGATATCTAAATATATCCTAAGTTGTTCTTCGTAAATAATGAATAAATGACATAGTTCATTTGAAGAAGGTGATATGATAAAAATTGGCTCTAAAATTATTTCCAATAGCATTATTTTGAATATAAGCTAGTTTCATTGGACTTCTCTAATTGGGAGTAAGGTCAAGTTAAAAGCAAATATTCTGGACAATATTAAATTAAAGTTCACTATATACATTCATATATATACCAGATCATAGGTTCTCAAAATGCTCCATACGAAGCCCCATGGATCCGGCGGAGAAACCTAGGAGCTCAGCGATTTATTCGATTACTTATTAAATAATGATTTGGCTAGTTTTGTAATTGTCATTTTGCAAATATGAAATAAATACATCTGAGTCATTAATAAATAAAGTAATTTCAATTTACTCAGGAATATTAATCGATAAGAAGCAATGTGTTTTTTTTGTGTTTATTCTTATAAATTTATCGTGGGGCCACGTATGTACTGGTCGACCTCTTAATACGGACTTCATAACGCCAAAAGTTTGACATTAGATATTTTATATGTTTCAAAAAATAGATAATAATCCAAAATTTCCAATAGTCTGTATTTTACGTTTCAACGTACCCCAAACATAGCTAAAATTAAATTTTTGCCGTAGAACAAATATCATAAAAATTCAATATAAAAACATAACAGGAAATACATCATGATGTAAAATGAATTATTTTGTTTACAACATATGTCATCTGTTTAATTAAGAAATGACAAATAGTCTTGTGTGTTTACTTTACATCAAATGAGATATCAATTAAGAGGTGAAGAAACTTGAAAGTTACCTATAAATTAATTTAAAATGGTGAAAAACGGTCTCGCTCATTCAAGTATAAATGTGCAAAATTATTTCCACCACAAATCATTTGATTCACAAGATGATACGAATTACATCGCAGAGCGAATAATTGCCACAACCTTCATTATTTTTTTCAATATAAAAAAATTTGTTTCGAAAATTAGAAATTACCATTGCCAACTCTAGGACCTTAGTGAAGTAAATTAATAAGTCATATTCTGTTCATTCCAAACATAGCATCCCCCATATTATTAAAAACTAGTGCCTAGTGCAAAGCCTCGTTCAAAAAGAATCTCATTCATTCAATCTCAATACATCTCAAACCTGCAACTTGAACATGCGGTTGACGTGCAAGGGGTACATTTTCTTCCAGAACCTTCTGATATTGTTGACCTTGTAGAACTGGAAGCTCCATCGTACGATGGATAAAAAGGTGCCAGCATGAATGAAATTCCGAGAAGTAGTGAAAATAGGTAGAAGTGAATGTGAAACCTGAAAATTTGATTAAAAAAATTGAAATTTTAGTGCAATGATTAAAATGAAACCTGAAAATTTAATAAATGAATGAAAATTAAATTATACTTTAGTGTCCGAATGGTGAGTGTGTTGGACTCAGTGATAGCAAAGAAGAATGGCCATTGATAGTTCGAGCATTGTTCATTTCAGGAGCAACCACATATTCGAAACCAAGCGATGAAAATAATTTGAAGAAGCTAGCTCTTTATATAACAATGGTTCCCAAACTTCCAAACTTATGACGCATCAGATTTACTTGCGTTTAGTAACATTGAGAACAGTACAGAAAAGAAATTATTTTTAATAACCAATGTGTTACAAGAGCTTGTTACCAAATGAGCAATCATAATATGCCTGAATGTCCAATATAGCCAGGCATACCCTCTCAGCATTAATATTAATAACAGATTTGACCGCTTTTTTACAAGTTCTAAATGCGAACAGATGTATTTTTTGCGAAGTATTTTCCAAAAATGGATTGATATTTTGACTGAGCAATGGGAATTATCTCACAATGCACTTGCTTTAAAAAACATATGAGCATATGTTCCAGTTTCTTCATTAGGATTGTCCGTCACTGCACACGTGGAGTCTATTACGTCAAAACTTAACTATCAATATTTGAATAGAACGCTTCCGAATCTTATCACAATTATTACCAACAGTCAGATCATGCATAAACTTGTGTGATCTATAGATGCAAATTCGCTAAACTAAGATCAAAAGCTTGTACCAGGATACTGTATGTGTTTTATTGTTTGCAATAAGGGCGGGGGACGAAAAAAAACTAGCCACAGACAATGGGAATGATATTCATAAATTTAGTCTTTGTTTAATTAACATTGACTAAACTTTATTTTGTGGTCAGATTGCTGATATGGTGACCGTACATTTGAACCCACGTACATTTAAACCCATGCGTATATCCAGGGATTCAATCTATATGCGGGTGCTAAAACCCATGGGTTAGGGTTAGTATGGGTTTAACTATCCGTGAAACAAAAAAAATTCCATAGGTGCAATAGCATACAGGTGCAATTGTCAAGGGTTCAAATGTACGTGGGTTCAAATGTAATGGAACCTGCTGATATATATCGAAATATCGGCATCCGGATGCAAACTTATGAAATTGAAGTCTAAAACAATGAAAGTTGGAACCAAGAATGACGAAAACATTCTGAAAACTATTTTGTTCCAAGATTATTCCTAACTTCTTGTGCTTGAGAATGAAGCACAAATCCGTACATAACTAAAGGTGGTTTGGAATCATTAAAAAGGAAAAGTTAAGAAGGTTATTACATCTTTACTGGTTCAATCCAGACAAAAAATTGGTTTTGTTTTCTATCATGTTCAGCTATCAAGAACTATTTAACATTGTGGCTCTAATATTTTATTGCTCAAAATGATAACTTGATGAGATAAGTTCCTAAACTATTCACAAAATTCAAGAATGGTAACAACATAACTATTCAATAACACTCAAACCACTCCAGACCTAAAATGCCTAAAACAGACTTCCACTTTCCCAATCACAATTTTATTGTTAATAATATTTCAAAATTTCTTTTAATACCACACGATTTTACCTGTTTATAGTCCCGTTGATGAAACAAGGTGAAAAATAAACGATAATTGACGCAATAATTCCACACAAAGCCGCACCAACAAGAGCAGACATTCGATGTTTTCCATATTGATTCAAACTATCCAATTCATCCAACAGATTGTACAATGAATTATCGCTGACGAGTTCCACCGGTGCAGACAGTATTTCTCCTGTTTTACATTAAAACGATAAGAGATTAGTGGTCAAGTTTATTGCATGGAGTAGAATTTGCAATTTCTTGTTGGAAAATCACAAATCCTATTTATTTATTGTTATATTTGGAACAATATAAACGAGAATATCGGACAGAGACCGAAGACTTATCAATCTTACTCCATAGTGACACCTTGTGTCCCATCACTAATTAATTAATAAATCGCTAATTATACGACATAATTCGCCCAAAATCAATAGGCTTCTGATCCGATATATGATGAATGCAGATGCAAAATCTGGAGCAGATTCAATCTCGCTTTCGTGAGATATCACGTGCATCTAACAGACAGACAGACAAATACCTATCAACATACTCACCGATTAAAATCGATAAGTAATAACACAAACCTGCTGCAACAATGATCAGGACACAAAGAAACAAATTGGAATTTGTTGAGATAAAAGGAGTTATTTCTTGTGCAAAATTCTTCATTGAATGTGTCAGATTCTTTAATACTTCATCTTTTTTCTGTCAAATTCAACAATAAGTAAAGATTTGATATGACAATTGAAGAACTTGTTGTAAACAACCGTGATATACAAAGTATTTTTCCAGAACAAAAGTGTTGCTGGTTGACCTTGAGTTGAAATATCTTCAGAAATTGGAAGTTGTCATATTATCACGAATAGAAGATTATTGCAAAAATACATTTATAAATGAATAATCAGATAAAATTCAGTAAATTTTAGATTTTTGCCGATAGAAATACCTGAATTCATGATATTCCAGGTTCACAAAATTGAGCAAGTGAAACAACAGAAATAAACTAACGAATTAACCATATTTTAAAAATAAAACAATTATTAAAGTAACAGCATTATTTTCTATAAAAGACATATCCCACCTCTGAAAGGGATGTCAAATTGATATTTTTTATTGCATCGAATATTCCAGTTGACGACGAAGTATTATTATTATCAACTTCTCTCTTTGCTCTGCCATTGAATCTATTCCATCTTCTTTCTCTCCTAAAACCGCTCGTTCCAAAGTTACTATTCTCACTTTTGGAAAGTTGCTCGATAATTCTATTCACCAAGGATTCTTGTTTCCATGTTTTCCAATTTTTTGTTTTTTCTGCGCTTTCTACATACTCAGCAATAATGTCATCATCTTCACTAGTAATACCTTGTTCATGTAAAAGAGTAGCCATACTTTTCGCCATTTTGTAAATTGATGGTGTAGTGATCGTGTCCGTTGAAGTTGTTGTCGTTGAAGTTTTCAGAATAGTGGTTGTTGGAGTCGTTGAAAATGGAGCAGTGGTGGTTGTGGTGGTTGTTGTTGTAGGCGGCTCTTGTTCCAATGTACCAGTAGATGTAGTAAAAATGGTCGTAGGCTCTGTGGTAAATTTGTTCGATTTGGTTGTTTTTTCCACAGTTGATGATGTACTTGATATTGTTGTTGAAGGTTTGGTTGAAGTGATGATGATACCTTCATGCAATGTAGTCAATCTTCTTTCTGTTGCATTGCCTGAAATATGGCAGTATTGTTATTATTGTATTCAAATAAATACGAAATCAATTAGTGGTATAGAGAGGGAGTCATTCAAGATATTGGGAAGAGTTGACACTTGAGTATTGATCGAAATAATATATTACCAAATAATAGTTGAAAAATATGAGCTCTTTCATATGTATAAAATTATCACTACAGCAATTTCCCATTCATGTGATTTTTTCAAAAAAGGTCGATCACAAGACTACCATTAGAGGCAAAATACATAATGATAGGAAAGTTGCAAGCCCCACTGTCAAGTTCAGAGCTATAGGTTCGGTTCCATTTGTTTTTGCAATACTTTGATTGCTTTTGATGACGTTGTTTTAAAAACCGATAGATGGTCATTGCAATTAATAAAGCAAAGAATTGACTTGCAATAAGAAGAGTACGAGTACCAAGAACATATATTGTTTGTGTATTTACTGAATTGAACTAGAAAACTAATTTATCCCAATTATTTTAACAATCACAATTTCCATATTTAATTGAGGATATACAGGTAAGCATTAAAATATGTAATAAATTTTAATAATGAGCAAATCACAAAAGCATTGGCCTAATAATAACAATAACTATAGAGTCTCAAGTCAGGAAGTTTCATCTGACAAGAGTGTGAGGGTGTAATATGAATAATACAGGTTATGACATTTATGTTTTTGACAAAGCGATAATGATGATTCACCAGAAAAATAGAACGAAAAAACATATGTGATAACGTTATAGATTTTTAATCTCATCTACAATTTGAAATTAATAAATTTATGGTATTTCTTGCTGGTATACAGAACTCGGAAATTAATCCTTTTTTGTTGAAGTAAAGAAAAGAGACGACAATAGCAAATATTGTGTATTTTGAAATATTCATTGAATCTGATCCTATTCATAAAACGGGCCCAAAACTAATCAAAACAAGATGCTTCATTTTATTATGGCCAAATTTTGCGAAAATAATTCTAGGAATACAGCGGTTTTTTGGGAAACAATTTTGTCATGCAATTTACATTATTAACTACCCTAATCGATTGAAAATGCTCATTCTTGTTAAATAAGCAAATAAGCACGGTCTGGTCTGCTGGGGATAATCAAGACAAGCTGGCTTTAGAATTAAATAAAATATTAACAAATCATTTCCTGTCTATGGTTCAAATACAGGAAATGACACGCTTCATAAATAAATACAAAGCAGACTGAACAGCAGGGATTAATGGTTAAAAAATTTGATTACCACAAAATTCAAATTTCTTGCCATAATATTTATTACAGAAATAATTTTTATTGAGAAATAATTTTTATCTTGAAGGCAGACCAAGCCAAATTGATAAAATATATACAAATATAATACTACTACTTACTAGGAGAATATTCCTTGTTATAAAAAGGCAAGAAAATTGGATATATATTAAAAATGTCATCACAATATCACATATGTATGATTCAGCTTGAGTATCATGAATTTCAAATGAAAGAAACAATATGAAATACATGTTCATATTATTTTTATCAAATAAGCAATCCATTTTAGGCATAATGAATTGATTTGTTATTTCCAATAGCAAAAACAATCTGAATACACTAAATCTGTTATCTGAATACACTAAATTTGAAATATTCATTAACTTACCCATTAGCAAAATAGGAGTCGTAATATTATGTCGAACTTCTACAGAATGCCATTTGGTTGAAAACGGTGGAGATTCATTGAGACATATTTGCAATGGAAGGTCGTTATTGACAGTTGGAAGAAGAGTGAGAGATAGGTTACTTCCAATTACAATGAATATACTGTAGCACAGGATTGTCCTTGTTTTATTCACCCTGAAAATTGTTATTTATTTTTATAATATTTGTGTATTCAACAAGATAAATGACTTCTTAATGTAATTACAATTACTGCATGGATAATGATAAGATTCATAATTATGGTAATTGTGAAAACCTGATTGTGATATTGATCGTTGTTAATAACACCAAATTCTTATTGCTGAAATATCAATTTAATTTCGGCGAACACAAAAGAAAAATTTGTATAGTGATATTGGAAGATTGGTTATTAATAGGATTTCAGGTTATAGGCTAGTCATTTTCGTAATTAAAACTATTTTCGTCACATTCTTAGAAGAAAATATTTTGCCACAAAAAATCATCACTTTGAATATTGAAAACTAAGATAGGTATATGGAAACCCTTTGTATTGTAACCTATAGGTAGTTGCCATTGATTAAACAATACTTCGCCACAAAAAAATATTTATGAGCTGATGCACAGTCTCTATAGGAACAAAGTCATGATTCATCTCCATCTGTTTATACTTCCTCTAATTGTATTAAACTTACAATTCTTTCCTATAGTAAAAAAAGGTGTCATTCAAATGAAAACAGTTTTAAATTGAGAGAGAGAGATACTTAACAAACCTGTGTGCAAGAGCCATCCATATCGGTGAAACACAAAACCATAGCAATGATTTCATTCCAAGTACAAGACCAGTCTGTGAAGCTGTTAATCCCATTTGTCGAAAATAAAGAGTGATAAACGGAAGAAGACAAGCTTTCCCTCCATAGTAGAAAAGATAGAACGAACTTGCAATAAATACTGAACGTTTTACATCCCATTGTACTTTCCTACTAAACCTATCCATGGTATTTTGTCTCATAAAATCTAAATAAAAAAAAAACATATCAACAGTGGGGCATAGCTGATGGAATTGTTTTTGTTCGACCAAATTCTCATTTGTCACCCACACAAGCAAATATAAGAATTACAATCCAAAACATCGAATTTAAAAATAATATACACAATAGTAGTTACCGGTTCAATAATTTGCAAAAAGCTGAATTTTTAAAGAAAACTATTTGACTACTATTTTATGTTAACTATTTGATGTATAAGATGCCACATTCTGCAACAAGGAACTAAATAATCAAGGCCTTTAATGTTAAAGATACGAATCATAATATACAGAGAAACAACGCAGATCTTTGATTACTGTATATGAAAGTTTGGGAGTTATTTCGTGGGCAGCTTTAGTTCTAAAGGTGGCACATACTCGGTTCAATATGGCTTTTGAATATACAAAACTGCAACATAAAAAACAACAGAATAGTAAATTGATAAATGTTGAAACTAATGTTGAAGTAAAAGGAAGTAGGAATATGAATCCTCATGTTGCATTGTTCTGAAACTTCGTTCAAATTATTAGTAGCTCCGTGGCAAACATATACTAAACTTCATAAAGATATCTTCAATGTGAAAGATTTCTCAGAAATTATCAATTCAGGTGAAAATAGCGTAAACTTCATCTTCAAATAAGAAAAGGTAAACAAATTCCTAAAATCATTTATAGCAAATATCTTTGGCTTTTAACACTAGAAAATCAAGCAAAAATTGAGAGATTATAAATTACTAATTATACTGCTCACAAATATTTATCATTCATTATTAAAGTTGTTATTATATTATTTTGGTGTAACAATAAGTTTTTATTATAAGATACAAGCATTGAACGTTAGCAATGGTAGTTCATAAAATATAGTTGAGTGCCGCGGCAATAATTTGAATATCAACAAATTCCAGTCAAAACATGAGTCCATATTCTAAAAATAGGAATTTCATCTCATAGGAGAAGAAAGTTAATAAGGCTACTTTATCATATGCTGAATCACAGCGTCCCGGCCTGATACCAGTCTATATCAAGTATGAGAACAATTAACCAATTATTTTGTACAGATTTATGAACTTAAGAAGCCGGAGTGAGTTGTATTCTAATGTCTAGTTCCCAGAAAATTACACATAAAAGGTAGCCCAAGTACAAAACTCTGATCAAACAAAACATATGACTGATACATAGATTTTTTACATCGAGTATTTATAGATTAGATGCATCTCTCAAACTCTAATCAGTTTATCGTAAGAAGTCGGTGTAATTATATGGTAATTTTAAAAAATCATAAATTATTTAGGAATTTGTCCCTTTCAGAAAAATTTGCTATTATAGAATTTTTCATCGTTACGTTACAAATTTGATTTAGATTAATAAAGGATTTTTTTTTGCAGAATCATGATTGCATATTACGAATATATTTTTACCGAATACATAAAAAAACATTCAATTTCAGGAAAAAAAAAATATCCAGCATATTTAATTTCAAACTTATTGCCATTCTTGAGTTTTCGACATAATAAATATATCAATTAGCCTTAGAAAGATGTCAGTATCTGATGTGAAAGAGCAGATGTTTTGAAAGCACATTGAAACAATTTTCGGTATTTCCTATGAACATTCTGACAGATGTTTCTGTACAAACTGCAAGACATCCTTCATTTCTTGATCACTTGAAGAATGACCGAGATGTTTATAAGTAGTGAATTGGACGGGTGGATCAGATTGCCCTGCAGCTTTTCTAGCTTTATGCAACACTTCATGAGTTATACTTCCAAATTTTATATTGACTATCGGATCTGCCTCTCCATGTCCCTGAAATATAGGGCAGGTTTGATTAACCAAGGAAAATTCATCTTGCGATTTCGAAAATTTTTCTCGAAGAGGAAGCCACGAACTGAGTAAAATTAAACCCCCTAGTGGTTCTTTGTGAGTTAATCCAGTATATAAAGCCAATGCTCCTCCCATTGAAAAACCTCCCAAAATTACACGATTGCTTGGTATTGAATATGCTTTTTGTTCTTTTTTAATCAACTCTCGAATACGTTCGGCCGATTTAGTGATACCAGCTTCATCTTCTTCTCCAGACATATCAAGAGATTTGATATCGAACCAGGACGGCATTCTCATCCCCATATTCAAACTAACAGGCATCTTCTCCGCATGTGGGAACACATACTTTACATTTTTTTGCCGAATTGTTTCGAAAAGGCTGCACCAGCCATCTCCTGTATCTCCTAATCCATGAAGAAAAATAACTAATCCAGTGGGCTTTCCAGTAGCGTTAACGACACACTCACCAGATGAAGAAGCCATTTGTGATAGGCTCGTACAACTTTGTCGTCCAGTAACAATGTTATTAAGCACGGTGAATTGTGCTATCAATGATCTCACGTTTAAAAATTTGCACATAAGCACATTAGATGATAACTCTTAATCTTACAATTTTTTTCTTAGTCTAAACAGGAATAAAAGCAAGAATGTTATATATGGTGGTGTAGCCAGTCTGCGGACGATTTCATTCAAACCCGCCATAAAACAAAAACCAATATTTCTCACCCGTTAATTTTTTCACCGTATGTGATTAGGCAACGTAGGCATTTATTCTGCACGCTAAACTTCGAATTAACTTTCTACGACCAGGGGTTAAAGCTATACAAGCCACCAAAGTATGACACTCGGAAGACGTATTTGCGACCAAACGAGAGGGGTGCGACCACGGATTTCAAGCCTTAAACATAGTTTCTGCTGCGGGTAGACTAGTGCATACGCAGCCATGCGTGAAAAAAATTGGGCTTCTAATTGCATTTCTGACCGTCATATATTTTAAGAACTCGGTTATTTCGAACAAAACTCGTCAAATTATAAACAAAGCACCGCGTCACAGCAATCAAACAGACAAAAACATGGTGGTCGCAAATTGGTCAACAAAGATATTATCGACGTATTGGAAATGCGCACCCCTCTATTCCCCCTCCTTCAAATGTAGAAACGCGAAACTTTAAAGATGGTTAAAAGAAACACAACTCAACCCACCTGCCAAGTTTCATCTTTTTATCTCTTATATTTGTATGGATTTTCAAGCTCTTAGTGTAATTTCGCAGAGCTACGAGAGAAAAGTGGACGATAACGCGTGAGAAATATCGTCGCGGTTCGTTAATTTTTACGGCATTAATTTAATCGATGAAGTCGATGTCTGCAAATAGGTCGTGGCCCCAAAGTGGCTAGACCACCCTAGTCCATTATCTCATTTTCAGTCAAAAATGCATGTGTTTACCATAACATGTCTAAAGTGCAAACAGAAATTATTACATTACAGAAGAAATATAGGGTCTAGCTGCGTCTAGCTTTGTCAAATAAAATTGTTTTGAAAAATTCAACTGCACACCAGAAATAGAAAAACGAAGTAGGCTATGGTACCGTATATAAACCGTGCCATATCCACATGCAGACATAAATTACATATATCTGTATATACAGATATAGCAGCTTATCGACAGCGTACAGGCGTAGGCCTATAAGGTAAATAGCCTAACTGTATAGGCTTAAACTTAACGACCCACAGCAGAGATAGCCTGCTGACGTTACTGCCCTAAGAGTACCGGTACCGTACCATACCGCTACCGTCAGACCGTATAATCCAGAACGGTACATAATTACGGTAGATCTGGCGATCTACAGTGTATTATATTTTTTCTTTTTTTTCCTATGTACCTACCTACAGTGTGCGGCTGGGTAAGTTTACTGAAGTTGTTGTAATTTGAAGAAGCTCCAGCATCGCCGAAAAGCAAACCCGACCATATGGCAAAACGATTCAGGCCTCGATATTTTGTTTTGGCAGAAATCTAAATTTGATATTATAATATAAAACTCTAATTATGTGTTGGACTATAAAACTTTATCAATTTATTTTAACACTTAGAATTATTATTACAATAACTAATAAAATATATAGAAATTCACTAATTCACGATTAAACTAATTGCAAACGTCCAAGAAAAACGGCAACTGTGGAAAAATTGGGAAATATTAGCTTTACTGTCATCTAGTGATCAATTACCAGAATACGAGATGCCACCAGTTGTCGCCATCGAACAATAAAATGCCATTCGGAGTATTTTCGCTACAGCTAATTTACAGCAGGAAGGTCAGTCATCTGCGATTTCGGCCCGTGGTTTTCGTCCAACTCCATTAAATTCGCGTTCGTTTGGATTATTTATTTAATCAGGAAAAATGGTTGCTCCGTGGAGGCAAGCTGGGATGACGTGAGTATAAATTTTTGAGTGTCTCTTTTTCTCTATCTGAACAAAGCACATGGCTATGTAATGATAACAAACAAAGCCTGTTTGCTGGTTTTTGACAAGGGTTTGCGGATGCTTGTGCGTTTACTCTCGATCCCGAGATGTAGCGCACGCGCAACCATTCATTTTAACTACTCGGGCATAAAGTGAGACAATACAGAAAACTAAAGCACTTGAATAAACCTCACAGGGCGAGCAAAACATGAAAAATATGCACATGGAATTTGCTCTGAAGCTGCATATTACTGTATTCAAGTGACAGAGAAGATATCTAAGTAGTTTCCACTGAAATTATAAGGTTTTATTTGTACAAGTCTGCTCAATATGGGGTTCTGAGTTCTCATTTAAAAGTGAAGAGAATGATACAAATAGCTGCTGGAGATCACTGATGTGTTATATGCTATTACAGTATTAACACAGTAATAGGATTAACCTTATCACAGAGATGACAAAGGCAAACAGTTTTCCCTAACTTTGGTGAACCTGAAAATTTGTAGTTGTAAACATGATAACATTTACAACTATGGTATAGTCTAAAATCGAGTCCTTGTTAATAAAAAAAATTGATAAAAGAAAATAAATAAAACTGATTACAGATTCAGAAGAGTGAACAAAACCTTAGGTTTAAAACGTACAGATTTTAGATCGGAAGGTGTTATTAAAAGTCTACATGAAAATCAACTAGGGCCTACTCATTATTTATGATTAACACTTGCTAGACATTTGGTTATTTGGTCATCTTATGAATATGTTATCTCAGGGTGGTCCAAAGCCAGGCCCCCGGGCTATTCTTGGCACTATTGTGGTCCACAAACAATGCAAAGATAATTTTGAAATAATTTTGCCCCCGAAGCCGACATCATTGAACCCCACTCTGTGTTATCTTCTAAGCCTACGTTTTTTTGTTCTCAGCAAGAACTAGAACTTCTATATATAAAATAAAAATATATGGGACATCAACATTTATTTTGTTGTATTTGAATGGGTCTAACCATTAACAGCGATCCTGGAATCTAAATCTGATAGGCTTCTTTCGTCTAGATACATCCGATATTCATCAATATGTGCACGTGTTGTTCGGCAAGCATTGAAGCCAGAACTTCAAGAAGCAGCCCAACAACGAGCATCAAAATCTGTCATCACTAAATATTGGCAAGATGGTAAACCAGTTGGTGAATTTAAAAGTAGGTTGACTTTGTTACTTTTACAATCTAGGTATTTTGTACTGGTTTGGTAGTAGAATTGCCATGTAAATCAAATTGTTTTTATTTTGTCCTATTTCTCCTGTTCCTGTGGTTAAGTTAAGACAAGTTTATTTTTTCCTACCAGAAAATATCCAGCGTATACAGTATTCGAAAAAATATATAACCTCGCAGTTTAACTGGGGAGAGGAACCAGTGATGAACCATGACTGGTCATTTAGCAGCGACATCTCAGGTTATTTTCCATGAATACCATATGATTCTGTGGTATTAGGTTAAGAGTGGAGAATTTCAATAAAAATAGGCTATATATAATGTATAGCCCACCAGAAAGCTAACAAAACTCCTCCTGTATTTTGTGCCTCTGTATTCTGCAATACCAAGCCTTGCCTATGATGATCAGCCTACATTGTTTGATACTTCAGTTTAGTTTTTAAACTGAAGTTGCAATGATTTTTATTTACTGTAAAGATCTGAGGTGATAAAAATGGCCATGAATGGATCATTTTGTGCAATTGGTATTATTGCGAAAAAAAGCTTGTTTTACAACTAATTTACCTCAAATTTCAATACTCAATCATCACCACTGGGCTCCAAATCTTCCAACTAGTAGAATTCACAGGTGCATTACATTCGGTCGAATTTTTGATGGCCATACTAGTCACTTCATCTTTGTATCCCTATATTTGTACAAAGCTCTCTTGTTATGAAGAATTCTACATTTTAATACAACCAATTAAGTTATATTATGGCCCAGAATAAGTATAAGTTTATTTCAACTCCATAATAGCTAAATGATTCTTGAAAATGACCTAACTTTGTTTTTTTTTCTACTTTTCAGAATGATGATCTTGATCTGGATCCTCAATTTATAGTTTTGTTTTGAAATTGTATGATGTTCCAATAAAATATTCCATTATATTTGTGATCGTTGTTGCTATGTTTGTGATTTTTATTCGCCAGAGTCGACATGTTAAATTCCATCTCAGAACAGAATGGGTTAACAAACAAGATAAAGATATACCATACCGTATTTCCCGGCAAATAAGACTAGGCAAGTCTGATGAAATGGGTTTTTGCATAAAACCTGCGAGTAAGTCGGGGTAGTAAGATCGCACCAACATCGGAATCTCAAATTACCTTATCTTTTGAGCGGTCGCCACGTTTGAGCATTGGTTATAATAGCCTATAGGTCCCTCTTCTTGTAGCGTAATATTCAATCCCTATCAACTACGAGAATTTAAACTGTCTTTAAATTTTAATCTAATTGTGGTAAACTCGCGATTGCGTCCACCCTAAAAGAACATAATATAGCTACACCAAAAAAATGAAAATTATCATGCTCGCCTAATAAGACGACCCCCCCCCCAAATCAGGCCAAAACTTGGGTCTAGAGCGACTTATTCGCCGGGAAATACGGTATATATAAATTGACGAGATTGGGCCAATCAGAACTTGATTTGTATTGACAATTAATTAAGAATTGATGGCTATGGCAACCAATAATATGCAGAGTTATCTGTAAATTGGGCGTAAATTTGTTACTCGCGTACAATAAGAATGTAATGAATCAAGAATAAATGATTTACCTTCGCCACACCCTTTCTCCTATTCTTGGTTCCTCCTTCTTTTGGCTCTCTGAGGACTGTGGAACACCCCCTTAGAGCTCGATTAATAAGAATGGAATGAATGAATCAAAGATGAATAAATATACCTCCCTACACACACCCTTTCCTCTTTTTGGTTATCCTTCCTTTGGATTCGATTCCTTACACCTTCTTGGTTACAAAAGCAAAATTTTACCTGCCATTGCTTTTCAATTTGCTGTCGCGGTAACGGCAGCTTGTTATTGGTCTCTGGCAGCTAAAAAGTCAGTCGCCATCATTGAGGTTATATACACCTCGATGGTCGCCATAGGTTTGGCCGTAGCGGCCATGGTATGGAAATACTGCCATGGTTTTGCGGCAGCTGCAGACGCCACAGAATACTTGAAACCAGGGCTGGGGAGCCGGAGCTGGAGTCGGAGCCATGGAGCCGTTACATTTTGATGGAGCCGGAGTCGGAGTTGGAGCCAAGCTTTTCATAACAGATGGAGCTGGAGCCGGAGCTGGAGCTACCAAAAATTTAGTGGCTCCAGGCTCCAGCTCCTAAATATCTCATTTTTTGGTCTTCAAATTTATAATTTTTTTCTGATAGCATTACAAATGATAAAATCTTTTCTTTTCAGCTTATAATTAATTTTAAAAATTTTAGTTCCTAATATTTTTTAAAAAGTTTCCAGTTATTCTGTATGTTTGAAAGTTTAGTATCAAAATTTGAAGCGGTTCGCTTTTATCAAAATTTTGATTCTTATTTCCACTAAGCTGCAATTTTTCATGATTGCCGTCAAGCTCAAAAACCCTAATGGCCAGGGATTTTCGAAGAAGTGATTTTGGAATTTCCATGTAACATATTAGGATTCTTTCGTGGCGTTGAATATCCAATCCATTTCATATGTCTTCAATTCTGTTCAACGTATCTCGAGATTGAGTCGTTTTACGACAAAAGAAAGGTTAACTACTCCAAAATGCACCGCAGCAGTCACCTATCATAAAAATGTATGGCAAAGTGCCCCATTACGGTATATCTTGTTTTGATCCATAACATAGCATGTTCTGGAGAAAAGTCTCATCAATTTCCGTTGTTATTTTTTGAATATATAAAAAGTATATCGCGAGTAAGATTGTTTGCGTTTAGATTTATTTTAGTGACTGTATAATTTTCAAAGTCAACCGGTAAATAATATGTCGTAGGCAAAAAAAATAATGAGATTAACAAGGCATTTTTTTTAGCTGTTGGGAGTCTCCTAGAACAAAGTTTATAGTGTTTTCCGTTTCATTTTAGTATCTTATAATAACTCTCCAATGTGGAAATTCGGCTTGCGAATTGACTTCTCTATTTATCTTTAACATCTCATCGCTGATAATTATGAAAACGCCTCATTTCTAAAACCAACTTTTGGCCTGATTTGAGAGGGGGACGGCATCTAATTGGGTGACGATGGTAATTTCCATTATTTTGGGTCTGCTTATTCAATTTGTACCATAAAATACTGCCTCCCCGTCAGGCCAGTTTAAATTATCATGAGTTGAAGGGCTATTGCCGTTACTATCACATGTGCGTTGCATTTCGTGAAAAGCGTCAATTGTTTTCGTCGCCATAAACATTAAACCATAACATCTTTTATTTCAGTGTTTATTTTTCCCTTAATCACAATTTCTCAAGACATATGTTTTGTGTCACGCACCATATTTGTGAGAAAACGAGTTATTACATAATCATCGGTGATGAAATTCTAAGATAAATAAAGAAGTCAATACGCAAACCAAATTTTCCTGATTAAAAAGCGACATTATAAAATACTAAAAATAAAACAGAAAACACCATAAGTTTTGCTTTAGAATGGCCCACGACAGATTTTATCTGGCCGCATGATTGCCAGTTATGTTGAACACAATTAAATTAAAATAAAAATACAGTTATTATGGGTTAAATTTAATGTGGTAGAAAAAGTCATTATGAGCTATTTTACCGAATGCGCAAACGCTGCGACCATTCCAGAAGCCGATTTTCCTTCCCGTCGTATTGTGGGGTTACATGTAAAACCCTTATATGCTTGGTAGACCGATTCGCATATAAAAATACAGCATATAATAACTCTCAGTGGATTCACAAGTTACATGCAGGAACAAAAAGGAATTATCATGACACCGACTTGAAGGGTGTTTACAGCCTAAATAACATGCCACACTTAGAAAACAATTAGCAAAATGCGTTATTGGGCTGCACTACTGATAATGGCTATGGAGCCGGAGCTGGAGCCAGCTCCGGCATAAAAAAATGAAGCTCCGGAGCCGGAGTTGGAGCTAAAGTTTGAATACACTGCGACTCCGGAGCGGGAGCCGGAGCCATCATGATTTCGAACCAGCTCCCCAGCCCTGCTTGAAACTGCACTTGCCTGTGCGCGCTCATGGTCATCCTCCTTGCTCCGATTTTGCCATGTGACTCTCTTACACTGACTAGCTCCCTGAACCGCCTCATTTGCTTCGACCTTCTGACTAGTAGCTATCCTTCCTACGATCTTTCGCTTTTATATTGCGGGATTCGACTTGGCTTCGTGTATAACCACGCTTCCTTTACCACACCGACGACTATCACTAAGATCAAAATCGTGCTTAATCAACAGATAAATTAACACTACGAATTGATTAGGCTACTTAGTACGAACAATACTGCAAAAACACGCCCCGTTGTTTCTAGCACGTGCAGCACGTGAATTCGTACCTGCATGTAAGGCTGGACGATTCTTAAATATTATGTTTGCGATGGCCATTAAAATCGTTTGGTTTTGTGCCAGAAATACGATTGCCCTTTTTCGATTGTTCATTATCACTCCCCATCGAACCCAAACTTACTTTTACAAAACTGACAATGATGCTACTTTTTCCTATGAAGAGGTCTCTTCTTTTGGTCAGGTGCGCGGTGTTAAAATAAAATAGGAGAATAGGATTTTAATATTTATTTGAGGGGTGCGGAAAGCCTATGAGTCGGCTTAATTTCTCGTCCAGTTACATGCCCGGGTATAGGATTAGTAAGCCAGTTATTTGTTCCAATGGCATGGATTGTTCTTGTTGGCGCACATATTTAATAGAATGAGATAGAGCAGAGCTTAATTTTATTTGTCAATTAGAAATCATGAAAATAGTACAGAAATAAATGCAAAAGTTTGTTGATACAGTCTATGGAAACGATACGACCGAGATATCGCTAATTACCTACCACTCAGTTTAAAACAGTCACAAAACCAGCGCTTGGGGTGTTGCTTTGCGTAAGATCGACAGAATCGATGCACCAGTCGAATTGTATAAGCAATTTTAATCAATGTTTTCTTCGTCGTCACATGTCGGCTGCGCCAACTTGGCGTAAACAATGACGTTACGCAATTACTTCGTTACTCAGCGACGTTACGCAATTACGTCGCCAAGTAGCAGCCTGACGTTCCTTACGAAAAACACATATTGCTTTCCCTCGCAAGTGTTCAACATCATTTAACGAAGGTCATACGTTTACTGCGGCATACAAGCGAATTTACGCATTGCGTTTAGCCTCAAAATTTGTCTGACTAAAAATACACAAAATATATATATATATATACAGTGTTGTTAACGTTCGATTGCATAAAAATGTGAAAAGCAGGAAAGGCAAAAATTACAGATTTCTAAAGGAGATGATGTTTGAACTGCTATTGTGATGCCTGTTCACACTAAGCCGAATGTTTAAATCCATGCGTTTTACATTGTTCAGAAGCTGGTGAAATTCTGGATTTTTCACGAAAAAGATTTGCTTGTTCCAACAGTTGCCATAAAAATTATGAAATTTAAATGGTCTTATGGCTCACACATTGTGCGGATTTATGAATTTCATCAAAACTTACAGTTGTATGCTGCTCATGTACACAATTTAATGACCAGTCGCCGCAAGTGGTGTTACAGCTCTTCCTAACTTTTCGACAGGATATTTCGATTCTTTTGCGCCGGAAAATGTAAAGTATTTACCAAGTGATCTACTGACGCCACCTTTTCTTCCACGTTCTCGTTTTAGGCAGGCCATTTCGTTATATATATAATCAGATAACAAACGTACATATCATGGCCTTTATTTTTTAGCATTCATTACCTAGGCTATGTTCGATCAAGATTCGTTCGAATATATAGTTTTTAAAACCGCGGCACATCCCCTGAAAGGTAATTTTGTATCCTTTTCAAAATTATACAACTTATGGCAAATTTAGATGAAGAAATCCATAAATAAAATGCCAAATCTTACTCGAATACAAAAAAATCAGTAGATGTGACTAAAAATGAGTTTACACATATCATCAAACTTTCTGGTGTAAATAGATGACTAAATAGGCTTTCATGTGAGATATTTCAGACCACCCAATAAGTAATAGTTTAGAAGTTACATTGATTTAAAACAGCGTTTTCCAACCTTTTTGGTCGCGGACTATTTTCTCACCGGCAAAAACCTTTGCGGACTCAAGGCGCGTTTATTGCAACCGTACTCTGTGTGAAGAAGCAATAAAACCAAACACAACAAAATTTGAACGAATTTCAAAATCGGAAAGTCGCCGCAATTACGCGTTCGTTAAAAGAGCCGACTTTTTTAGTGTATAATGGCTTTTTCTGTCGCACAATATTCAGTCCATGACAACGACGAGAATTTAAAATGTCTTTCTATTTTAATCTAATTGTGTTCATGATAACTCGCGGCTGCGTCGACTTACGACAAGATGAAAGCATTGCTTCATTAAAATGCCACGGCAATCTGCGTACATAATAATGAAAGAATATATTGTCCTTGATACATATTTTTCGCGATCTTGCGAATTTGTTATCGCCGTTAAAAAAATTCGACTATCTGCTAAGGACAACTTGACTTAGTACTTATTAAAAATATTTTTAAAGTATATTAGTAAATCAAAAATACATATTCTTCGCCTTGCTTTATTATTAATTTAATTGTGATCATTTAATCTGCGGTTGTGTTGAGTGTTGACGAAATAAAAGAAATACGGTACTCCTGAAGTAAGCGCACCAAGATGTCGAATAACCTGAACCCTAACCTGAGTTCACGTCGTGCGCCATCTTGGTGCGCATACTTCAGGAGGTCCAGAAATACTACTCAGAAAATATCATTACTATACGTGGACACAAAAATGCGTGGTAAAGTGCCCGATTATATTTTGTTTTGATTCGTATTTTTGTGAATTCGACAAATCTGAGCTGTTCGTATAGAACACTTACGGCGTTTCAGTACTGTACGTACCAACGTGGAGGCAGTAAAGCAAAGAAACCTAAGGGAAAATGACCTGGTACGTATAATACGGTAGCACCCCAAATTTCGCGAATATGTCTAAAAAAAAGTGTTTTTAATCATCATTCAACCATCATAAAACAAAACTTATGGTGTTCTCCGTTTTATTTTTAGTATTTTGTATTGCCGCTTTTCAATTTAGAAAATCTGGGTTGCCCTCATTGACACCAACCAGAAAAAAAAAATTATTCGAACTCGCGAGAAACACCACACTTATGTATCTATCGACGCGTTTGCCGACTAGTGTTTCAATATCCGCAAGTGAGTTGTGAATTCCAATTAAGCGACGCGCAAGTGACCTGTTACCAAATTTTCGAATAGTAAACTGCTATTCTAATAGTTGAATATAGGCCCAACCTTACTCAGTAACCAGTAATTATTGACTCGATTAATTTTATGTGAATAAACTTGCTTTTTGTGTTTTATGTAAATTCTAACGTAAATCGTAACTTGGCTGATAGTTGTGTATCGCAAAAACGTTTGCGGCCCGCAGTGAATTTCTGGCTCGTTGCGGACTCATTCAAACTCTCCGCGGACTCATTTGAGACCGCGGACTCGGGTTGGGAAACACTGATTTAAAATAACGAATAGGCCTATCACGAATTTTGAAATTGTCGAACTCGATGTGGACGATCGACACCGTGGAAGTTCAGGGTGGGAGAGTAGCATCGTTCTGGTTCTGGGAACTCCGAGTTCACAGTGGTAAAAATGATAGTTAAACTCTTATCTGTGAACCATGGTTTTTGAACACGAACTACTGCTGAAAGCACTACTGGGAAAGACACAGGCGCACATCCATTTACATAAGTTTTTATCATTCAAACGGCTAATTAAGCACCGAAATTCGACTAGGGCTCGAATGACTTCATTGACTTGAATATCATCAATGGTGGTAAACTTATACATCTTTATCTGTATTTGTCGTGCATTGGAATATTGCCAGAATAAGTCGTACGGATGTTTTGCCGACCCTTTGCCCCCAAAAAATTTTCCTTATTCTTTACTATTGCATAATTTTGAATGCTTATTTTGCGGGTGTTTTGAGAGTTGACGCTCACAAACTTTAGTAGTCGTGCATTGGAATAGAGCCAAATCAAGTCGTACGGATGGTTCCCCGACAATTTGTTAGGTTATTCTTATTGTTAACTTTTTACTGATTGGTCATTGTTATGGAAATAAACAAAGAAATGGATGCTCGGGGAAATATCCATTGGCGTTCGAGTGTTTTTTTTGAGAAAATTTACGTCATTTTGCTATGTCCTTTTACGATATTATTGCGAAAATGCGCGAGCGCCAAGTATCGGAGAACAGTCGAGCTTTATCGAAATCTTAGATATACCGGCAGCGGTGGTTAAACACGAGGTATGACGAAGTAGGAAGGAAAACTATGTCACATAATAAAATAAATCAAACTATAATATATGCAATAAATTTTGACTCTAAAATCATAACAGCCGAGAAAACTTTCGATAAAAGACTAAAATGCCTTTTCAGCGTCCCAGAATTTTTGTCATGTCAACCCCGGCATCAGGGCCCGAAAAATGTGTTTAAATTTCCGGATCAGAATTTTCGGAAAGGATTTCGTTTTGGAAATACATTTTTTCGAATGTCAACAGCGTAAGCTGAATCCGAATACCTCTATAAATACTACTGCAGAGAGTTACGGAAGCACTAACTAGGACAAGGCTGCCCGGCCCGTGGGCGCATGCAACCAGCCGGACTGTTTTTTGTGACCCGCTTCATAAAGTTTTGTTTAACTTTTTAAATTTTTACTAAGTTATAAGTATTTTTCGTGATTTTGGTATGATTATTCCTGCCATCTATCTACATCCAAATGTCGGTTCTTACTATCACGTATGTGTCAAGTCTTGCGCCCTGGAGGACATAGACGTTAGTTCTGTTCGCGAACTCGAAAGATATTGTGCGATCATTGGGGACGAACTGAGCTGAGCGCAATTATGGGAATGAATTTGAAGCCTAAATTTGCAAATTAATCTCATTCTGATTGCTTTCTTTCGTGTCGGCTTTGTTCGTCTTTATCGCCAACGTAAAATAAGAAGTCAACAATATTTTTGATCCCGGCTCCGGGGCTCGTTGTCCTTTTGTGTTTGTATTTTTGTTTATGTTATGTTTGCGTTAAATAAGATTTCGGAAATGTCGTTACTGCGCAACCGTCAATAATTCTGATAAAATAGACTTAATGGCATTGCTACATATTCAAATTAGAACATGTAGTCGTCCCGAAATCCTTTTAATGTTTCTTTATTAAATACTTGTATATCTGGACTTTTCAAATTTACCGAAACGACCCACTAAAACTTGATATTCCCGCGACATTGGCGGTTATTATGCTCATTTAAACATTGAGACAGTAGCATATCCACTGAAAATGAATGAATAAAAACACTATGATGCAAATATTACATTCAATTTTGACGTCTGTGTTTGTTAGTGAAAACTGTGTGTAGATCCTCGTGGGGTCGACAGAAACCCGTAAGTGTGTTGTGCAACGATCGATTGGACGCCACGCGAGTGTCATGTCCAAGCCCCGTGTTACCAGATATTCGAATAGTAAACTGCTATTCTAATACTTGACTTTATATTCGAATATTTTGCCAGCACTACTCATTACCCATTAAGTAATTAACTTGATTTTATGTTAATAAACTTGCCTTTTGTGTATTATGTAAAATTGTAAATTATACCGAAATCAGGACTTAGCTGGTATTAAAGTTTCGTACAAACGTTTGCAGTCCGCGACGAACTTCGTCATGTTAAAGTGGCCCGCGAGACGAAAAAGGTTGGGCAGGCCGGGACTAGGAGCTTACCGTTGTTTGAAATTTTCACAACCTTCTCCAAGAACAAGGGGCAAACAATGCTTCAGGCCACATAACTGGTCTAAATGTATTCTCGACAAGATCACAGGTTGCAAAGAGGCTGAATATTCCCAACCATGGAAAACCTGTTTCATAGGTCACAAAATACCCTGTCGAACTCTACACATAGACAAAAACCAAATAATTCAAACAACCCAAGACACAGATTCCCCCTTAGCCTTAGTCTCCTCGCTCACACAATACCAAAAAATATCACTCCATGCTCAAAAAGGCGGTATTCGAGGTGATTTTTTATTTATTTGAACGTTTGGAATCGCGACCTCGTCCTAGAATTTAAAAACAAAAGAATAAGCTTGAAAAAGCAGTCGCACAGTAGTAATCGAAGTAACAAAATAGATGTTGGTCATAATAAGAACCAAGAATTTTCCTATTTATAAGCAGATACAAAAATCAGGGATTAATTACATTCCATCATTCACCCTATAGTTTCAAAACAAGAAATCAAAATTGGTACATCAATCATACCATGTATGTATAAGAAGTCAAAAGCATGATTCGTGCCTAAACCAATCAAACTCTGATACAAAGGAGTGATTATTACCACTCTATTGGGGGTCGATCTGTAAAATACAGAGGACCCAACTAGTATGAATGTAACACAAAATATGTAGGATATATTAAGAGGGTAATTCTTAAGCAGAGTTTAGTTCTGGTAATTAGTCATTTTCAAATCAGTGAATCTAAAGAATCTGCATGTAATTATTGGAATTTTCTATTTGAACAAACTCGAATGACTCTGAAACTATGTAATTTATCAAAGGATTTAACTTCAACTATTCGGACACTGAATAATCAACTCAACACAAAAACTTTGATGCCGCACCATCTCATAGTACCGTATTACACATACCAAAGCTAGAAAGTTAGCTTCATATATCACAGCCAGAGTTGGGGGGACACCATTCAGCCCCATCTTCATTCTACATAAAAAATCGAGATAACATTCTCCTTCATTTGCCTGTCATCACAGAGTCTCGTGTTGCTTCCCAGCTACTCTTATCTTTCAATCATTATAATACACAACCAAACAACAGACCTTTTGACTTTTCTCAGAACCGCGGACTTCGTCTTTTCGGTGAAGTTGATCGTGTCTTGTCAGTGAACTTTGCATAGGTGTTATAACATGGCAGTTTAGATTGAGGTTGATTAATTATCTGAGCGATTGTCGGTTGGTCTCTGTGCAGTGGACGTCGTATGCTGATTTTAAGTGGCAGAACAACTGGCATAACGGAGGGGGCCTGACTGAATTTTTGCACCATAACTTCACTTGTGGGTTCGTAAGAACGTGCCGAGTATGCACATAATTTAACAGGAGTACATTTTCGCCTTCGGCGTCTTGTTACTGTTGTTGGCTCTGCAAGCACCGGAGGTGACACCATGGCAGGTGCTTGAACATCGTCATCCATATTGGGGGCATTTCCAGTAACAAAGTCACCCACATGGTTTTCTCGGTTAGAGACCTGCCCCGCTTGAGTTTTTGCATTTGTCATTTGCACAAATCGCAAATTGTTCAATTTTGACGCATTGTAAACATCCCTTTTTCCTTTTTTAAATGCATTGCTCAAACATTCCTCAATTTTATCATCCTGCGTTCGTTTTCTAGATCCAGATTTCTTGTTATTTTTAGTTCGAAAAGCTTGTTTATTCCATTTCATTCCCATAAACGTATCTTCTGAAGATACTGAATTGGTGGAATTAGAATCCGAATCGTAGCTCCCGCACTCGCTTATTGATGGAATATATTCATAGTCGCTGAGTGGTGACGGATCCCGCTTATTCACTGAACTCTCAACTGAGGGAGATTTATCTTTCGATCGTCGCAACCTGTTCAATCGCTTGTCTGTTTCCCGGAGTCCGTACTTGCTTGAAAATATCTTATGAGGACTATTGCTGGTCTTAGATGTTTTGAACGCACCAGTTTTACGCCTTTGGAAAAAAAGAAAATCAATAATGAAAATATATTATCCAAAATGTGATGGAATGTCATGAATTACATGGAACAAAGAAAACACAGAACAATAAAAGGAACAAAAATATATTGGCAAATATATTTATTTATTTTGCATTAAGCACATTTATATAGACTGTAATTCAGGGAATTTTTTTGATCTAATAAGTTCAGGTAATGAAAAAAAACGGCGCTCCAGAAGTGTGTGTACCAATATGGAGGTAACTAATTTTGTTCGCCTCCTCTACATCAAGTTGTGTAAAGGGACTGAAACCTATGTATATCCACTTGGCTAACACAGACAGTCGCCGACTCGTAGCAGAATTACAATCGGAAAAATCTGAATAAAATTATGGCCTAACCCTAACCTACTACGGGAGTACCAAAAATACAAGTGCATGGATATTTGACAAATATAATCAAAAAGATTGCGCAACAAAAGCAATAAACTCATGCCTCTACAAAAATTACTTGTTACTGACCTCTCGCATGTTTCACATTCACAGAGGCAATTTCTTTCACCGAAATAAGAATCCCCATAATAACAAGTTATTTCTTCACCACATTCTATATCTCTTAATGCTTTTATACAAGCAGTATCACGGCCGGTTGGAACAAAGCAGCAGTTTGGTCGACAATCTGTAACAAATAGAAATTGGAAGTTAAATTAGCTTTTTTAGCTATGTTTCTCCACTATGACAGTGTCACAATAATCAAGTCTCGATTTAACATTATTCTCCCAGTCCCTGCTTAGTATTGAATGAAACAGCATGACTTTAGACATTGCCATGGGTTATCCTGCATGGATAACAAAGATGAAGCTCAGACGTAGATTTCACCTATTTGCGAGATATATAGATTTTAGAGCTTTTCATTTTGCACACAAGATGTTTTTTTTCCCTCAATCCCAATAAGTTGAATAACCAGTGATAGAAGATGTTTTTTGGAAAGATCAAAGATAGTTTGGCATCACACCCTGAACTGTGAACTCACAAATGATATCATATATCACTGGCACGGCAAGACTGAGTTGTATTTAATTTTCTGTTTTTAATTTATTTAGATTTAAAACATTTTCCACCTACCATGATTTATAAACGATGCAGGTCCCAGCCAAAGTTGGGCACAATTTTTTCTTGTCGAATACATGACACTGAAATCGTTTTCACCAGGTGTTAATAGATGTGCCTCTTCCTCCCTTGTCAACTCCGCAATACAACCGATTAACATCAAAATTTTATCATTTTTTGACCTGAATAGGATTTTGAATAGGATATAAAAGCCAGGATAGAATTAGATATGTAAATAAACTAACATCTCTAGTACAAAAATATAAAATTTAGATAACACTTTTTTATAAATTTCATGTCAGGAACTTTGAATTAGGCTCTTAAGTTGAATACCACGAATGTTGCCTTTTACTTCATATTTGTAATAGTGATAGGCGAGATGAATAGGATAAATTAACAAAAGTGTCACATAAAAATATATATAATGAATAAAATTTAAGATTAAAAACTGAATAAATAGAAATACAATCAAGAATCACACGAAATGGCAGAAAGTGAAAGCAAAACAATGCCTCACAGCTACATTAATGATTAACAACCCTTTTAGATACGTCAACACCGGAGAAACCAATGATTTTCACTTTCTATGTTAAAAGAGCAAACATAACCACTCGAAAAAAAAAATATCCTTTGTTACTTATCTTCGCAAGTGTTTGATTAGGTTCCCATAAAAGGTAGACAAAGAAATTCAATAACCATGGATAATACAGGTGTCGAAGAAAAAATGAAATATAAATTCAAGGTAGTACGAACGCTGTGCAGGTTTTTAAAATTACATTTAATTAATAATAGCAAACTTTGACAATAACTCACCACTCTTGTGTTGCCACAATTTTAGCTCCAACTCCCTCAAAGGAATACCTTGTGCATCGTTCTATTGCATAGCCACAGTCAGGATCAAACATTGCCAAATATCGTACCAGATGAGCTTTGAAAGCCTAACAAAGATAAGAGATTTATAATAATTACACATTAACCGATATTATGAATCATGGTGACCTAAGCAAATTAAAAAAATCAAGAAATCAAGAAAATTTTTCAATTCATAAAATTTGTGATGTTGTCGGGTTGGTACCAAAGTTGTAATGTATAATAAATTTTAATAGCGTTCCGACATTTAACATGTATGAGTGTGTGTGGGTGTAATAGGGAACAGACTGAATTTATCAAAGTTTACAAATTTAGGCGTTGATTAATAAATTGCAATTATATAACTAAATCTATTCACCATTTTCTGTTGTATTGTTTTATTGAGGAAGTGCAATCTAATCCAATCCCTGCTTTGTAATAAATATAAAGCTTCTTCATAGTCCACCGTTTTTTTAAAACGTTCGACTATTTGATGAAGTTCTATGGATCGACCTTTCATAGGCCTGAACCTGAAAAGAATTTACATTTACATAATCTAGTTATTGAGACATTTACAAACTTTCAAAAGCTTGCTGAACGAATTCATCATACGGCTCAATACACAATACTCAACCGTATTTCTTCCTCAAAGTCGCATCATATAGTTGACAAATTTATTGTAAAACATTTTCTTCCTATAATATATTCAAACACAAGCTGAGGGTTTCAGACAGAGTAGAATGTTGAATTTGGTGGAAAAAAAACATTCAAAAATATTACAACAGGGTTCATTTGAAGCGAGTCTCTAATCATGATTTGAAGAAATATTCACCAACTCAATTCAACAAAAAGACACAGAAGTTTAAAAATCAAAAATCTATATTTATCTCATCTTCATCAAACAGATTACTCAATCTTTGTGTATTGTGTTAAAGCGCTTGAAATTGACACAATATTCTTTAAATTGCAAGCATACTTCACATGTATAACCATCTCTTAACTTTTTAAGGCTGTAAGGAAAATTCAATTCCACCTAAACCAATTGTCTTTGCTTTACCTTATGTTCATTTTATGTGTTGTAAATCCAAGATATGAATCCAATACTAGTGATGATGCCAAATCGTCAAATTCACAAAGTTCTTTTGAAGTCATACTTATATTGTTTCGTGGCCCTGATCGCAGTTTTGCAGTACATACTGCCCACGATGACGCCACCATCGTCAATGTTAAATAAACAAATAATTTATGGAACTCTGATATTGAAAAACATAGCAAATATTTTATAATGAGGGTATCAATAACTTTAACTAATTTGATAAGAAATGAAATCATGCTGTTTATTAGCATATTAACTATCAAAATAATGGCAATTGGTTAACCGGTCCAAAGAATAAAACGTGATCACCGAGTGCTGAAAGGATTCTCTGCCTCAAATTTTATAGAGAATGAATGCATGAAGATATACGAGTACCTAATTGCTGATCAATTATAACCTTTTCACCAGATCAGATCTTTTTCTTATAGACTATCAGAATTCTCTAAAAGATAAATCACATTTTCTAGAACATTGCATTTTAACCTGAGGCATTGACTTACAAAATTTGGTTCAAACAGAGCAGAAAACGTAGACTAAAAACTATAAAATTTTGTGGGAGAAACAACCTAAATCACTTACGGTAATTATTTATGGCACGAGGGCAAGTAAAAACGCAGTTTTGAAAATTGCAGCCAGGGATGACCAATACCTAATAATTCACTATTTCGAATACATTCAAATTTTTTTTTTTTTCGAATATGAAATATTGAATATATTATAAAATTAAATAATAGCACTTCTTAGTGTATGAAGGAATTTGCATACAATATACAATGGAATAACTAATGCCTCCCAAGAAGATACCGAACAATCAGAGTTCCAATTATATTTTGTCATCTCAACATGTCACAAAGCGCAGAAAATCGTTATTATTCAAAATTACCTGAAAAAGTATGAATACTCTGATATTCAAATTGTTTTAGACAATCCTGATTGCAGCATGTGTACCAGTAACGAACTGATCAAGGAGATAAAATAGTGGAATTGCATTATAAGTGTTAGATGGGCGATCATCTTATTATAAGTACATCCTAAAAGAATTTGATGCTATAAACACCAGTTTACCAACTTTGCACTTTGGATTGAATTTTTTAAACATTTGATTTAAACTGTATTAGGATATTTGTCCGTCCCCATTTGTCCTACACTACGGTTTCATTAGATACAGTAGCAGACTAGCAGTCATATCATTTAGTCATATCCAGCATATCATTTTGATATTTCAGTTATTTGACTTACAAATTTTTTTAGAAAGATTGGGTAAAAGGAAATCCCAGCAATGCTGAAACGAGAATATCGGTCGGAGACCGAAGACTTAACGATCGAAAATGCGGTTTCGATTCATGACTCTATAGTGACACCGCGTGCCCCATCACTAATTAATTAATAACTCGCTAATTATACGACATAATTCATCCAAAATCGATAGGATTCTGGACCGAGATATGATGAATGCACATGCAAAATTTGGAGCAGATTCAACCACGCCTTCGTGAGATATCGCGTGCATCTAACAGACAAACAAATACCTATCAACATACTTACCGATCTAAAGATCGATAAGTAATAACCGTTACTGTAGCTAGCAAGTGTAGTTTTAGGTATTTCGTGGCGTCTGAAGCAGTCGCAAAACCATGGCCAAACTCATTGCGACCGACTTTTCTGCTGCCACAAACCAACGGCAAGCTGCCGTTACTACGGCAGCAAATTGAAAACTAATTGTGGGTATGGTCGTCCAAAACGCGCAGACGATAACCCGAAATCGAGCAAGCTATTTCTGTCGTTTTCTCGTCGCAACGATCACGATAGGAGAGAGATCGCCGGCTTTAGCAAGTTCTTATCGGCGGCGCAGATGCCATTTCGGGCGATCGTAATTATACTTTGGCAATCCCTATGACGTGATGGTGACGTCGTAGTGACATAATTTTTGGATGGCATACCGGTAGTCAGGTGAGGGTTAGGAATAACATATGCAAAAATCGTCATGCTACGCCCACTGGAAGTACTTGTGGTACTATACTAGACCCCAGGGCTGCCCCTGATGGCAACAAATATTGGGTAAGTTGTAGCATTTTTTTAATAGATACGGTACAGTTTTATTGGATTTCGGGTTAGGTTTCAGGTTTAAGTAGATATAATTTGGCATGATAAACTAAAATCTGATATATAACTCGTGTAACTTTGTGAATATACCAGTAGTAGCGCCATAAATCATGGCAAGAGACTCGGTACGTTGGTGGCAGGAGCTGCGATGAAGTGGTAAGAACTGCGACTCGTAGCTAGAGTAGCTCCGCCCTTTACGCGAAATGGCTCCGCTTGTTTATTTGGATGACGTCACACGATCGATTCATTCGAAGGTGACGCTTATCGCTGCGTCGAAGGTGAAAGAAGCAAAGAGAAAGTAAGTACGGTATAGTTTTGCAGCATCCCTCCCAAAAAGGCTTATTTCAAAGTCACAAAATGAATAAAATCACGAAATAAACATATAATTTCCTGATAACAGGAACGCCACCAACCCGCTACACGACCACATAATAAAAGTCTATTGTTTGAAACGTTTCTGCTGTCAGTGAGAGATATCAAACACTCAATCAAACATTTCAGTAAAATCTATCCTAAACACACACGTACATCTTGAGCAGAAAATAAAGCTATCGAGCACAATAACTTAATAAAACACCTGATAAGATAACGCTAAACGCAGTTACAACTGAACGAACCAGGAATTCAATTTTTGCTTTGTGGCAACAGGAACTAACGCTCGCTTTTATGACTCAGCACACCCGATCACGTGTCATGTTCATCCGCGCTAGTAAGTAGAACTCTAGACCTTGTCTATTTTTCTAACATATATTATTACAGTTTGTTCATTTTGCTGAAAATAATAAAATGCTGTACAAAATATTTAATTTATAAAAACCAAAAAACCTTCAACAACACTATTTCTGCTATAAAGTGATTTTAAAGAGGCGTGCCCGTAGGTCACGTGCTTCCGCGTAGCCAAGCGTATCCAAAATGTTACCTCCAGGGGAAGTTTTAAAATATTCTGTTCTTTCGTCGCTGTGTTGTGAGCATCTCTGCTGTTGTGAGGATCGGTTATATCCGCATTTTTGTCGACGCTAATGTTGCGGGATGTGCTTCAATGCTAATGATGAGATTTAAACTGAACATCATGATCAGCATGATCCGACGCTTTGTCGTCGTATACTGGGCAGATCATGCACGCACTGTTTTGACTGCACCACTTGTACGAATTATCTGACTTAATCGCTCTTTGTTATTTGCTATCGAAAAAATAAGCATTCACATGCCATGCTCGCGGAACTTTGGTTGAACTTACCCGACTAAAACTGAAAAAGGGGTGAGAGTGTATGGATCGCTATGTGATCATGTCGCAATTATTAAAAATCCCATTTATTCAAGGCCCTAGCATGATGGTTTTGGTTCCCCGCGACTTACCCTGGTACACTAAAACTTTTTTTTGTAATTTGTACACGATTGATTTTTACTGGTGGGGAAAAATATTTCACTCGACCAAAATGGCATCGCTCGTTTAGCGAGGCTGAGATGTACCAACGCAGCGAAATCAATGTCAGAGTTCACAAAATGGAATCAGAAATTTCCATGCAACGTCTCCTGAAACGGTCTCCGCGTTCGTTAAATTTTTTTTTTATAGTATATATATATATATACTATAATAAATTATTCTGTCTCGTAATATTCAATCTGTGACAACTACAACAATTAAAAATATCGCGCTATTTTACTTCATTTGTGTTCAAGGTAACTCGCGGTTGCGGCGACTCATTACCGATCTAAAATAACACGCCAATCCGCAGACATAATAATGTGACATCAACTGCCCGATTATATTTAGTTTTGATATATATATATTGTGCTTATGCGAATTCGTTATCGTTGTTAGAAAGATCTGGTATGAAATCCCGGAAAGTATATTTAATTTAGTATAATGAAAATATATAAAGTATATTAGTAAATCAAAAATACATATATATTCATTGCCCCGAAATCCCCGCGGTACGGCTTCTGAGTCAGTCGTCGATTCTAGATTACGCCACTCGTAAAAAGATCCGACTTTTATGTACGGTAATGGTTTTTCTGTTGAATAAAATATTCAATCCATGATCTATATTCATATTTGAAATGGTTACTCTATTTATGTAATTGTGATAAACTGAATCTGCGATTGCGTCGATAAAATAAAAGCACCACTTACCCAAAATACAACAGCAATCCGCGGACATAAAAATGTGTAGCAAAGTGCCCGATTACATTTGGTTTCGTATTCTTGCGCATTAGACCAATATGAGCTGTCCCCGCAACTCCCACTCTGCTCCATCGCAATGCTGCCACTCGATTAATTTTAAGATATCACCGTTCTAGAAATTCCTAAGTGTGCGATAAAATCCAACAGAGTAAAATTTATTTCAAGTCGGTAGTTTTAGAACACTACAGGCACGAGGAATTTATGAGATCTGCAATGTCTAAAAAAAAGGGTTTTTAAACTGTCATGGTCCACCCCAAAACAAAACTCACGGTGTTTACCGTTTCCTGATTCAGGGGGAATAAACACCGAAATAAATATTTGAACCGCCTAAATAACATGTCACGCTGACGAAAACAATCGGAGATTTAAACAAAATTCAATTGCAAACGTCATTAGCGACTTTATTTTCCAGCGGTCAAAGGCCGGGGAAAAGTTCACATGCCTAATAACTATCAAAAAATGAACTGCTTTTCTTTATGCTAAAAATGTACACAAACTCATTTGCACTCCTTCACAATTTTTAAACAGTATTTTTGAACCTGGTGGTTGTTCAAAGGTATTGGTAGTGAATTTTGGAGACGTCAGGCCAACCAAGAAATCTGTAATTGTTGTGTATTTTAAACAAAAATAATATAATCTCTCTCCACGAAATATCAAGTATATTTATGAGCGAATTATTCGCTATTTGATTAAGCCATATCTTGTTTTATCTGAAGAAGTTAGACTATGATCTAACGAAAGCTCATAAATATACTTGATATTTCGTGGAAAGAGATAATGTTATTTTTATTTATCTTCATAATACTATCTCAGTCACGCATCCTTGTGGCAACAGCCACATACGGATCCGGAATAGAAAGTAAACAAGGAGAAAGGACCTGTAGTTCAATACACAATACCCTAGTACATAGGTTCTCAAAGTGCTCCGTACGGAGCCCCAGGGCTCCGCGAGAGAAACCCAGGGGCTCCGCGAGCTATTCGATTACTTTTCAAAATACTGACTAATTTTGTAATTGTTCAAAGAAGCAATAACAGCTTTGATAAAATCTAACAACAATATAGCCTCGAAATATGGCAAAGAGACGGAATTAAGAAATGACATTCAGAAGGAGGTGGTTCGAAATTAGAATCGGAAATTCCCGCGCAACATTCGCGATTAAAAAATGGATAACGAACGTTTCGGAATGAAAATTGATTGCGTGCGGCTCCATGGCAGTTTCGAAATGGGAAAAAAAAGTACATCGCACGCACAATTGACGATTTCGCAGTTACTACGATGAAAATCCAACATAACAGCAAATTTTGTGATCTCCCATTTGAAGTTTTAGTTTTTATATTTTGGAATGCCGCTTTTCAATCAAGAAATTTGAGTTGCGGATCTACCTCTTCATTAATTATTATTTTAAGCAGTTCGTCGCCGATGACTATAAAATGGTAACATATTTTTCACATTGAACTCATAATTCCCCACAGAACAAAAAAAGCAATTAACGTCGTCATTGTGTAACAATACATGTATATGCCGAGGGAAATTTTTGATTAAGGGAGAATAAACACCGGCGTAAAGATTGTAGATTCAAAAACACGCCGCCGTGCTGAGAAAAAAATCGGCGATTGTAACAAAATGCAATTGCGCACATTATAAGCGGCCTTTTAAGTCTTCCAAAAATGTCAAAAGGGAAAAGATTCGACCCCTAATATATTAGTATGTTTGTCAAGTGTCAAATTTACAGCTTTAGTATATATAATTTATGTTTGAAATTTAGATATATTTATGACTTGTATTAACCCTATTAAAAAAGGTTCAGCATTTAAATTGAGTAAAGTACTTTTAACTTGCTCAAGAATATTAATATGAAAGCAACAATTTTAAAATTTATTTTGGGGCTCCGTGAATAATAGTCAACAATTTCGAGGGCTCCGCGACACCAAAAGTTTGAGAACCCCTGCCCTAGTACACCCCATTTTTTAAACACACAGTAAATAATGTCTTGTTTAAAATATTATTTAGGCAGAAAATACATTAAAGCGCAAAAACCATACACTTATTGCTTGTTTGGTTTTACCTAATACTTAGTTTGGCTGTACCAGGTACTGCAGACTGAGCGGGAAAAGGAGAATGTATTTGAGTATGGCTTTATACCATACGTATACGACTGTGAATGGCGAAGTTGTACTCCGATGCGTTTTATGCCTAAACAATCTGAGCAATGACGCTATGAGACCAACACTTACAGCGCCATGGTAATATGAATCAACCTGCCCATTACAAAAGCATTTTTTCAAAGCAAAAAGGGGGCGCGATGTTTGTAAAATGTTTCAAAGGGTGCGCGGCTCAAAAACTTTAAGAACCACTGATGTAGGGTAATAGATACTCCTATAGTATATACCATCAAAAGACTCTCGCCCAAACTGCTACTAGGTAGCTTGGAAGGTTTAGGGGTTTAGTTGTGCTGTTATAGTATTTAGTAGATCATATAACTCAGAAATTTGGCGAGTCCAGTTTAAAATAGTTTATTGCTCGGCTTGCTCTTGAAAGAAATTATCTTTCAAATTTTCGTATTGCGCTATTTAGAAACTGTATTGCAATGTAATATCGAGGATATTGATTGCCGGACTTTAATTTTGTACCGGACAACTTCAGTTTTTCTTCTTTGTGGCAACTGACTCCGATGACCCCTAAAGGTCGTATCGTATCCCTTCAGTCATGTACCGAAAGCACTGTTTATTTGATAGTTCTATATACCGGCATATGTATGTTGTTTTCTTGGTTTGGCAAAATGAAATAAACTCTCTCTCTTTCCAATATGCCACGAAGGAAAAGCAGATTTTGCAACCAATTTTCTTCCATTACTATGATACGTTGGCTTGATTAGATTTTATCCGGCGGTATTATCTTCTACTCGAACCAAAGGTCGCCAACAAGACTTGAAGTTGTATAACAACAAATTGATCTATAATAAGTCCTTGATGGTATTTGATATCCTTGTTATTAGCACCTTCGATCTAGTAATGCTCAATTGAAAACAAGTACTACTCCGGAATGCACCCGGTTGGCACTTCGATCATTTCTTGAAGTCGCCAAATGTGGGCAACATTTGTCCCGCATTCCGAAGAGAGAAAGTTATCTTCTGCCCAATCTTGGCGGAGTAATACAGTATGCGATAGCACATACTCCAAAGATAGAGTCACGGCTTTAATTAAGGAAACAAGCGCATACAAGGTGACAGCTGCGAATGCCCTCGACAAAATGCCGTCACAAGTCGAACATCGTCTCTGCGACATGTCAAATACGCGACAGACGAGTGATTGCCAACTCCCAAATTGGGATAAAAGAGCGATGGAATCTTCCCCCGCTTTAGAATATAAGATGAAATAGCGCAAGAAACTCATACCTGTGAATAAGTTTACAAATTTCACCTCAGCTACATACTCCCAGACAAAGTGTATGGAACCGAGTTATTAGTATCGGAATATTCAGGAAAGATAATATAAATGACCAGTTTTCAGGTTTGATCTTTGAATAGTGGAACGCGCAACGAATAAGTTAACCAGATGTAGATGAGGCAATGGGACTATTTTGTGATCAAGTGAAGGGTGTGCTGGATCGATAAAATGCTGCTCTAGCTTCTGTATCTAGTAACTGGGATAGTGGGGCTTGGTGTAACGATTTATTATTCCGCAGCTCGAATATAATGTATACGCGTATGAAAACAGTACGAACTTATGCAGCTAGTGACTACATGGAACTGATCAGGAATCATAAATGAGAAATTCGTGGAATTGCGCTATATTCAGGGCAGGATGTCCTCGGCATCTTCATAATGTCCATTTTTATTAGTAGGTTGTTTATAAATAAATAACGATGGCTGAAAGACAAAGAACAGAACGTCGAATTCATATAACACCATACAGACCAACCCCGTGGGAACCGTTTCAAGACTGGACGTTTCCCGCTACAACTATTTGGGACCAAGTGAGTCTTACTTTTTAGTATTTAATTTTCTATGCAGTACGTGTCGAAGATAACGACTTTACAATAAATTTTTGTATTGAGATAGGTTCATTTTTATACTCTAAGTCTAATAGATCACAAAAAATAAATTTCTTGAAATATTTTTCAAATTATTTTTGAATGTCAGACAATTACATAATATTGTCTCTGTATAATCCCGGATAATATTCAATAAAATCTATAATATATAATCTGGACTTTTTTCACATTAGTCACAAATCACTTTTCTATTTCGGATATAATGGGTTGAAAAACTCATCCTTATCTTTTGCCCAGAGAACGGATTGCAACTGTTAATTAATTATTAGTAAATAATCAAATTTATATTATCCTTAGTACTTATTTTGTGCTATGTTTGCTGCTTATATCTGTATATTGTTGCATGTGTTGCTATTCTCGTTCTCTTCATATTTTATGCATGTTGAATGTAACTATTACGTTTGAGATTTCGAAGAGAAGTTTTTTATTAACATCATTATTTCACTATTTTAAATCATGACACGTTTCTGTAAAATGCCAACCGATACAGACGTCAGTACTTTGAAGTTATGCCAGACGAATTCTTCGCAGGTTGGATTCATAGGCCACAGCACTGTTGAGAAGATGTGGTGGCAGCCGAAAAGTCTAATGTGATTATATCCAGTAACTTAGAATGTTACGCTTGGAGAATAGTTTTAAAATAAATTTATGATTTATATACGGTATAAATATGCAGTCTTTTCTTAAAAGGCCATTCAAATGGCGATTTGGACCATAACTTGAGATACGTTATTCTGTATTTTGCTTACTTGCAAATTTAAAATAATACGGATAAATGGCATAGGACACCATTGGTACGACGAATTCGTAGTAGAGCCTTTTTATTAATTTCATTATTCAACTCACTTTGACTCTTCACTGCTCTCGGTACATGTATCACCAATTGCAAGGATAATTTTATCTTCTGCTGCCGCTATGTGATCACTGAACACTCACAGATTATATTTATTGGGCAAGGCATAAGTCAGCAAAGATCTTCAGTCTAAATTATTAAATCTCATAAGCTTGATTATCACACATTAAGCATTATGATGATACACTCCAATGTCATGCTCGATTCATGTTTTCTGCGCTGACTTCACAAGTCAACTACGGTACGTCATCAGTTTTCTTTCACGGTTACCATCCAGTCACGCACGCCTTTACCAGTTTTTCGTCGACTTCACCTAGTTCGCTTGAATATAACCAGACATGCACTTTGAATACAGGATTTTGGCGGAATGCCAATGACTAACAGTGTGCGAAGTGAGCATCGTCAGAGATTGGTCCGAGGTGGGGGTGATCCATGGGCTTCTTCGGCGACTGCTTCCGTTCCGTATGTTGTCAGATCTCCGGCTGCCGTCCAACCTACTGCTCCGCAACTTGTCAACCGACAGAATAGTGGTGGAGTTTCTCAAGTAAGGCGATTCTAGGATATAGGTTTTTACGCATCTGCTGCGAAGAGTCGATTACTAAATATGATCAATGATAATTGTGCGAATAGATGGGCGAATTTTTGTCTAATATAATATTTTGGATCTTTCATACAAAGCACCACTAATGCAAAAATGTGAGATTTGAGAAAACACCCATTCACGTTTTTTAAAACAACAAATTAGTAAATATCCAGTTGGGGTTAGGGTCGGAAATGATTTGAATTGACAGCGCAATCTGTATCCCTATCCCTAACTGAATATTTATTAATTCTCTTATTTGGAGCGCTGGCGAGGGTGTATTTTTTATGGCGGGCGCTTTGTAAAAAATGTCTTTATATTTTTATAATATCATGTTATTTGGTAAGTGTTTACTAAATATTTATGCTAGATTGCATGAGATCTGTCTTGATTTTAGAATGGTATACAGGGTTTCCGCATTGTTGCATAAACGTGTTGTCTAATGGATTGTTTGGCTTGAGTTTGAATTATGAAAGATTTTGGGTTCTATTGAAGTATGGCTACCAAGATGGCGGACACCGAAACGTAGTATGTGTACCAGGTTAAGGTTAGGCCATAATTTAATTCCAATTTTACTTATTTTAGTTCTATTACGAGTTCGGGTACTAGACAAGTTGTACCTGAAATTATGGCCTAACCCTAACCTGGTACACATACTACGTTCCGGTGTCCGCCATCTTGATACGCATACCTCAGAAGTACCAGACTTTGTTATGTTTAACCGGAAGCCCGCAACGCGGCATAATCATAGGATGAACCAAGAACTTCCCCCTGCTAGCAGTCGAGGTCGGTTATTTGATAATCAAGTGAGCCGTTTTGCGAAACGCCGAGGAATCCAGCAATCTTCCACATAACTAACCATCTCCCAAGAGGGCCCAGTTTGTGAATCCGCGTATGGTAGTCTGCGATGCGATATATATAAAGCGGATTCCTTACTCTTAACACAATGCCAAGCCAAGTTGTATATCAATCATATTCTATGAGTTTTCATATTAAATATAATACTCAACAATAATGAAGACACAAGAGGCATATCAAGAAAGACAATTCCGCAAAAAGATAACAAACATATGGCAGCCCTAAGTGTTATGTTGCAAGATATTCATACTTGTTTCGTAAATCTTGGTTACAATTAAAATAGTTGCGCGTTACGTCATATATATTCTTTGCCATAATTACATTGTTGTTTGCCAGGTATCCACTGTGGATGGAAAATATCAAATTCTACTGGATGTTAAGCATTTTCTTCCAGAGGAAATAACTGTGAAAACAGTTGGAGACACAGTCGAAATTAAAGGATCACATGACGAAAAACAAGATGATCACGGGGTGATTTCTAGAGATTTTACCCGGAAATATACATTACCCAAAGGCATGTATTCTAAATCCGAACGTAGACGATGCACTCACGCACATATTTTTTGCGTCATACTTATTCTAACCGATTTTTTATTTATTACTGCGTGGATCTATGGACCATTTTGCGAAATTGTTGTTATTTGGATAAAAATCGCCCTCACTATCCAATCAATCGCTTTCATAATTTTAGTGCTTAAATATGTAAGTGTTCCCGGCAGACAATTTTTAGTATATTTTTCATAGGAGGCTTTCTGTCTCGCCCCACATTCACCTTGTTTTTAGAAACTTCAATCTCAGCTATCTAGTCATACCTTATGCAATCAGGCCTTGCTCAATTTTGAGTTTCTTTATATTTTGTCGCAGATGTGGATCCAATGACCGTATCATCATTTTTGTCTTCTGATGGATTCTTAACAGTGGAGGCTCCATTGAATAAACCAGCTATTGACGAAGGACCCAAACCATTACCAGTGCAGCACGAGTCTGCGAAGAGCTAAATTTATGTGATATTTACTAGCTCTGTAGCTAATGCTGCACTTTTATACCATTCGCGAAAAATATAGCAATCAAGGCCCAATCGTTTATATAAAGACGTAATACGATCTGGAAGTGATTGTTTATTTTAAATAGATGTATCTATATGTTCTTACACAACAATAAAGTTTCCACTTGTTTTACCGATACTGATGGTCGTTCTTATTGTTTCATCAGGGAGTCCTTCATGGGCGACGTGATTTGGTGTTTTCTGCTGGAGTGGTATTTTCAAATTCCGCCGGTCGAGTGAAAAAATTTGTTAGAAAAATAAAGAGATAACTTCTAGAGTCAACTTTATTAACCCAGAGACAAAAGTTTGGGGTCAAGTCAAACTTTTTTCTGCAGATCCACGCCCAACGATCATTGGATTGCACAACAAATATGCCAACACATACACCGACTTGTAAAACCAAATATCGGGTCGGTATACACTCGCAACTACCTCAATGATTAATAAGTGCGAGATTAATCCGCAATCAACGAATGGGGCAAATCCAGTGGTGGAATCCAAGTGGTTAGCGCGAACCTGTTGGTGGAACATGTCAGCGAACCTGTTCTTGTTTTAGATTTTAAACAACTGCAGCTGCAGCAAATGGATTACGTGCAGTGCGGCCGACAACTAGCGTTATATTTGGCGACTTCAAATTATTTATAAGGTTTCTGTAGAGCCTGTCATGTTAATACAGCTTACGTAGTGACATATATATATATATTCTGCAATGAGGAAAGTCATTGTTAGTGAGTTCAAAACAAAAGACAACTTGTTCCTAAAATTCTGAATCCCACCAATGGCGACTGCAACATCAACCTACAGATTGAGAGTTGGTCACGAGATGACTCACAAAAATATGGATGAGTGAGAAGCAAAAAATGTTACTAAGTCACATAAGCTTATAAAAGTTATTCTATATTTATTTTCCAGTCAAAACAGACAATTTTTCGAAAAAATTTTAAAACACAAAAAAGCATTCCCCTATCACTGAAAATGATAATAATTGGGAAAATTAAAACAATAATTAAAATTACAAATAATAATAGACATATTGATATTACAGTCGCAAAGGACAAAGAAAATTTTTTTTACATCGTTCACTTCGAATAAAAACATGGGAGGCAATCCGCGGATAAAAATGTTTGAAACGAAAAGTCATATTAAATAAAAAAAAATACCTTTAAAAAAAATGACTTGGCCGGTTATGTTCAGTGAATGATCTAAAAATCAGACATAATGTGAGCCTATTTTATCGCCAGATAGGTAATAAAACTGTGGTGATTTGAACATAGTTACAGAGAGTTCCCTCCACTATTACACAAAAAATATCATCTTATGAAAATGAAAACCGGTTTATGAAATTTGTGCTATTGCAGCACCTACTTATTGAAATGTTTCTAATAAAAAAAAACGTTTTTTTATTCAGCTGTACCTGTATCATTAGTCATATCATATCATAATTTTCATTGAGAATTTCAGTTTTGAGAACAAAATTTTTTCAGAAAAACATAATCAGGCAGTTGAAGGGACAAGTACAAAAATAAAACTCAGCATTAGTTCGCAAAAAATACAATGATCATTCAAAAATTTTTTGCTGAAAAATAGATTCTTAGAATCAACATTTTATATTTTTGCAAGAACTTTTGTTGCTGATAAGACACAAAATATTGTAATCTGTAGAAAAAATACCAATATCAAAATATTAGAGCCTTAGTAAAACTAAATGAGAACTTCTTTTAGGCAGTTCGGGCAAATATTAAAACTTCATCCGGTCCAGTAGTTTAAAAGGTTCCCAAGTTTATTTTTGCCAGTTTTTCAAGTTGAACTCTAATAGTGATGATACAGTGTTTGGCAAATAACTATATAGTAGTTTTGTAGTTGAACCATATTGGCAATTGGTTTGGGGCTGAACGCATTGAACGCATTACGGAATAAACAGTTGCCAAAAGCTAGTATGGACATTATCATAAAGAGAAAAAAATCTTTGATACAACAGATGGAAAGATATTGAGAGAGTTCAATCGACCAAATATACCAAAACTGGTAATTTTTGCTGCGGAGTTTAATACTTAGAAACTAGGAGATGTCTGGTGTAGTTCAAAGATACATAACAATTTTGAGCAAAGAGTTCAACATTTCAAATTAATTATTTTTTTCACTGTTTAGACCTGTGGCAGAAAACAGATAACAAAAGACTTAAATAGTAACTACCGGACGCCCAAAAATGTTGATAGAAATATACTATCAATTTTTTGATAAATATTGACAAGTGACAACCAATTATTGTTTTGGCTTTAAGAAAAAATCGATTTTGTCGACAGTAAAAATATGAAAGGATAAATGTTTATTTGCTTTCTAAGAGAACAACTTTGAATATTGTCAGATCGAAAAATAGAAGGAAGATTTCAAAATCTATAAAGATGTTCAAACAAATATCAATATATTGTGTCATATACATTCATTGGGAATGCTAATCTACGTCATTGTTTTTTTCCTTTCTATAACTATCTCGCCCCTACTTTGTAATAAAAACCATGGACAGGTTGGTTGCCTATGGTTGAGGTGCAAAATCTGCTCTTTGGTGGTTGAAACCGCCAAAAGAAAATAGATAATAAGTAAATTAAGAAAGATGAACATTGCAAATACAACTGCTTAAAAAGTTAGTGCAGAGAAAGAAAAATGATCATATTTCATAAATTAGTAAAACAAAGTTTGCAAGTCATAGACCTATTTGAAATATATTCTTCATGATTCATTATACAAATATTCATGTGTGAGCTTTGCAAAAGTTGTATATAAAATAGAACATTTTTTTTGGAAATTTAACCTTCTTTATATGATAATACCTGGTAAACAATTTTTGGCATAAATCAAAATTTTGCTGGGTAATGGAGGCAGAGAATTTAAGGTGAAAATGAACTGCAAAGAAGAGTTATAAAATAATAATAATCTGTTTGGAGATTGACATACCTTTGTTATTGATGACTGAAAGCACAAGAAATAAGCTGAGATCAATGAAAATTATATCTCGGTATGATAGCTCAAACCATCCACAATGAAATCCAACAACTGAAGCCTTCACCCCAGAAGTGTTAGAAAATATCAAACATCTAGCGCGGCATAGTTGCTATTTTCTAATCAATCAAGACATTTTACACTATCGACAAGTCACAAAAAGTTCACCTTATTTTTCAAACAAATCACAAAAATGGAACTACAATGTTGGCAGAAATCGGCGTGGTACTATCTCAGAGTGGCCCAACGACAATTTCATCCACCCTCTGAGTGTCCTTGTTTTTGTTTCGGGCGACAAGCGGCCGGAAGTGGTGAGATCCATAAAAGAACCTCATGTCATAACGTTCATTAGTTGTCACAATGACAGTAAGAGTGAGTATCAAGTCGCCCACTCTGCCGTACCTTGCCCAGGATTTGGGTCGAGTCTCTGCCGTTTTTGTGATGTTTCACCGTTTTCAAGCATCATTCCTCCACCATCATCTGCAACTCCATATGAACCCATGATTTCCATTGGTGACCTATTTTGAGAAATTTACGAAATATAAGCGTTGTTAAATAAAATATCAATGTAATAAGGGAAATCCAGAAAACTCAGAAAAAAAATAATTTAAAAAAGGGAGGAAATTCAGAATGTCCAACAAAAATTAACAAATTGTGTAACTACAAATTTCAACTAAATCACAAAGCCAGGAAAAGGCACTAATGCATTGTATGAAGTTAAGCCCATGCATCTGGAATGAATACCTGGTCAATTATTCCCATACGGGCATGCACTGGTAAACAGACGAGAGGCAGTGGCCATATAATATTGCCATCTTATTGACTTCCCTCTCCCCTGGGATAAATCCTACCCAAACTGCAAGCAGGCAGGTCACAGACAGTATTATAGTAATAAACAAGAAGAGCATAGAAAGAATGCTATACTGTCATGAATAATCTCAGATAAAAAGATTGGGACGAACCTGTTAGGTGGAGGTCTTCTCATTCCAACCTCTGGATTTCCTTTGTCAGGAGGAGAGGCTGGTTCTCTTTTTATATTAAAAGAATGAACATTTCCTGACCCATGATGCATTCCACTCATGTTTGGATCCTCGATTCTAGGCAAAGAAAATTAAAATGAAATATGAAAAAAATGAGAAAAAAACAAAACTACAAACTGTATGACAACCTTTCATTCTAAGTCCAATATCAATTAGAGGGTGTAACATTTTAATGAGAAGAGTGGATGTGGATTTTCACTCCAAAGAAGCCGCTGTAAAGCCTATGTAATGAGATACTTTTGGAAATATTGCTAGCTTTCTGGTTCATGATTACCTATCTGATTTATTACACCCTGAGTAAGGTCGTGGGAATTTGAGTTTGAAATGAATTTCTTTAATTTGCATTGTCTAGAAGTCTAAACCTGAAGCCATCACAGATTTTTGATTCCATTTTTTCTTATATATTAGTTATAATGGGCTGATAATTAGGCGCCCCAGAAGTGTGTGTACCAATATGGGGGTAACTAATTTTGTTCGCCTATTTTACATCAAGTCGTGTAAAGGGACTGAAACCTATGGACAGGGCACAGGGGGTATATTAACTTGGCTAATACAGACAGTCCCCGAACTCGTAATAAAACTAAAATAAGGAAAATCTGAATAAAATCATGGCCTAACTAACCCTAACCTGGTACACATACTTTGGAAGTACGGATTTTTAATTCCATTCTTTCGTATACATTAGTTGTAAGAAGCTGACAATTACACTAATAACACAACACTATGTACAGAGATGGATTGCAGTAGTTAGATTCTGTAAAAAAAATATGTTTATAAATTTCTACCTTGATGGATGTTGTAGTTGAGAACTTGTAACTGCAATTGCTGAGTGATGATGTGGCCAATGTTGTTGCATGTTGGCAAGTAAATTTGGTGTGCTAAATCCTGCGAACCCTTCACCGCCATGTATCATATATTCTAAAATATTGAGAGACAATTGTCAATTTTTAATTTCAACACATTTTCATCTATTAAAAGATGATGGTTAGAAGATAAATGATTTTTGAAATCAGCATTACAGAACGTCCATGAATTTCTAAAACATAACAAAAAATGTTTTAAAACTAAAATTTATGAAAATGAATTGGTATCTTTTTCCATTTTCAATTCAGCTTTTGGTTTTGTATGCTCAAAATAAATTAATCAAAGATTTTTTTTTCAATAACAGGATACGATAGATACACATTGTAACATATGTAGGAACAATTCCAACTTCCAGAACATTTCCTTGTTTTCAATCTGAAACTGATCGTGTTACCACGCTTTACATTAACAATGCCAACAGACCAAAACATCATAAACCCTGCCAAAAACTTGCCGTTTTAAACCTTGAAACAACAAACAGATTGCAAAAAAATAGTTGTAATTCTACACCACGATTCCTTCAAAAGCCAGTTCTATTGTAAACTTTGGGGATATATGCTTGTTTGTGATATTCTTTTACAACCTACGCCATCCTGACCAACACTATAATTAGTTTTATGTTAGGAACCATTAATTTTAAGTTTTGTTGCCAACAGGATAAAATACAAAGGTTCTACATATGTATTATCCGTGACGTTAGGCCAAGCTCATACAATAAACTTACCATTAGGATTATAGGTGTGCTGATACATATTACCAGGTTGAACGCTGGGTGTTGCTAGACTAACAATGGGTGTGGACAATTGCTGGTTATCTATTCCTTCCTGTAAACGGAACAAAACTAACTTTTTGCTGGAATATTTTGCAATAGACTTACACAGAATGAGGTTGAATTCAAAGCAGGTACAAATAGGACTATTCCTATATATGATGCCTGTAAACAGGTTAAATATTCCCCTGGATACATTTTATAATATAAACTTCATAATATGAAGTACTGCTGTAATATTCCTTTGGAACTTTTTGTAACTGTGAATATTCCACAACTTTCTTGACCATATAACTCAGAAATTTGAAGTTTCTTACAAATATCAGAACAATTAAATTAGTCAAAATTCCAAAGATTCCCCTACCATTCCACTTCTTGATGCTGGTATACTGAGATGTAATGGTCCTGTTTTCCTAGTTGGTGATGGTTGTCGTGGTGATTGTTGCTGCTTCGGTATTGACCCTATTTGTTTTTGAGGCATCGGGGATGTACGGTCCATATGTACTATAGAAGGAGAGGTTCGTTGTATACTGCTGTAGCCGTTGTTGGGTCCTGCTGAAATAGAGCAAAAGTTTAGAGTATTTTGCACAACACAATACAACAGTTCAACATAGAATTTGAACCTACTTTGACCACAGGCTCAAGGCTATTTGAAAATAGATACTCATTTTCATCAAACAAATGAGATCCCAGCATTCTACTGTTTTTGAATGGAATATCAAAGAATGTATGTAGAAAGGCTTTCAAAAATAGTATTACAATTACAATATCAATAAATTTCTTCTCCTTGACGTCCAAGCAGGATACCAGTTATGGAATAAACAGTCTCATACCAAAGAGCTCAAAGAATACTGATATATATGGATGGATAAAAAGATAAACTTATTGAAAATCAATTCACAACAGCACAACAAAAACACCATAACACTGAGCATAAAAGAACACATACATATATAGACCAGACTGATATTTTAAAATAGAACATAGACAAGCCTGTCGCAATATCATAAAGAAAAAAATAAAAAAAAATATCATAACAAAATACCAATTCCATGCAACAAGACATAAAAAGCATGCAAAGTCAGACAAAAACACACACAGCAAATTGCCTTCAAAACTCTCATAACTATACCTTGAAAAACTTATGAGAGCGCTGAATGTCTCCAGGTTAAGCATTTTGGAATGTAAGGTACTTACAATAATAAAAGCAATGTGTAATTAAAATTTTCAAAGATTCCTTTGTGGAATGAAATGCATCACCATATAACATACAATATGGATAATAATGACTGATTCTAATTCTCATAATTTGTTGGGAACAGTTGATAATCACACAGCCTAATTAAAATGATATTTCATTATTATTACATCTCATATTCAATATGGAGGTGGGCAGTAAGTTAGAAAATATTGTAATATGTAAAGAAAGCAAATCTGATCACAACTAGCCAACAAAAGGCTATGATTGGAAAATAACACCAACATAAAAAGCATACAGCAATGTTTTGATGAATAAATTTTCATAGCGCAAGAGGAAGTGAACTATTTATTGTAAAAATATGCTTTTAGCTGAACTGTCACACATTATTATTACATAATATGCTTATTATTATTATTACTTAATATGATGCATTTCATACCAAACTGAGGCATTTCATTATTATAGGAGTTGTATGTAATGAAAATAAAGCATACTTCACAAGACCCAAATTAAAAACTATGAGAATAGATGGATAGATACCATGCAAGAGACCACAAAATATAGTAAAACATCAGACTCAATATCCAATTCTTTTAATTTAATTGCAAAAGGTTGGGTACTCCTGAAGTATGTGTACCAAGATGGCGGACAACACCAGTGTGTAGAATGTGTACCAGGTTAGGGTTAGGCCATAATTTTATTCCAATTTTTCTTATTTTAATTCTATTACGAGTTCGGGGACTAGCCAAACCCTAACCTGGTATACATACTACGTGCCGGTGTCTGCCATTTTGGTATGCATACTTCAGGAGCGCCAAAGGTTGTGATACCTTGTAACTAGGGCTGGGCATTTTCGAATACCTTGTGATTTCAGAATCGAATCGAATAATTTTTCGAATAGAATCTCGAATACTTGAAAATATATAATTGTAAGCGACTTCATTATAGTAATTGGTCCTCTCAACAAATGAATTACTGAAGACATAGAATAAATCACTCAGATAGATTACTAAGCGTTCACACAGAATAACTCACTACAGGAAATAGTCTTGTTAGAATTTCGTTGAAATAATATGACTCCAATGAAAAAAAACTTGGGGAATTCACCTCGACCATTAGCGGAAAGATAAAAACAAGATGGTGGCGATTCGAAGTTTAGCTCAGAACCGATTTGAATAGTTTACTATTCGATTCAAAATGCCCACCCCTACTTGTAATATATATAAGACATACTAAACAGTCACAAACACAAGAAAAATTTACGAACCAAAATCACACAATCAACGAAAATAAATAAAGCATGTTGACAAGACCTGTGTCACACAATTATCTTACCCGGCGAGGAAGCATCAGACATAACACTCATGTCAGACCCATACATTCCACCTGATTATAGATAGAGTTAGGAAGAGTTTGAAATAGTAAGTGAAAATATACATGAGTGAGTCATAGTCAGTGTTATCAATAGGATGGGAAGATATTAAGAAGAAAAGGCATGCTTCGGTGTTCCCTCTATATCAGTGGTTTCTAACCGTGGTTTTGCGACACCCTATGATTCCGCAAGTTTCATTCCAAATCCGAGATTCCATTTTATTTAATAATGATATTAATTTGCTTCATATAGTTAATATTGCACACGGGTCCTCGAGTCTCTGGAATATTTTATTGGGATTCCGCTTCACCAAAAAGGTTGAAAAGCCCTGCTCTACATAAAGCTTTCAACGAAATGTTGTGATTCAGGCCTATTATAGCTGGATAGACAATCTAACTTGTTCCATTATTTCTGGGGTCCTCAAATCAAAGGCATCTGTCGTTTACTATTAACGAGTATTTCCCATCCATCAATATTTATGTCTCTAACGTATCTCAATAACAATAACATTTATTTAATTGATAAAAGTTGTTAAAATACTTACCAGATGGAGATCGGCTCGGACTTGCAAGCGGGCTCCGCGGCAGTGGGCTTGTACTGTGACGTCCATGATGAGGGTGCGGTGGGTGCAACAAGTTCGGGTCTGGGTGCTGAATCAAGTGGTGCATATGTCCATAGTTACCTCCTAGTCCAACCTGACTGGACACTGGGACAGTGACAGGCATGGGAATGAAATCTCCTCCCTGAAAAATAAAAAAAAAATAAAAAAAATAAGAAAAAGGTGTAAGGACAGGAAATGCCTAGTCGGAATATTAAAGATCATGGTATCATTAAATAGATGAGATCATCTCAATACATCTTTCTTCTAGTATCAAATAAGATACAAACATGGTCTTAAGAAACATAACATACTCCTAAGATGCTATCATTCGATACTATCAATGAACATCAAAATGTACATGCTATTACAACATAAGCTGTTGTAGCCTTCACCACACCAGATGGAATTATCAATTATGCTTCCTGCTGGAAAGGGAGTTCATATTCGGGTCAAGTTTGACGTCAGTGTCTGTCAACTAAGCAGGACAACAGCCAAGTTGTGCAGAATAACAAAGTTGGAAAATCCAATAAAATGGAATTAATCAGAGGAATAGAATAATTAAATGGAATCTGGATTAAAAGAATTACATTATCTATCTATAGCATTATAAACAAGAATGGTAAAATTTAGCATTTTGCACGGTTATACCCTAAAATATACAGTTTGAAGAATTGCGAATTGAATGTGCGGGAAGACATAATTTCTAACATAGCGCTTCTAATTTTATACCGAAAATGTCAATGTATGGAAAAATTTTGATTACCGCTCCATGTATGTGGTGTGATGGTATTGTTTGTTGTGGACGCACACTCTTCATCATGTCATCAAATTCCTGGTTGATTGTTTCGTAACGTTTCAGTGTATTTGGAGTCAACATATAACCTGTTGATTCTGGATCTGGACTATCACAATTCTTGTTTTCTTTCTTGTTCAGCATCTGAAAGGTAGAACATTGTAAGATTTATTACCTTATATAACGTAATTAGGTTATGCAACTTGCCACATAGGAATAATATATATTTCTTTACCCATAACACATATGTAGAATCAGTATACAAGAAGACAATATGTAGCAGAATGCATAGTTTGTAAACAAATTAGATTGTATCATGCAATGACGTATAGTTTCAACAACGATTCATATGGTTCTATGTACCATTCCAATACTGTACATATTGTGACTAATAACATGGATTTTGAAGGGTGGTATTTTTGTCCGCCAGAAATATTTGCCAATTGGCAGTCTTCGGTTGTGACCAAAATCAGAATAAATTTATGTGCAACCACTTATGAAACTTGAAACCCAGAGAAAAATATTTTCATTGAAGCTGAACAATCATACTTGAAAAAACGCCAAGTACTGTATTGCAAGCCAAAATTTTTATAGAACACGAATTCCTCAAGAAATTGCTAATATCATGTTAAACCATCAATGTATACTCTGCTTTACGAAAAACATTTTCCACATGTGTGGTTAATTAAAAAAAAAAAAATCTTCCCACAGTTATTTTTGTGTGAGAAAAGTCCTGTAGCAGATACACAAAGCTAGATAAGAACAACTGCATTTGCATTTTAGTTCATAATCATAACCAGAGGGAGAATGAAGCCTAATACATTTTGGCTGCATTGAACATGTAGTATGATATGTTAATTTGCGTCAGCAGCATGTTATGTTGTCATAGAAATCCTTTTACATGATTCTTAATAACAAGCACATATACATGGTTATACACTCCAGTGATTGTATGGCAGTTTCAGCGAGCATACTGCACTCAATGAATGAAGATCAAAATCCAACGCTGAATTATAATTCAGAAATGAATTAATTTATAAATGTTCGCCATAGTGGTCGGCTAAGCTGAACCCTCAAAAAAAAAAATTGTTTTTTTCAAGAAATTTGCCCAAACTAAGGTCACTCGCATTCATAAATTAATGATACAATATATTTTAGAATAAAGTTGATTTGAATTATTGAATAACAAAAATTGCAAATAATCTGAAATCATGAATTCACAACTTTCATATAATAGCTAGGCAATTTATAGGTTTATAGGTGATTTCCCATTATTATGTCCAGCATGAACTGAAGTAACAGTCATTTATTAATAGAATACGGAATCCGATAAAAATGTGAAATAGAAAAAATAGAGTTTGAAAAGCTATAAATAAATAGTAAAAACAAGAAAACAACAATACCACAAATAGATAGCAAGTAAAATAGTAGCATTTCATTTATAAAGTGCAAGTTTTTGAAACATGTTTTGATCTAACAGTGGAAGAGGTATAAAAAATAGTTTTTCAGGTAGCTGTTTCACTTGCAAATTTCAACAAACACATTTTTTTAGAACTACTAAGCTTCATAAATAAATATTATTTATAAAATTTGCAAACATATATTATTTCAGATCAAAATTTATAAATGTTTGTTGAAATTTAGAATGGTAAATTTAAGCTGGTGTAATCATACAGCATATTTCCATGGTTTATTGATATCACTCAATATGCTCTGCAGTCTGCACTGTCCCATTTTTTTCACATTATCTACCGCCAGGAGAAAAGTATTTTAAATCTTAACGCTTGGGGAAAGCACATACATAGAGAATAGTTTCACTAGGATTACATGTAGTATTAACGATATATTCGGGATTTAAAAATTGCAACAGGTGTAGGCAAATTTAATTACCCTATTTACATGCGGGACATGTTCCATACTGCGTTGAAGTGTTGTACAAAATTTGCGGTTTCCTAATTTAATTCTGAAACGGGTTTAATCGATTGTTTTTAAAATTGGGTTTGCAATGCAAGCTCATGATACCATGCAAAATTCTTTTACATAACACATATTATTTTAGAGTATTAAGTTTTAACTCCCAAATGGCAAACAAAAAATGTCAGTTGGCATGAAGTACTGAACTGAATAGCAAGCGAGTTGGTAATTCTATTCTACTCGTGAGTCGTGATCAATGCTTTCAAATCGTGGCATATAATTTTACGTCATGGACATTAGCGACGGTACAAAATAATTGTACGTGAAGACACCGCGTCTCGGCTCTACTAACGAGCAACGTTGGCTTTGTTAATCGCTCAAGAAGGACTGGGTCACAAAAACCAATGACTATTGAGGCGTACATCGAGATATCGTGCAACAAAAACAACTACTTTTGCTTGAAAAATTGCCTGAAGCGAACGGGGCTTAACCGTGTGTGACCGCTGAGGCAAAGCGAACGACAAACGTCGTATTTGGGCCTACGCGGAACGATACAAGTAAAAAAAAAATGGAGCGATCGTAAGTAGTACAGCATTTTGAACAACACGTCTTTGAAAAACGCGGCACATCAACGAACGAAAGAAAATTCCAAACATACGCGACTACACGATTATCAATACCATCAATCACGAAGATATTAACACTTTGGAAGCATATCCTAAGTTTCAATCACGTAACACGCAATCCAAAATTAGCAAATTCCACAAAACGTAGGCCATAAATCAAAACGCCAATGACGACCGTGCGTGTGTGTGTGTGATTGTCCCAACAATTGACATCGTAGCAGTGCTGACACTTAATACAGCACTTGAAACGATTTACGCCTAAACAGGCAACAAGTTATTTATGGCAGTCGGTGAACAGGTATTTTTAAAATCATATCCCGCTTGAGGCCAAATATACCTTACAACGTCATCAGTGGTAAAGCAGACAAGACAATTACACTTCAGTGGCGGTCGTGTTTTATAACGAAATGTTATAATTACACGAAAATTAGAGTAAAATCCAGAAGTGTAGCGTGTAAGCTGCGGGAGAAATAACAAGCGGTAACATAAAATTCGGTTACAAATTCGTCGAAAACCAATTGTAATATGACGTCACAACGGCGTATTGTTTTCGCCGTCTTAGAAGAAAATTTTTGGCAATCGCCACTTTATTAAATGTAGGAATTTATTTTCGTTCGACAGGGGATTTCAATAACTTTGAGACAAATTTAGCGATGTACGATAATGCCAATAAATTTACTATGAGCATGCCTTTCAAATTCAATACAATTTAAATTCAATGAATTTCATTGAAACAAAAAATCCCGTGAAAATGTCAGAATGACGAAAATCACTATAGTATGTGGGACATGTTTAAAACGAATTTACATATTTATCTTTATACCTCCAACAAGTGAAACAAGAGCAAGAACTGTAAAGATTTGGATGCCTAATTTTAATTTGAAATTTGAAACGTTCAAGCAACTACAACTGCGTAATATGTTGGGAGGGTATATGTTATATTCTGCCGATCGGGATAGTAAAGCTAGGTACTATATTTTCTTGGAATCTAAAGTTTCTGCGCAAATTCACGTCAAAATGTTTCTCGTTAAGTTTCCAATATATACATACATTGTGGGCTATGATATAACCCCGTTAAAAAGCGGTACCTTTGCGATGATGCATTTCCATCATTTACATACAATAGACAAAATAAACTAATTAAACTGAATATTATGCCCCCCTATTACCTACCTCGATAATATCAGCGTTGGTTCGGCTTTCGTGTGGTTCATTATATTCAGTGTATTTAAGAAGTACTTTGTCCATATCAGTGCTGGCATATTGAAATAACTTATTCGAGCTGTTGAAAATAATAAGGGCAATCTCACAATCACAAAGTACAGATAACTCGTATGCTTTCTTCATCAACCCAAATTTTCTTTTCGTGAACGTCACCTGAAAAAACAACAAATGCGGCAATGTCAGTAAGATACCAGTAATAATTACAATCCATAATAACAATGAAAGTTTATTAGTTTTTTATACCGGGTGACATGTAAACACCGGAATTCTAAATGAGACCAAAATGATAGTGGAAGCAGATGACCACTCTTGTCCTTGAACCCGACGTGGTCGCGTAGACTAATTCGTGTAAAATTTAATTCTACGCAAAGTGCGCGTAATATAATACGTATCATTTTGGGATTAATAATAATGTTGCAACGTAAACTTTGTTATAACAAACTCATTAGATCATTGACTAATAATGGTAAAGCAATAGATCGCGCATTCTATTAATAGTCCATGCTTGAATCTCAATGTCCTGGGATCGATGCAGATGTAAGCTGCAACGAAAAAGAATAACAGTATACAAAAATACGAATTAGATGCAAAGACACACAAAATTTTCAACAAATATTCGCCCTCGTTAAATCACTAAGTATATCATAAATTATTTTAAAATCTGATGGTTAAAACTCTTGTCAGTGATCTTCGTTTTTAAAAATATACATGCCGCACATTCGCGGGTTAAATCCCCCCATACAATGGGTGTTACATTACATACCTGACGATTCCTTTCGTCTCCGATACGGGAGATCTGTATCTTTTTTCTTCCCATTGTGTTACAATTTGACGATCAAAATACACTTGGTAAGAAAATTGTCTTGTTTCAAATTCAATCCGATAGCCCTGATTTGACGACGAGAAGACGAAACTTTCACTTTTTGGCATCAGACGAAAATTATAAATCAGCGATCTTCCTTGTGAAAGTCTATTTTTAGTAATCTATCTACTGTCCTAAAACAATCATGTAATTAGATGTTAAAACGTATTAGGCGATCAATTAAAAAAGTTAATCAGGCTTCCTTTTTTTTTTTTTTTTTATTTTTTTTAATTTAAACATGTAAAAACAAGAATTTAAGTTAGAAATTACCAAAACAGTTACCGGTATAGTATGTGATCGAAAACAAACAATGTTACGCCCACTAGAAGTACCGTACCTATGTTAGGTGTGTATCACAATTATAAAATATTTCTTATACAAAAGCATGCATGTTTAGACCTTTTTGAATAAAATAGTAATATTTCCAAAGCATTCCTTTAATTTTACATTCAGACTAAACATTACGTAATTCTCATTACTGCAGTACGGTAATGTACTTAGGCTACTATTTCCAAAATAATTCTACATAATCTTTTTTTTTTTTTTTTTTTTTTTTTATTTATAAAAACAGTCAATATTATCAATACTAGTCAATCTTAAAAATGTACTATCAAAAGCTATGACATTACCGACTTTTCTAACAAGTTTTCAATTCTTCCATCCTCCAAAAAGCTATTTTTCATATTTGATGCCATATTTTTCAGCATCCCTCTAATTTTACATTTAAAAATTATTCTCATAACTGATTGGAAATTATCCAAATCTTCAAATATTATTTGATTCCTGAATTCCCAAATAGCTGCCTTTCCACATGCAACTATCATAATAACTGACAGGTCACATGTATTCTGTGCAATAATGGTATCAATATTATTTTCACTAAAATGCAACTCGCACCAATCCCAAAATATTTTAACATAATAGCATTCAAAAAATAGATGTTTACAGTCTTCAATGATATTAATATTGCACAACACACAGTGACCATCATCATATTCTGTCCAATGCCTTGTTCTATTTCCAGTAGGTAATGCCATATGAATTATTTTCCAACATAAAACTTGTACAATTTTAGATATTCCATGAACCCAAATGTTATTCCAATCAATATCAAATTCCAGTCCATAATATTCCTTAATTGATAAACCTTTTTGTTTTGTCACTTCCATTATCTTTTTACTTATAATTTGATTATACATATATTTCGTGGTTGGAAGTTTTTCAAATGAATATATTGAACTGGAATCTGTTTGAACATTACTTTGACTATTCAACACATTAGCCCATCCTGATGGTATGGCTTTTAAAATTTTCCGTTTGTAAATGGAGTCGGGTGCAATAAAACAACGAGGAAAATAATTTACTAGCTAATTTATCGTGTCCAACAAACTCTCCTTGTGCTTTTTGCACAAAATAGCCGTTTCAACGAAACAATCACCGATAAATTAATTTTCGTTATATTATTGTATCACAACAGATACGGGGGGATATTAGAATCACGGAACTGGAAAAGAGGTATTTTGTGAGGTACCCAATGTGAGGAGTAGAGTATTTACTGGCTCCGTCGATCTTGGTCACAAGTTCACAACGAGACAGTCACTCAGTCAAGCTCTTTCAAAAATATAACAATTATGCGTCGGAACATTAACTTTTACAATCATATTTAAAATCCTATTAAGTTTACATTTCCGGATAAAAAAGAAATAATTCGTTTTTCTAATAGAAATCGTCCATAATTGCTACGAAAATCATCATGAGAGATAATAAAGGAAAGGGCCGTTCTCCTGACTTGTTAGAATTAAGGTTTGGCCTGTAGCAATAACAAATAACCTGACAAGGCTAACCAAGAAATCAATGACCCATCATACTTCTTCCTAAATGTTAACGATCCCGGAGAATCTAATCTGCCACATTGCCGCCACAAAACATACAATGTGGTTGATAACACGTCACGTACAAATGAAAATAGATTTTAACTCTCTTGCTGTAAACGATAAAAAACAATCGTATTTTGTAGCACGTGAAACAAGCGACAAAAATAGATTAAGGCAAGCTTAATATAAGCGCATTTGACGTATCCCAAAATAGAATCGAGTGACGCAAGATACTCACGATAAACTGATGCGGCAGTTGCATTCGAGATAGTTGGGAAAACGTGTCAGTTACGCAACATGCAAGACACTGGTCTATCAGCGCTGCCTCGGTGGAAATGGCATCTGGCTAAAATCCCACGAATTTCATAGCCCTGGCTACGTCACAAGCGGTTCAATACACGGTGGTCGAGACATACAATGCAAACATTCCAGGAAAATTAGACGCGGTACAGACCGCCATGAGCACGATTTAGACATAATATATATCTTTAAGGTAAGGGTTCAAACATATTTGGAATGATTTTATTTTAGTACATCTTAAGATTTACTGAAATAGAATTGTTTAGGTTCACCACCTATCACGCGTGTCCTAATTGTTAAATTTATTAATTGTGAAGCACGAGGTTTAGGAATCATGAAGATTTTCAAGTACCGTAAAGCGGGGTGACTATGACCCATTTTTGGTCTTTCAGTCAAAATATCTCGAATATTAAAAATCTATGAATTGCTATTCCGGGTCCAAACTATGCATTTTAGAGGGGGTATACGTCGTGCATAATCATTGAACCAAAATATTTGTTTTTTCTATATTATTTTTTTTAATTTACGGTGGGCCAAAGTCACCAGCAATTTCGGTACCACTTTGGCCCAGTGCCTATTTCTCCCCATAAATTAAGCTGTACCCATACTGAGACAAAGAAAACATTTATTACAGTGGGCTTTGGCCCACAGAGACTTTTTAAAAAAACAGAAACCCCAAAAAAATTAGAACACTCAACGAAATCGGCCATTTTATAATGGCACTGCAAAAATCAAAATTAAACATGTCTGTATTCATTCATAGCAGTTGATATCATGGCAAAAAGGTCAGTTCAGTTCAATTCAGACACTTTATAGATGCCTCGCGCATTTATGAGATCTGGGGGACTGATACAACGTTTTATGCTGCTCCAGTCGTAAAAAATCTGATCTTTCCGAAATGGCCATCTCCAGTTACATCCAGACTTCTCCATGACACTCACCTCGCACCCGTCAGTTGTGCGGGTTTTGACAATTCCAGGGTATAATTCACCCTCATACGAAATTATAACATAATCACCAATGTTGCATTCTTCAAATGGCAAGTGATGAGCAGTTGAAACTACAGAGTGAGAGTTGGATGTTTCGATGTTTTCAAAATATTTTTCAATAGTCTCACTCGATACCCCTGCCCTTTTCTTTTTTATATTCGTTGCGAATCGCACCGTTAGTTCTGAGTGCCTTTTTAAGAATGCTTTCACCCATTCAACTCCAGGATAATTGCTGTGAAATTTACTGACAGTCACTCCTTTTGCATCAAGATAAGCTTTAACTATGCTTCTCAAATCTTCCTGTGCTATCGGAAAACCAAAACTGCTTACGGCTATGCAGTGCTCCACTAGAATTTTCTCAGTTTCTGCAGATAAAACTGTTTGCCCACCAAATTTTTTCATGTGCCTCAGTTTCAACTTATTCTTCAAAGTACTCCTAGGTATATTGAACTGTGCTGCAACGTTTCTTTGCGATTCTCCCCTTTTAATTGCTTCCAGAGCTCGCTGAAGTTTTTTCTCACTATAATCATGGTATCTTCTACTGCCCAAAACACGACTGAATTTTCTCACCATGATTTGAAATAAACTGTTTACATTTATAGATTAACTGGATGACTAGAATGAGAAAATAAATTCGTTTTATTTCTGAAAAATAAAACAAAAAAGTAGGTTTGTATAGGGTAATAAGGTGGGCCAAAGTCAGTACCATATTACATGGAATTTTGCATTGTGGGCAAAAAACCTCCCTCATACGCCCCCAACTAGTTTAAACTTGTTCCAAACACCATAAAAACCTTCACAGAGAATATCTCTTCCAACCTGTAAAGAATAAGGACAATTGAATGTTTCTTTTTTGGACTTCTCAATAAAAGTACTGAGTTGCGATTTTTTTTTCAATTTTTTTATTTCTGACCCTCCAAATGAAAAAGTTTTTTTTCCCAAATATTTTTCATAAAGTGACAAGATTTTTTGTTGTATAATTATTGCTGCTGTTATTAACTACAGTATCAAAACAAAATAAAATGGGAAATATCAAATAAAAGTAGATTTGGGTGGGTTTTAAACAAATTCTCAAAATGGGGCCAAAGTCAACCCGTGAGGTCAAAGTCACCCCGTTTTACGGTAATTTTAAATCTGCCAATATATTCCAGGCCAGAAGGGAATTAACAAATTTCTTTCTTGTATGTATACAAATGCTTTAGTACAATTCGAGCTATCCAATAAACATACAACTGAAATTCAAACGAGCGAAATGGCGTTTATTTGTTTATTAAATGTCAATACTGAAATACCGAGCAAAGTTAGAAAATATCAATCATTTGGCTGCACATTAGATAACTCGAAACTAATGACGGCGCAACTATACGCATATAGACATTTCTTCACATAATCTAATATATTATATGATACGGTATCGTGAAGAGATTACATCTCTATTGTAAAGTAACTCAAAAGCAAATTCATAAGATAATGATTTTTTTCTCTCTCAATTTGAGTTGATTGCTTGTCAATAAAAAAACTGTTAAAATCACCCATGGTAGTCGTTTAATCGACGTAACGACATGCGGTAAAACGCATCAGTGAACAACGGACTGCTTCGCCAGGATATTCAGCATTATTCACCAAAAGGGCGGAACTATCAACACGAACCAAACGATTCTATAAATAGGATTTTTCTGCTTGAATATCACTAAATGACGTCAGAGGATGAATTGAATTCCCCTTTCGAAAGCGATAAGAAGTAGGTTTCGTAGCGGTTTTGAAAATCAAGGCAACACACATAAATCTTTCACATAAACATTTAACCTCCACCATCTAAAATTACTCATAGCATCGTATAGTAAATACGCCAGACAACAATAGAAGCAGGACTAAAAATATTCCATATTCTATTTTTGGATCGCGATTTTATATCTGAACTTTTATGATCGACTAATCAGTTTTACTTTAACGCTAAAGAACAATGAAATC